CGTGCACACGCACGCGCGCACGCGCACGCGCGCACACGCGCACGCGCACGCGCACCCGCACACGCACACGCACACACACACACACACACACAGACAGACAGACAGACAGACATACAGACACACACACAGACACACACAGAGACACACACAGAGACACACACAGAGACACACACACACACACACAGAGACACCACACACACACACAGGGACACACCCCACACCACACACACACACACACACACACAAGAGACACACACACACACACACACAGGACACCACAACACACACACACCAACACACACACAGAGACACACACACACACAACACAGGACACCACACCACCACAACAAGACACACAGAGAGAACAGAGAGAGAGAGAGAGAGAGAGCACAACACACACACACACACCCCACAACAGAGGAAGGAGTGCGGTAGGGGCGAGCATCAGAGCACCGCTGGGTACATTTGCCTGCGGCCCACATGGCCCCCCTAGGACTCCAGATATTGTCAAAACCAACCTGCCACCGTGATGAGAATTTGACGAGCAGGAGGGCGAGATATTGAGCATCAGCTGGGTATATTGCCGGCACATGGCCCCCCTAGACTCCAGATGTTGCAAACCCAACTGCCCCAGGAATTGCGCGCTTTTGACGAGGCAGGAGGGGAGCATCATGAGCATCAGCTGGGTATACTTCGGGCCACGTGGCCCCCCTAGACTCCAGATGTTGCAACGCCGGAACCCTCAATTTGCACTTTCGAACTTCCTTTGCGAAGTGCGCCCCTACGAAATCCATGAGCACCGCAATGCCGTAGCGGTGCAGTGTGTCGACCTCAGACGTCGCACACTTATAGGAGTTTGCAAAGGATCAGGTGAGGGTTAGATCCAGGCTGGAGAGAGCCGTCTATACTCCTGCATTTCTGGGCATGCACAACGTTCAACTTCAATCAACCTTAAGCAGAGATTGGAGAGCTGAACCTGGCTGGGATGTTGGCTTGCGCGAACTTTCAGGCTCCTTGCCAGAGCGAGTATACAGGAATCATCGGGGACGTAGACATCGAAGTAGCTTCAAGCTGCCATTGTGAGTTCCCCCGTTCCCCCATGCAAGATGTTGGAATGAAATCTTGGGCAAAGGTGCGAGGTAGCGGAAGTCATCTGGAGTGCCCAATCGCCTTCACACCGCTCAGCAATTGTCAATACGGAGAGCACACGGCCAAGGATTCTACTTGGCTTGGCTGCTTAGCTGCAGCTGGCAGTAGGGAGACCCCCCAAGCTTGCAGCCCAAGCTGCTACAAAGCTTTTTCGGCAACCCGTACAACCCCAATGGTAGCCCGGACCTGTCCACTGCAAAGAGGCCCGCCGCGCACTGGTAGCCCCAGGATTGCTCACAGGGATACCTCTTCGGAGTACAGCAGAGCGACTCGAGGTGGCAGGTTTCGAGTGTTGAGCTTGTAGTGTAGATGCATTCGAAGTTTGAAGGCAACCTCTTGCGGAACAACTTCTCGCAACTGCTAGCAAGATAGGAATGCTTGGAGCAGCACGCGGAGCAGCGAGGCTACTCAAACCCAAAAAAATGGAGCGGCCTGCGAATGCCTGCTCTTAATGTACAGCAACCCTCCCCTCTGGGTGTTAACTCCACGGCAGAGGGCTGCGAGAGCGGAAGGAACTCCACAGCAGTGAAGCCGAGGTCCTCTCAGGAGACAGTTCAATGCGCCCATCGGCCACCTAAACTATCGCAAGTTTGTACTTGCACTCGGCAAGTTAAGAAACATGCGCACAGAACCCGGGATGCGCACTTTACGGAGCCGAATTGCACTGGGCCTTTTGGGGCCAAGAAATCTGAGAAACTACAGATTCACAACCCCTAGCCCTCGAAGTTAGAAGCATCTGCAGGAAGGTCCAGCACGTGCTTCGCCAAGGGCTCTGCAATGTCCCGATAGTTGGAACTTGCAGGTGTCATGCTCCAGCTTCCCAGATGTACCTCCCACAATTCCGAAGGTGTCTACGCTAAGGGCTTGCAGCTGTTCTGGGATGTCTTCCCCTTCACGTTGGATGCCCAAGCTTCCCTACTCAGCTCCCCGAACAAGTAAGTAGCCCCAGGGGTTTGGACGGGATGAAAGGTGCCTCGCCTTTCAAAACAAGGCGGCCTCTATTTTCCGAAGCCCTACTGTGCAGACAGGGCCCTAGACTCACAAGGCTTCAGGGTCATGAAATCCCTGCGAGCCTCGTAGATGGATAGTGGCTCCTTGCACCATGTGGCGCTGCCAAACTTGGCCTCCCCAGGGCCATTGAAACTCTGCGTTCCTGAAGCCTCCCCGATTCTTGGATGTCACAGAGCTTTGATAAACCAAACCAAATCCAATCATTCCTCCTGTAGAAGAGTCCTTGCCTTGGTGGTCCTTACAGGTCTCAAACACCGGCCGAACCATGTGCCTGTCGGCTGGCAATCCACGATTCATCGGTCCACGCGTAGCTGCCGTTCCTGCAGTCATGAAGCAAGAGGATGTGGGAAGTTGTGGGTCGTCGGAGTGCTCAGATAGGGTGTGCCCCCACCCCCCCCACTCAGCTGCGCTGAGACAAGTGGCCATGCTGCTCTGCTGTAGTCGTCGCACTCCGGGACCTGCCGCAAGCAATGGTGAGGAGGACAAGATGTTCCAAGCGTTCAGCATCATTCAAGCACAGATAAAATATGCCGTGCCTTTGCGTCGTGCCCGCCATCTGACGGATCCACAAACTCTAAGGCACATGGGTCCGCTTTGATGACCTCAAAGCGGGAATTGTGCCCAAACTGCACCGGCTGACACCGATCCAAAAAAAATGGCGCTCTGTCTTCAGCTCAAATTCCCTACTAGCTGGAGTAGTCCTTCTCCACGATAACCCTCCAATTTCCTCCAATAGAAGCAGGGGGGAGAATGGTGTAATTCCTTCAACCTGAGAAAACTTTGTAAACCGTCGTGGCCAGGATGCCGACTCAAGCTCTGGAGACGCCACCTGCCGAGGTGTTCTTTTGGTTGCTCTCGAAGGCTTGACACCTTGTTTTGGGGGGCATGCGCGAACAAAGGGGCTGAGGACGGAGAAGTAGGAGTTTACGAAGGCTTCGAGCTGCCTATGCTGAAAAGACAGAAAAGCCAAAACACACAGCGAACTCTGTTGCGCGCAAGGGTTCCGAATGGCTAAGGCGGCTAAGGTCTATCTCCTGTTTTCTTCGAGATTCGTCCAGTATCAAAACTAGCCAGTAGTCTACAACGGCACCCCCTGAACCAAGCAGGTTGGGTAAGTCTAGTCGGTAGGATGTATCGTTTCCGCTCTGAGCTTCAGGCGCCAGCTGTTCCCAAATGGACCCAGAACTCTTTTGCCCCGAACCTCCGAAGTCAGATCCCACTTGTCTGATGTCTAATCGGCCTGATAGGCGTACTTCTGGCCCCGGAGGTCCCATTCGGGCAAGAAGAGCTCCCAAACGCCAAACCTTTTGGCGACTGGTGGCTGGTATCGAGCTTCCGGGCCGCGGTTGGGCTGTTCTGAAATACGAACCCCAACTCAACAATAAGTTCCTCCAATCTCAAGTGGGATCTTCTCTAAGCGGTTGTCGGGCTTCCTGCGGACAAGCAAGGTTGCACTTGGAAGTTCATGAGCAGCTGAGATTTTGGCCACTTGCTTACATCACTGTCAACATTGGCTAGGTGTTGGCACAACCCAAATTAGATCGAGAGACTTGTCGCGGCAACACATGGGATGCGCCCGACCATCCCAGTAGTTGAAGTCCCCGACCAAGCTGACCGAGTGGGCGTTCGGGGCCCACACCGCGAAGCGCGTGCCCCAAAGTCCTGTGGAGCTTATATGCACAGCCAGGTTCGATCCAGACTGCAAGCTGCTGCATGAAAATCCATATATCCAGGCTCAGAATGAAGCCCAGATCGCTCTCCGAGCTACATTCTGCGCAAAATCCATCCTGGTTTGTGGCTGCGCAGCTCCATGTGATGAGCACCGAACCTGGATGCTTCTCCGTCTATGATGGGATTACTAATGACGCATTAAAGTGCCTTGCCAAATCTGGCAGCGCGACGCGTACTGACGTGTAGGGACCTAGTCACAGTAAGGACGGTCGCAGATAGAACCCAAACTACAGTATCTGTGCTTGAATTCACCAAGCCGAACCAGCACACTCTTATGGCCAGCAGCATGGAAGCCAGGGGTGTCTCCGTCAAGCCGGCAGCAAAGCCGGTGAGGAAGGACTCCGGGAGCAGCGCTCCTGCGGTCAAGCGGCATGGCAAGACTTGTAGATGTAAGTTTGAGCAAACGCTCGACGCTCGATGCCTCACAATGCATGAAGTGCTTCGCCGGCTGCTCGGAACAGGAGATGAGTTAGAGTAGCTGTTGTCGTATCTATGCTGGATGATCAGATCAAGGGGGCCATTTCAATCCGATACGCTCAGCTCCTGCGTTACAAAACCTGAACCGTAAAGAGCCCGAATGTTGTTGGAGACCGGATCCCTGACCCCTCATCGGTCCGAGGGAGTGTGGGTACGTGATGGTGCAGCCCGACCCGCCCTGGAACCTCAGGGAGCGCGCAGGGAGAAGGGACGAATGCACATACCAGCTGTTCAAGGAACGCCTCTAAATTGAAATCTGCAGCCCTGGACTCTCTGTACTCAAGGATGCCACACCCCAACAATGCTCGCGCACCGTGCAGGCTGATTCTTGTTGGGCAAGGAGGGGGGGGGACGTTGAGAGAGTAGGCCATTATGCGGAAAGATGAAAGCACAAGCCGGAAAACAGCTTTCTTGCTGTCTGGGTGTGGTTGTCAAGAACTGGAGGAACTTTTGCTTCAGAGCCCCCCAAAGAAGCACCCTCGGAGCTGCGCAAATATCACCTCTGATGATGCAGCTTGGGTGCTGAATGTTGACTTCGTAATTCCAATTTTGCAACTCGGACTTGTCGTCCACACCTGCCCCGACAAGAACATCGTCAGAACCTTCCGATCTGTTCAAAGAGGGGCCCCATCTCTTTGGGATGACTCTAAGTGTGGGAGGGGGGAGGGTGCTATCTGCTCAGGTCGTGGTCTGTAGATGGCTAGCTGTCCCTTGGCGGCTGCACACATACCTGTTAGCCTGCTACGAGTAGAATACTATACAAAAGCAAGCTCAAGCTGATTCGCGGACTCAAACCATTTTGGATGCATGAATTTCGATTGGTCCATAAGTTGAGGCTCCTCAACATGACATCTTTAAGCCTTCAATAACCCCAACCCCGGGGAATGGCCGGCCTACAAACTCAAAGGCTCGCTCGAAGAGCCATGGGCACTCAGAAGGGCAGCGCTCCACCGGCAGGAGGGCCACCTGTCAATCCAGCTCAAGTTCAACCGATGTTCAACTTCCGCCTTCATCCTCCCAACAATCTCGAGCTTCGCTTGGCCGAGGGCTTCAAAAATGCGTCCAGACAAGGGATGTTGAGACTACTTTGTAGGGGCTCCGGGAAGCTGTTCTCAGTAAGCTGATTCCGAAAGGACTTGAAACAGAGGCTTTAAAACGACTCTACGGCCTGCTCCGGAGGATCCTCCCGCGCATCCGAGAGTTCGGGGATGAAGACCTCCTGCGAGAGCAGTCGGCTCGCTTGCTGGAGGCTGCCTTGATGTCGAATTTTGTTTTGGGGTCTGCCTGAGTCTATGCCTTGTGTGTTGCGGCCAAGGCCGGGATGGCAGCTTCGATACGTTCCGTTTCTACACCACGGAACGGACTTATGGCCCTGCGCTTGGCTCTTGCGCAAGAGGGCAGGGTGCGGATTGCAAGAAATCCTGGGACCTTGAAAAGAGTTCGCACAGGGGGGTCATGGGGTTGGAATCTTGCAGCATGGGACATTGTCATTGTAAGTTCGTGTCCATGCTACCCTAAGTCGAGGACTGCAGAGATTGCGAGTTTATTTGGTAGGGTGATGGCCAGCAATATGGATTCCGTCTGGCATCAGGACCTCGCGCGCGCAGAGCTTGCAACTCAGAGCACATTCTTTGACTCCTGCCCTCGCCGTACGACCCCGGAAATGGAGCACTGGAATAGAAGCACCTCTGTGTTCGTGACGGTGACGGACTGGGCTCCACTGATCCAACAGCGCAGGACGACGTGAGAGCCAATGACCTTCACCAAGGGCGAGGGTGTTTTGGCGACAACAAACTTTATCCGATTCCCTTGGGCTGGGCCTGGACCCTCTTTACTGTTTACATCTGTTTACCTGATCGGCAACAGGCCTTGCACGGGTCCACTTCGCATACCTTCTCGCTAGTAAGCTTCATGGCATGTTGGTTCACCAGCTTTCCATGTGCAGGGTACTGCTTCCGATCATGTCCGCTTGCCCAAAGTTGAAGAACAGACCTGAGCTTACGCCGGCTTACGTGCTCAACATGCCTGAACACCGAGGACATGCTTGGGGTCCGGATGCTGGCCATCAACCAGCCACTGAATGTCCTCATCCGGAATGATGCAGGCCTGGCGAACCCAGAGCTCCACATATCATCGGACATATCGGACGGAACCAACCTTCGGCGCGGTCTGCAGTTCTCAGGTTTTGCTGTTAGGTCCTGTTAGGTTCTGCTTTCTGCTGGAGGCTTCACGGCCAGCGCTCCTCGGGGACCCATGGCAAAAGGCGCAACTGGAAGTCTTTACCTGGGCAGCTTTTGGAGTCTGTCCGGCATGAGGCATGAGAAGAAGAAGCTGACCGGGACGTGCCTTTCAAGGACAACGACCATCCCAATGATCCTAAAGTGCCGCATACACAATTTCGGGCTGAACCATGCACATAAGCCGCCAGGACACCCATGCTGTCGGCGGCAGCTCATGGGCAACGCAATGCGGGTTTGAGACTTCTGCATGCAGCGTTTGGATGATTACGCGGTGGTCGACCCAAGCACAGCAAATCCTGGAGCTGAACCGAGAAGAATCTAACCTCGATCGCTTCAACGATAGCAGGGTCGATTAGGCATCTGCTCAAGCTTGAGTACTTGTAGGACTGATAGGACGAGGCCCTAACAATACACTGCACCATAGCATCGTAAGCTATGGGGTATTCAAATAATCTGCAAAAGGCTGCCAAATGACATAATGTGGAATACATTGACCCTTGAAAACATCAAGGCCTAACGGGGCGAACACATATTAATATTTAAGGCCTACAAATCCTGGACCACGCAACCGTTTCTTGCAATTTGCGCACGGACCGATCCCCGTAGGCCCAAAAAAGCTGCAGCGTCGGATCTGCCCTAGTACTTCTTGACTGCAGCATCCTGATTCCTGAAGTCTGGGGTTGAAGTGAAGGTCTCAGAATGTCTCAGCTCAGGACCGCTTGGCTTTGGCATCTTTCGACATACACCAATACAACATTTGAACTCGTTGTCCAGGCTTGGGGTTCTAGGGCTACGTGCATTCCAAAACAGGGCGGGGTGCGAACAGTCGCCCGGATGACCTAACATCTCAACATGGCAATGCCTGAGCAGGCCCTCTCAATGACAGAGTTCCGGCGCTGCTAATGCGGGCACGCTGCTGTTGTAAGCAAGGTGCTTCCAAAAGGAAGGATTCTTGTTTACTACTATGTGAGGGTGCAGCACGTTAAGAAAAGATGTGATCAGCAGCACATCTTGCAGTGGGACCTTCGTGGAAGCGGGACGAAGAAAACAAGCGGGAAGCAAAGCCAAAGCCCAAAGAGCGAAGGGCCAAAGGCCAAAACCAAAGCGAACGGAAGTGAGTTCTCTTGTCTGACGAATCTGCTGACTGCAGGAAGCACCTGGCTGTTCTATACAAAGCAATCCGTGAATCGGTGCTCGCTCGTGTCAGGAGATGTCTGCGCCAAAGCCGCACATTCAAGGGACGTGCAATGTCAGGAGGAAATGAGTTTTTGTTTATGTTACGTTAGACAATATCCCCCCCCCCCCCCCGCCCCTGCCCCTGACCGACTCACGTAACCACAAAATCCTCAGCAGTTCCTTCCTTCCTTCGTTGCTGAAACAGGTCCAGACGTCTCTAATGAGCATTGTTCGGATTGTTCGGAAAGGCCCCCCCTGAATCTAGCCGAACTGCGGCCACACGTCCTGACATGCAACTCTTAGGGTAGACAGTGAATTGTACTAGTGATTCGCTCAGTACAACCCAAGCAAACTCCGCCCCGCCTGCGAAATCTCAAACTGGCATGTCATGGTTCTGTGCAAAACGACCATGAGCTAAAGCAAGGAGAGATAGATGTGTCTAATCGATGGTCGTTGTGATGGTAACTTGTGATTACCGTGTGCACGCCGGCTTCCATCCTCTGACCAGCGGGCAGCGTCTCACTCGCCGGCTCGATCCCAAACCTTTCACAAATCTCGATTCGCTTCTGAAGAGCAAACAACTGGAGACCGAAACTGAAAAGAGACCTTAAACCCCTACCCTGAACCCAAGATGTCACAAATCCCATGACGAGATCCAGTTTGGGTCGCTGCTTCTTTGACTCTAACTTTTCAGAGTCTCACCCATACCCGGACCCTAAACATTTATTGCCCTCATCACTCTAATCTCAGCTCTGCTGCTCCATCCCAGTCCTCGGGTGGAGGGGAGCCGGCATAGGACACGCCTGGGCAGCGAGCGGTTTCAGGCTGCGAGAAACCGACATGGCTCTTTGTCGGGCGACATAGTCTCGAGGAAGCATGTGCAGACGTGTTTCGGATAGGATGAATTTTCACATGTAGATGTGCTACCCGAAGGGTTTGTTCCGCGCAAGACTTCAAGCGATCAGTCCTGAAGGCTTTGATGGCCTTCGAACGTGTAGCTGAAGTCGCATCTAACGCGTGAGAGACAGATGGATTGTGGAAATACGGCTCGCCCAAGACGATCTGCAGAGCGACAGATGATAAGGGCAGATTTCAAAGCTGCAGATGAGAAACAGCGCCGCAGCATCAGCGCAGAAGCTACATCCTATCAAGCCCCGGCGTTCTCTAGGCAGCCACTGCAAGATACATCTTCACAACTCTGCCCACACTGTTTCTGCAACATGAAGCAAGCAGACAACTTCTCAAGGTTGCAAACCTGCAGTGGCACAGCTCCTTTAAGGCTAAGCCTAAGCAACTCACAAATTGCAAGGCATATGGAGGAACGGAGTCCTGAGCCCCGGTGAGTTTCTGCATGACTTCGCCAGCAGCAGTGAAACCTTCCTTCGCCTTGGTTCGTAAGGGATGCGGGCTCTCTGCGCGCGAGCGCAAGAGCCATTGCGATGCTAGAAGGAGCAGCAATCGCAGTTTTGCTCTCTCGTGGTGGCGTCGTACATCGTAGCAGCACCGGAACTAGCATTGCTGTCTGAAAGGGCATCTGCTTTTACTAGTTGATTTTGCCTTCAGGGGGTTCAAGGGAAGGTCAGGAGATCACAAGTAAACCACTTAGGCACAATGGTCGTGGTGACTGTGTCGCAGGGGCCGATGCCAAAAAGCCGTCCGAGCCACTTGCTCGAACCGACCATGGCGGTAGTGCTCAACAGCCTGAGTTCGGGGATGAAACTGTCGGCTGGAATTCGGATGTTTCTAGGACTGGACCTCAAAGGATTCCAGGCAGTATTTTTATGATTTAGGGCCCAACTGTTTGAGACCTAGTGTCAGTGCTCGAGGAAACCATGAGCTCATGATACCTGCTTAGCCGGTGAAACAGCTGCTTTCCCCTGCCTCCGTGTAAAGGTCAGCAGCTTTTTCTTCGAGTGCAGCCTGCGTCCAGCACCACGGGTCATACTGTCGGAGCTGTGGCAAGAAGGGCTTTGGGGAACGTGCCAAAGACCTTTTGAGAGATCTTCAAGCAACTTGCACATGCTGCTTACATGCTGAATCTTCACTGTGCAACCTCTACATTCCTCTATATACATCGTGTCGGTCCAACACAGTGTCTCATCTAATTGGAGACCTACAGTTGCAGCCGCACTGTGCAACCCTAAAGCTCCAAGCCCTGCAAGGGAGAAAATCACCTGTGAAGGGCAACGCTCGGGTCCGTGAACCACAGTAACCCGCGCTGCCCCAAGCTTCATGTCAACACCGTCCAAAGTACGCTGTAGTCCAAAACTCTTCCACAAAGGGCTGCGGACTCGGATTAATTCATGACAGATGCCCCCTTGAAATGCTATACTACTATACACTCCTGACAGTTCGCGCATGCGTAGCAGAAGGGTTCATTTCACAGGTTGGGGTTCCACAGTCCAGAAGATGACCCAACATCGTGTGTGCTGTGTTCGGAAGCGTTCGCGAAGCGCCAGTAAGCGCCCGCGAGTGTCGCGCGCGAGCCGCAGTCCGGGGTGCGCCAACCTCGATGTGGAGTGCGCCATCTTGGGAGCTTGGTTTCATGTCGACGCCTCCAAAGTTCGGAAAGTCATGTTGATGCAATATGTGGGGTTCGCAATTCTCGAAACTGGTATCACATTTCAAGCTGAAATGGGTTTCACTTCTGAGCTTCAAGTTTTCACGCTGTGTCATTGGGAGGGTATGAACCCAGCATATCTGTCGAGGAGATAGCGAGGAAAATGAAAGAGTCAGGTCTGAGCACAAACGTGAGTCATGGTTTCAGACTAACATCCATCACGCCCGTGACCTGATTCTACCACAACAACAACTACGCAACAACAAGAAAACACAATAACAATACAGTTAGGAAAGAGAGAGCGAGGGAGAGCGAAAAAGAGCTGGATAAAGCCAAAGCACATCACTTCGCATCTCGTGTCGCGCAACGCATCTTTGTTCGCCGTACACGTGATGCGTGTCTGCATTCAGCCCCTGCTATCAGGTGTGAAGAACGGACCGAGTGCCGCATCAGCTGAAGAGACTCTTGCAAGGACAGCGGGCGCCATCCCAACAAGAATCAGCACAATATGAATCAAAGACGCTTGACTGCGTAACTCGCGCCTCCCAAACAGAGCTCGTGTCTGTACCTCCAAACCCTGAAGCCCTCCATTCTGAAGGACATCTTAAAAACACAACCTGCTAGCAACAAAAACTCTTTCCGATGTCATAGCCTTGGAGGGCCGGCGATTTGCTTTCCAAACTTCGAAAATCCTGAGTGGCGCCGTTGAGGAAGCATGAGAAGGGTTATGGCAACGTAAACCCGGGTGCAAAGCCTGGTGGATTGAAGCATTGAGCTCTCAAGTTCATTGCGAACGGCGCTACATGCTTGACCTCATCAATTGGTGGAACCCTGCCTCATGGCAGCTTGAGATTCCTGAAGCCTACAGCCGGGTCGGTGCTTCGGCCCTATTCCTGCACGCTGCTCCCTAGCCTCTGAATTCATGCATGTGTGTGCTGACAAGTTCTACTTCTACGAGTCCGGATCTAAGTGCACGTTTGTGCGGGCAGAGTGGTGCAGGGGCAAGGAGGCTGCAAGCCTCGCTAAGGACCAAGATTCTGCTCGCTCTCCCGCTTCTCGCCCGAATCATCTGCAGACCGTCGGATGAAGTCCTTGGCATCGCGGCTTCAAGAGGGGTGGACTTGAGCGGCTTAATTCCAGGAGGTTGCCGATCTATGACATAGGATCTTGCCTCTACCTCTGCTACATTCAAATGGCAAGGGAGGACATTTACGTGGAACATCTCATTCACCGAGAGATGTTCAAGAGACAGGAAACCCGAATATCCCAAACTCCAACCCGTCTAATTCTCATATATATATATATGCATATACACATGTACATGTAGACTATAGACAGATCGACAGATAGACATAGACACACACATAGAAACAAATACATAAATAAATACATGACGAATAAACAAAGTGAATACATATATATATATACATATACAAACATACACATATACATATACACACCTACATACCTATAAATACAAATGTAAAAACAAATATAAATACAACATATGACAGAATATGTTTTATGTAGAGATTGTATGTATGCATGCTTTGTTGATGTGGGTGGTTTATGCTGTACATACTCCAGATGGCTGATTGTTTACATGTTTATGCACATGTTCCTATATATTCTTGTGGGATTCAACAACGCAAGCCTCATGAACGGCTCCGAAACCTTTCTTTCTCAGGCTTGGTGTCTAGTGGGCGTGACACAAAGCCCTCGATCTCCATGTCTGTGTGGGTCGTCTCAGAAACCAGCAGCCTCGATTCGCGCTGCGATGGAGGATCGTGGGTTGCACTTTTACCAAGCCGGATGGACGGAGCATGTGTGTACAACATAACTTCAAGGCATTGCAAGACCCTACAGCCCTCAGCCTGTTTGCCGGGGGTCAACAAAAACATCGTGGAACTTATTGCGTTCCAACTACCCTTGCACTTCTTGGAACTTCGTCTGATCGATGAGCTTGTGTCAGCACAAGTCCTACTCCTAAGCATCGTCCCAAGAAAAGTGGCTGTGTGCCGTAGGTCTTGTTGAGCTCCTCCAACGTTCCAGGCATGCTACATTCATCACCCACCTTAGAGGACGTTGTGGGGCTCCGGGGAAGTGATTTGTGGGACTGGGGATCTGCTCGCAAACGTGTGAGGTGCTGGATCTAGCGGGGCCACAGGAACACACACCCGAAACTGGATGCCCTTCTTTTGAGGGCGCCGGGGCCTACCACACCTTGAACCTCGCAAGAAGCTGAGAATTCTGATGTTTCGCCAAGTGGCGATGCCATACTTGATCCGGGACTGCATGCCTTTGCTTGAGGCCGCGGGCGGAAACCCTGGTCTTTCTGGTCATCTAAGCGAACAGGGCATTGCAAGTTGAGATCCCGATGACATAAGGCATATGACAATCGGGACTGAACCCAAAGAGGTGGGCCAACAGTACACAAAGGAGGGAGGTCAGAGACACTCCTGCAGGCACAACCGCACTGTCAGGTCAAGCGATCTAGAAACATTGAGTTGCCACCATAAATACCCTTAAGCCCGGTATCCCACAAGTAGTCACGGGTGCCCATGTTTCCAACCAGCACTTTACCGGTGTGAACTCCGCATCGGATGGAGATCCTCGCAGCGGAGTGTGATATCTTGGGCTCCCAGAATAGCCCGAATAGCACTGGTATGGAACGGAATGACTCTTATATAGGTGGAATCTCAACATCGGCTCCTGGGCAGCTCCCGCCGCTCCAACCAGGCGTTGATGCTGCTCATTGCCTGTGTGATTTGTGCAGTTCCAGCCAGGAGATACCTTCTTGTAAACTGTCTTACACCTGTGGGAGCTCTCGTGTGTCTCAGCTCTGCCGACGGTGCGTATAAGTTTTTGTTTGGTGTTCCGAACCGGCCTCGGCCCTAAACCCTGAATCCCTGGAAAGCCCTCCATCATGATGCTGAAGCTCGGAGAAGTCCATGAGGATGAATCCTACCTACACCACCCACAGGATATCAGCCAGACCTCGAAGCCCGAAATAGCTTAAAACTTGTCTGCGCAAGACGAACTAAATAACCCCCTAAACGGAAAGGCTGATTCTTGCAGGTGAGACCAAAGCAGGCCGTTGGATTCTCATTGTTGGAACATCCTGGCCTGCAGCATCTCCACCTCAGCTCGAGCTGACGAGCTTACAAACATTAACGCCAGTTACGCTTTGTCGGGGGTTCGGCGCTCACGCCTGCGAACGGCAGGCAAGCAACTGAAAGTGGGTTTGTGGCTGCACTTTTTCGTTTGTTGTGCCAGTAGCAGTGGCAGTAGTAGATGGTATCCATACCTAACTTGTTTTCCCTGTCTCTCTCCCTTTTTCTGGTCTGGCACCCTACAAGTACGTGCATTCTCAAGCCACATCTTCAATACTGGAGTACAGGCACGAAACCAAACACTTTGCTATGGTGCTTCTCCTCAAAGTGAGACTTGTCGGTCTGTGACGAACATATGCAGCTGCCTGATGGGCCGAAGATCATGTAGTCGGTGCATAAGGTTAGAGGGAAATCAGTGTCATCTGATGATGAGCGCACGCATGAGCGGCATGAGACTCGGCGCACTTGTTTGTGCCCCTGATGCCTTGATGAGTCGCATCTGGCTCTTTTCTTGGTTTGGGGCTACGGAGACCAGCAACCTTCAATCTCAAAAACGGTCCTCCTTAAGGTGTGCGAATTTTCAACTATGATAGTAACTACTATTAGTAGTCACTCTTTAGTAGGTCGTGTCTCACTAATGATATGAAGTCTCTTCTGAGACCTCGTGTAGCTGAACCCAAGGCTGCGGCCGCGGCCCTCACCGCGACGGTGGCATGGCTGTCATTGACCACCGGGGCGCCATAGATGCACAGGATCGCGTCGCCTGAGAGGCAGAATGCCGAAGAGAATGCGCGTCTTTTGAGAAGGATGCCCTTTGAGATGGGCTGGAAGAGAAGCCCCCGACCCCCTTTTTGCTGAGCTCAGAGAGAGAAGAGAGAGAGAGAGAGAGAGAGAGAGAGCTTTTTTGAAGCCACACGCAGAGTCGCAAGGTTTCTTTGGAAAGCCTGGGAAGCCCTCCATTTGTTTGTTGCCAAGGCACCAATAAATTCAACAACAATGCCTCCGTGGGCATCCACGATCTTGGACATCTCCTGTGTGCACGCGCAGAACTGAGAGCCCGCCCACTCACACACTCACACTAATCTTCTTCTCCTCGCTTGAGAGGGCCCCCCGAAGGTGACTCCCGGTCTTAGGCTCACGCTATCTCTCTCTCTCTCTCTCTGACACATGACCCCTTGTTGAAGTCGCAGTGTGCCACAGCACTATCGAGTATATGTCTAGCCCCAGCGCCAAAAGCCAAGTGTGGCAAAGTGGTCCTGAAAGTAGCGACTCAGCAGCAGCAGCGAGCTCTTGGGTGGCAGGCTTTCGACGATGGTGGTGAAACTGGCGATGTCCGAGAAGAACATTGTCACCTGCAGAGCTGTTTTTTTTTAGCCGAACTGACGTCCACTTGGAGGATCCGAGCTGGCTTGGTTCTGGGCTCGAGGGCCTAGTACAGGATCTGAGAAAGTTGCTGGAGAAACGGGAACGGAAAACGGGCAGAGTGCGCACCAAACCAAGTGATCCCAATGATATCTTTATCCAGAAGGTAACGGCAAGGCCCTGGTCTAAACTCTCCAATCCCATGGCAGCTCGAAGTTTGCCATTTAGGAACCCGACTTCATGATTTGTAGATGTGCCTTGAAGATCTGGAATTACTCGAAGCCCGAAACATGCACACTTGATCTGGTATACAAGTACCACCGTACCACCAGCCAGCACACATGGCAAACACGTTCTGTGCTGGCCTTGCGCTCGGAGACCTCGATGTTGGCTTCTGCATCCTTGCGCATCATTAGCTGCACCACAGGCCTCGGCGTAGAAGACTGGGCTTCAAAGATCCTGGATCATGTATGCAAGCTTGGTTCATCATATCCTGGTCCCGGTTGGCGAGAGGAAGGAAACTCAAAAACGTTGTGCGCGGCAAGAAGTCATAGCCCACATAGACATTTGGGTTGGAAAGCAGGTTCACAAAACCAGTATTACATCCTAACCCTCTGGATTCCCTTCCCCACTTCGGATGGCTGTGTGCAAACGCTGGGGCAGAGCAGTTCTCACCATGCGTGCCACGATGCGCTACTCCTGTCCTCATGTGTCCCGCTCACGCCGCTGTTTCCAGATGTCAACACGCTGCCGCCGAGGGGCCATGGAACGTACTTGCCCCATGAGCGGATGGCGGTCTTCATGCTGTCGAAGCGTCGGCGGAGCAGCCTCACGTCATCCCCAAGGCTTCCAACACCCGAGACGGACAACTGAGTCCGTGAAGTCTTCCCCCGCCATCCTTCCGACCCGAAGATACGCACAGCGCGAGCCCGGCCTGATCTCGCTGGACACGTTTTGACTCTCCTGTCCCAACCGCAAGAAGCGCTGCCGGAAGCGCTGAAGCACTGCATGGGTATCATGGATATCATGGATCCGTTGAAGGACGCCGTTTGTGCTTGAAGAGTTGCAGGCGACCGACTTTGGCAGGGTATGAAAGAGGTTCTCACAACGGTGGATGACATCCTCACTTCTTGCAATTGTCGCTGCATAGTCTCCTCCAAGCTTTGGCTCGATGCTGACTTGGTGGCCGTAGCCGCTAGCTGAAGGCGAGTAATACTTTCCTGAGATGCACATGACCGCAAGAGGCTGCAAGGAGTCTCGGTGCAAGGAACCATTTTACCCTACCGTTTCGCCGCCAGGTAATTTTCTGCAGGCTATGTTTTGGTCTTAAGTGCACAGAACGATTGGTTGCAAGCCGAGGCAAACCAGGCAAGTAACAAGAGGAGGGGGAGAAACTGCTCTGCTCTTCTTGTTGAGCTGAGCAGGGTCAAGGCTGACACAAGCAAGGTGCCACTTCATCGGCCAGCTCCACCAGTGGCTTCAAAAGGTTCTTGGACAAGTACCTGTGCTTGCTGAGCTTTGCCACCGCAGCTTCGGGCTTTGTGAGATTCGTTGCATTCAGGCGCGAAGCACAAACAAAACACATCGTACCAGGCAAGCGTACGGTAAGCGATGCACCTGAAAACTTTCGTGGGGGCCAAGGCCACAGGTTCCCCAGCATCTTTGAGCCCTGTTCGTCCTACGAAGTTCCTCGAGAGAGAACCACATCAGCCCTTCCAAGATGCGTGAGATCCCGCGTGAGCAAGGTAATGCCGATAACGATGAGGAAGAGAACCACCCCTCAGGTCTCTCCAGTCTCGGGAGGATTGAAGACATGGACGTGGACGAAGAGGTGTTCGACCAAGCTACTTTTTGCTTGTAAGGTCTCACTCCGCACTATACTGGACGCGCAACTGCACAACTGCCTCAGGTACCGACATGTGGTGATGATAGAGTCTCGAGCAGTGGCGACTGTGTCTGCTCGATTCCTTGGCGCCCAGGCATTCCAAATCCATGGACATGCGCATAGATTCGCATAGATTTCACAAACTTTTACAACAGCCTTTGGCCCCGGACAGCTCACTTGGAGACGCTTCAAAGAACGACGAATCATGCTGGCGACCCAATAAACTTCGTGTCACACCTGCGAGTGACCGACTTAAGCAGCCCACGGATGCTTACTTCCCACACTTTTCCTCTGGCATAACTCGAAGCCTAGACCCGAAAAGCGTTAAACCCACAAGGCACAAGGACTGTCTTGTATCACTCTCGGGTGGGCCCAGGATCAGAAACAGTGCAACGGCTTCCGTCATGTTCTCGAGGTCCTCGGCCGTGATGTCCTCACCGGGAGCGCTGCAGGCTCCAAAGTCACGTTCAAACAACCATGTTGACCTCATATGAAAAAAAACAAACCCCGGAACTGAATCATAAATAACCCCCCCCCCCCCTCAAGAACTGCACATGCTTCATGTTAAGCATGTAGCCTTAAGCCAGAGACTGCCCGGCCCGAGACTGCCCGACCTGAAGCCTTCAGGTTTTTCGAGGACAGCCCGTCCCCCTGTAAACCGATCGAAGTTCCTCATCGTCAAAGTCTGGATACCGCATAAGCAGCCTTGGTTGTTTCTTTGTAACGGTCGTTAATGGTGGATGTTAGCGTAGAATGTCTCAAACTGAAGACACCGAAAAGCATGCGCCGCAACAGCAGGGGCAGACCCAAGGGGCAAGTCCATCTGACGGTGCTTCGAGGCGATGACATCGATGTCCACCTCGTCGAGCCTCTTCGTCCTTGGTATGAGTTGCTTGGCATCTGTGACCGACGAACGTTCCGCGACTCAATGCCGGCCCGCTGCACACGCTGGTCAAGGCATTCAAAGTAACCCAAAACAAAAACAAGAACCGCTTCATCTGCCAAAGTTTCGCTCCCCAAACGAGGGGTTCGCTCAGGGGCGCATCGCAGCGCTTCTCGTGGGCACCCAGCAATGAGTTGCAGTAGACTTTCCTAACGGGTCAAACAGGCAAAACTTAACAAACAACCGATGACAAAGACGAAGCATAACTTCAAAACAGACTCGACAGAGCCGCGGGGCACTCAGGACCCCTTTTACAAACCGGAGCTCTCTGCCTCTCTGCGGTGCCAAGGTGCCGTTGGAGGTCCAAGTACAACAGTGGCCGGTGCGGCCGCGCCCAGCCCTCGTGCAACGTCCAGGTAGCCACTTGCCTGCCCCGATCCATTCTCAACCATGTTCTCAAACTTGAAAACTGCACCGAAAAAATACAATGATCTGTATGCTGGGCCTGGGGGGGTTCATGCTTCGACTCGGCACAGGGTGGAGAGTGCGGAGAATGATTCGCAGAGTTGCGCGCTACACTCGCTGCGACAATGAAGCCAGCACATGCCTGCGAACCACGTCCGGAATGGTCGTGTTCACCGGAGGACTGCCTGAGCATTCGCATGTGCCGTACATCTGCGCCCCCAGGCTTATGATAATAGAAGGCTTCGACATGACCTTCGGTTGAAATGCACAACCTCCATTTTGAGGGCAGCGGGTGCGGACACTGAATCTCGCTACCCAGCAGATAGCAGTCGAATCGAAGATGCTGCTTGCTGCCCAAGAGGCCGTACTTTATCGCAACGAAGCTGTTCATCGCTGCGAAAGCGTAGTTGAGGGATGTATCCTGCTGCTGAGCGGACAAAGGACTTGCAAGTTTCGAGCCAAGGCCCTTTCACAGGACTGGGCAGGTGTGTGCCAAGAACCAGCTCTATGTGACCTTGAGAAAGCCTACAAAATCAAGTCTAACAGTTAAAAAGGTCAACGTGTCAAACGCAGAACCTACATCAGCCCAAACCACTTCGACGCACGGAGCTTGCTGAAAAATAGACAAGGCCGACAAGGCCCAGCTGCCAATCGGACTGTCCTCCATTAGCGGCTCGACATAACTGAGAATGGCAATTATGAACCTGGACGGTTCTAGGCGCAAGTTCACAGGAACTTCCAGTCTGATCGAACCGCAAGTCGTAAGGTGAACAGACCTAATGATCCAGGTGGCAGAATTGCCATGGCCACCTTCACCCCGATGTACTCCGCATTCCGTTGCCGAACTGCCTGCATGTTGTTGCCACGCCTGGGTTGTGCAAACGTATTACTGTCACATCTCAGGTCGCTCTTGGTCTGCGTCCATAAACACTAGCGCTATGGCGCAGAGTGAGCAGGGCCTGACCATGCTTAGCGGCTTAGCGCCTGCTTCACCGGGTGAAGGCGAGACTTACGAGGATCACCAGTGAAGCGGGCTATGCGGACTACGCCAACCAGTGAGCGATGCTGCAAACTTTGCCTGGCAGCGATCTCCGTCTCTTACTGCTCCATACACTTTCTGCTCGCTGGCTCAACGCTCTCTGCTTCCCCATCGCTTGCTCACCTTTCGCTCGCCCTGTCCCTCTTGCTCTCTGTCTGAAACGAAACTGAACCACGCGCTGGCACGGGGTTAAGAAAAAATTGGGTTAGGACGATTAGACGATTAGGAGATGAGCAACTGCGAAACTGCTTGTGAAGGCACTTGAGCTGACGGATCACCGCATTTTTGAGCCACTGGACCAAGGGAGGTTCGCTCCTTGGACAAGGCAGTTGGCAATCTTCTCAATCCCAACACCCCTATCCTTGCTACCATGAAGCTCCCAGACCCTAGAGACCTAAGACGAGCATTAGCAATAGCGGTGCTGCGGCATCTATGTGCCTTGAGCCTCATATGCCTCATGCCGTATAAATAAATAAATAATATATATATATATATACACCATGATCTCGCGCCGCGTGCAAGGAGTGTCGAGTTTCACGAAGCTCGTTTTCTTCCCTTTGATAGGGGGCATGCGCCCAAAACATGCCAAGAGGCATTATTGCATCCCGGAACTCCGGGTAATCCACCTGATCCTGAAAAGGCTTCTCGATCCCACCTCAGCGGAACATAGCATAGCAGAACAGAGTAGAAGGACAGCCGCTGTCGGCACACGACTGTCGAGGGCTTGATGCCGATGGAACCACTCTGACTGTACCTTTGGATCTTCACTCGGGCAGTGAGACAAGAAGTCCTGGATCAGAGATGACAGGGCGAGGCTGGGCAAATTCCAGATTCCTGACGAAATACACACCCTCCAAGACCTCTCTACCAATGTGTGCAAGGAACGGGCCAATGACTGCGAGCCCAGTATGGCACCGTCCTGGCGGTTGCGCTTGGAGATTTGGGTTACTGTTCTCACCCTTGTGGAACAGATCTCAGTTCGCGGATGAGACTTTAAACGTTTAGATGCTTTCGGCACCCTAACAACCCGTAGGAAACCATCTCGCGACATCTATTGCAGCACAGGCGTCAAGAGCCTGCCGCAGAATGCAGTGGGGCGGAACACTCATCCACAGTGCACTATTCCAAGTAGGGGGGAGGCCTGCCCAGCCACTGATACAACAAAACCGCCTGAACACGACCCAACTTCCGTGCTTGTTGCTGCTATTTCTGGGTGACTGACTTGCGTGGGGGTTTGCATGCGTTGACAAATTCGCAAACTGCCCGAACACTGATCCTTCTTTGCCAGGCTCTTCGCCGTTGACGCTATTGACGGAGCAGTCGCGATGTCCGCTGGTGTCCTGCCACAGTATCATGCCAGCCAGAGTGTCACGCATGACCTTTCTCAAATCTGCTCAACCCCACATGAAACTACGCGAACGTACTCAACCCAGTAACAAGTTGCGGGCAAGGCACTGCGAGTCCAAGCCAGTACCGTTGCTAATGGCATTTGGGCTCGCGCTTGGGTCATCCCGTCGTACCTGCAAAGCAGCAAGGACGGTTTGAAGGCTTGGTACGGGTTAGCAGTAGCAGTAGCATGAAACCCACACACTTCGGCAGCATTGCCCCACATGCTCCATCAAAGAGGTTCGCTTGATTCGAGGTTCGCTTGATTCGGGCATGCCTGCTTAGAACCTGAGGTGAGGCAACAACAAAACACGCCATCGTCCGCAAGTGGTAGCATAGACTTAAGCTCAGCAAGCTTTCATGCGATTCAAGGAGGGCCATACCTCAAAAGAGTCCAGCAAGTCCGGCTCCAAACACTACGGCATACAGTTGGTAGCACACAGCACGAAGCCCCCGACCTTTGTCGTCACGTGGGCCGCTGCTGCTAGCATCCGCAGCTTGGATGCCCACTCAGGCTTTTTCCTGAGCAGAGGCCAGAAAAGAAAAGGTTCTGACAACCCAAACACATCGCTCAGCATTCAGCCCTTACGAAAAAAGTGGTTGCAATGCGAAAGCAGAAAGCCCCCCGCACTATTCAATGGCGATCCCAAGCGTGGGAAGCAATTCGAAACGGAAGATACCTGCTTGGTGGAATTCCTGGTTTTCATGCTTAGAGATGGAAGAGTGCGAGCCCAAGAGGGCTGCATCTGCTCCTTGGGCAAAACACGGGTTGTCAATGTCCCACTTTGAGCAGATGACTCAATATCTCAGATGGGTAGAAGCATCGACACCTTATTGCAGCAAGCGTGCTTTTCAAGGTGGGCCATGTTGAACAGTTTGTCTTTGCACGTCTCCAGAGCAGACTTTGCCACCCAACCTCGGACACTTCACGAGGGCTTAGATTCGGGTATGCTGAAACTGTGGCCTTCGCTACGATGTGAGATCATGGCAGCCATGGCAAAAGATCCCGCCAGAAGAACTGCATCCGCATCTCAAGCAAAAGGAAAGTTCGCGCTACGAGCATGAGCCCTAGAGGCCCTAGAGCCCTAGAAAGGCAAGACCTGGTCGCTCGATCACAGGCTCCGTGCCATTGCTGAGCTTGGGGCTGTCCATGTCCTCGTCAAGGAAGCAGAAGACTCGGTAGATCTTCTTTTCAAGGACTCGCCTGTCAAGCCACTGTATCGCCCCCCCACCGTTCACAAGAACTTATTTGGCTCGTGCCACTTCTTCGCCAAGCTGCGCGGCGTCGTCTTCCTCCACCTGCTCACGGCTTCTTTTGAGGGTAAGAGGGCCGAAGGTTCCAACCATCCTTGACCTTGTCGAAGTCCATGGGTGCTGACTTTAGCGACTTTATTGTTGAGAAGAGCTAAGGATTTAAGGAATCAGGGCGTGGGCCGGAGACGTTTTGGTTCCTGAAAGCATTTCGCACATCTGCCAGCTACTTGAACCCTATATAAACCAAAACCGTGAGCCCACCTTGTGCCCCCAAAAGCGTTGAAGCTCCTGTAGCTTGGGCATGAAGGCCTGGCGTCCGAAGCTTGCGGGGGCTTTCAGGATGCAAATGATGCAAATGTCTGGCAAAAAAAGCATGTCCCCATGGCCTTGCGCCAGTCATCCCAGAATCAAGCCCCAACTTAAGCTTGGCGCTTGTTGTCAAGGCTGTCACAAACGACAAAGGCCCCCAACTTCCCAGCGGGCGAAGGGATTCTGTTTCGCTACCCAAGAGGACCAGCGCAGGGTTTGTGGTGGATTTAAGATTTCAGTCTCAGGCATGGGAATGAGGGGAACGCTGCTTAAAATAGTAGGAGCCCTTTTAGACCTATCCGGCACAGCCTGAGCCCTGAACAGCAGAAATCGGCAAGGCCCTAGCCCTGCCATGTCGACCCCAAACAACTCTTCAGATCCAGGTGGCTGCAATCCTCGCGATGCGGCCGAATCCTTGTGCTTGGGGGAAGTTCTGTTACCCCCTTCTCAGGTCGCATCATAGATCACAGAACCCTTTTCCGAAAGCCAAAGTAACCTCGAACTAAGGTCGCTCAGTACCATGAGGAAAAAACTCCCTTGGCAAAGTGAGGCGTCTCTCAACCACGAGCACTTTTGGGAGGTTTTTCGAGTACGGTATAGGAGGGATCCGGAAAATGGGCAGGTCGGGCCAATGCAATCCAGGCTCGATTCAGACGCGCCGCTCGCGCGGAGCGCCCGAAAAGGCGCAGCATCCTGGTAAGCCTGGAAAAGGGACTCGTGTGCAACTTCGTCCACGCGAGGCAGACAGTGCCGACAGATGACTAGCATGGGGCGGCCGCGCGGAATCTGTTTATCGACCATGTTATGTACACGTGCACACATATGCTGCAGAAGCTTCTGCCGTCTGTGAAAAGTCTAGAAGGTCAGTTGGGGTTCCGATTCAGGTTACAAAAAGAAAGAAGAGTTTCACGCATGCAGATCTGGAAAAGGGCATTGACAAAATTGAAGAGCAGACCTATAGCTAAACCTGTAGCTGCCCAAGCTTCAGAATGTAGGCCTCACACACATTACACTTGAAACGTCGCAAGTTCAGGTCACGAACTGTCACGAACCGCCAGAGGCTGGAAAGAGATTCAGTCGTCGTGACTTCGCGTTGCATTTTGGATTTGAGGGCAGCTCTCACTCAGAAACACAAATGGGCGCAGATGAGCCTGCTAGAGCGGCCCGCCACAAAGGCACTGCCATCGTTGGCCAGTTGCATGATGATCGTGTCCTGGCGTTGGGCGCTGGAGACTCTGGAGGTCGAAGCGTCAGTCATCTCGTTGTCGCATGCTTTCACAAGGCTTGAAGCGGCAGATGCTCCGTGCAAATCTGCACACTCAACACGATTTCTGAAGTGTCCGCCAGGTTTCTGGAATAAGGGAAATGAAAGCCACAAGATCCAGAATGAAGAAGGCGCTGGTCATGTAGCCGCGCTTCCCCATGCAATGCCTGAGCAGAAGCGTGGGCGTTTAGGTTTGGAGGCAGCAACAGCCTAAACTCCAACGGCCAGCTCATATGCCATACGCTAACATCTCTGTCCCGAGTGAGTAAGTGCACCTTGCCCAGATTGTCCAGTCTGATCTCAGGTTTTGCGGACATTTCGGCTTCATTACGATTCAACATTCTATTACGGGTGCCTCGTTGCACCGGGCCCAGTGCAAGCTGGAGGCCCTGACTGTTGTAAGGACCAAGGAACTGAGAATCCATGCAAGGGGTTCCCGAGAGCAGGGACCCGAGTCCCGAACACCGCGCACCCGTTGCACCACTTGCGTCATTGAGAAGGCTTAAGTTCTGGACTCCTGACTGACTCCTGGGCACTGCAACTAAGGTGCACAAACAGCTCGAAGAGGAACGCAATGGCAACCAGTGTCGTGCAGATGGCCACTCCTATTCGGGAGGACCTTCAATCAACAGCACGAGACGCTCACATGAAGCTGCTGGGCAGCCAAGAAACCAACACAAAGCTTCATTCGAGTTGACTCTCAGACATCTTATGATACCAATGTCAGCTTCAGTGACAGACCCAGACGGAAACTTTGAAGAGCTTCTGCGAGCTTGTTGTTTTTTGGGTACATCCTGGCACCTCAATCCTTCAGCTGCGCCCAGGTCAACCTTCAAGGATTCAAGAAGACCGGTCACGAGCTCTCGGGCCAGGCGGCTTATCCCCGACCATCGCATCGATGTCGATGGCGAAAAGGGCATATGCCGTGAAGAAAATGTACGTGCCCGTCCATGCCCTGGTTGCAAAGGGGTGCATGTCCTTTCAATTCTTACGTTCAGAACTCTTTCCGCGAGACCCGATGCCTTCTCTCTTCGGTCCCAAGGTGCCCCATGAGCTCGAAACAGGCCCCTTGGAGCTAAACAACCGTTCAGTTTTAAAGCCTTTTCGTCGTAGTGCAGCCATGATGCCGCTTGTTCTGTAGCTGTTCGCAGAACTCTTGGATGGGCCCCTTCTCCAGCTCCAGCTCTTCCTCATCTTCATGCTCTGGGGTGCTGCAAGGCGGTCTCAACATGCCTTCACCTAGCTGCTCCAAGTAGCACTTCTGGCAGCATGCCAAATTCAAGGGGGCTGGCAACTATCCAAAGCACAAGTCCAAACATCTCAAAGGGCATACATCTGATGAAAACCTGAACAATTCATGCAGCCCCACTTTTAATGCGCAGCTTGATCAGGCTGTGCCCGATATCATGTGTGGCCACTGAGCCGAGATTCCTGCTGCCTCTCCAAGCCTTCAGCCGTCCACACTGTGGGCACACCCTCCTGCGCAGAAGCGGGCGATGTGGGATAACATTGGAGAGCCCCTTCCCCCGAAAACTGCAAAAGCCGGTCTGAAGAGAGATAAAGATCTTCACGAAGCCTTGTGTCAACAAATCGAACGAACCCCCACCTCTGCTTCTGCAGCGGCAAGAGAGCGCCAGGACTGCGATCGGAGAAGTAAACCTCGACTCTAAACGATCACGGTCTCGGACCCAAGTCTTGAGGTTCTGGGCGCAAGGGGGAGCAGCAGGGGAGGGACGTAAGGGTTTGCAAGCATTACAGCTCGGTAGATTGGAACGAGAGAATTCCGCCTATATCAGCTGACAGACAGTGGAAGCCCTGAGACCTGGTCTGAGGAGCTCAGGATCTTCTGAACATAGGTATTACAACTCGGGAAGGGGCGGGGGGGGGGGGGAAGGGGGGGAGGCGGGGAAGGCGGATGCAAGGCGGATCTTGCAGTTGACACCGGGATCCTATCCGTCTCACCTGAAATACAACACTCCGATCCATCACAAGGGGCTTCGGCTGTTCTCGGACTCATTGAAGATGGAAGTACCTCGGGTACAGCCAGAGGGCGCTTGCCTGAAGAGGCGAAAACGTGCTGTACATGCAGAAAACCAACATTTGGAATACACAACAATAAAGAAACTAAACAAGTTGTGCGATTTGCTGTTGGAGTTTCAGACCTTTACACCACTCCTGGAGCTCTACCGGTCTCGACCCTTCTAAACCCCAAACATCCCTGGACGCCCAAGACATCCCACAGAGTTGAGATACCCCTTGCAACGTATCCTGATTTGAATCCCAAGGCCAGGCACTTCCTCGGGCATCCTCCAAGCCGGGCCCCGCACGGCGGAACTCATATCCTTGTCGGCTCCGGGCCAACTGAGGGCTCGTGAGGGCTCTTGAAGGGCTTTCCGGAACTTTAAGGAAGTTGGGCTTATAAGGCCATGCTTGTAGCTGGCTCAGCCAGAGGATGCCAACCGTGAGGGAAAAAGGGGACAGGGTTTTCGCAGATTCGAAGGCTGGAGGGGCAACGGAGACCACCCCAGCTCTGAAGTAGGGACTTCTGGCATCGTACTTTGGCTCCTGGTCAATTGCACGTCCCTGAGCCCTCAAACTCAGAGGTCGAGCGTCTCAGCACGTTGTCCAGGTAGTTGATGTTGGGAGGCTCCTTCGGCTCCTTTGTCGGGGCACAAGATTGGCTCAACTTGTTCAGGCTCTTATCTTTCAAGGCCCTCCTGCTTTTAAGAACCCTTCCTCCGAAAGCTTCCCCCCCCCCCACAAAAAAAAACAAAAACAAAAACACATCATATAAATATAAATAATCCCCACCCCACACACACGCCGGCAGCCGTACCTGACAATGAAGTGAGAAAAAGTGTGCGAACGAACTATTTGAGACACAAAGTCACTCTCACATAAGAAAGACCCTTCCCACCCTCAACTTCCGCTTGGGCTCCTCAGGGTCGCTTCCTTGCGTCGCGACGCTTATGGCTCGGCTGATTAGGCCGGCCGTGTCGGACAACCTTGGGCTAGGGCTTCGATGCTTGCAGGTCTTCTGCATTGGGGATTGCATAATTCGGCGTTTGGCTTGATAAGGCTGGTTTCCAACCCAAGGGCCGAAAAAGGTCGTCCCAACAAAAACTGAGAACATCAGAGTGCGGAGGCCCCTCCACCCTGTGTAGTGAACGTCAGTCTACACTCATATTATTGGCGGGGGTGCCTGGACTCAACCCCAGGACCTCGGGAAATCTTTTCGGGGCAGAAATGCACACTTCTCCCGAAATTGTGTGAAGGACTGGTGAAGGCTTCGTGGCCTGTTCTGCTTTACGACATCGTGGTGTTCTGAACACTTCCCCCCAGCCCTGAATCGCCTGAAAAGCTTCGACTCTCCATGACTAGTACGCCCTTCATGCCCGAAGCCCTTGAATCTGCAACAGCAAGCGCAGTGCAGGAGAAACATGCTCCGCTCTATACCCAGCAGAACGTGCCGAAGCAAGTTCCATGGACAAAAGCTTCAGGGTCTTTTCTTTTCACGCATGCTGTGCCGTTTTCCACCATGCCATTTCTTCTCTACCCCCTTCCAAACCATTCCAGTGGCTCTGAACGACAATCCGCATCATTGTCATCACTTGCGGCGGCGCTGATTTTCCTCGGTTGGGAACATGTAAGTGGGCAGACACAGACTTTGTTTTTGTGGGCGCTGGAAGCTCAGCTCCAGCCCCAAAACCCTACATCAAGATCTGCAAACCACGCGGGTGCAGTATGGAAAGTAACTTCACACTCTTCCAGCTTGAACCTATAGGATTGAGGATGCTAAGCTACCATGTTGCGAGCAAGTCCGGATTTGAGGTCTTGGTGCCCAGCCATATGCTGCCGAGAGTGAATATGCATATTCATGGGTTTTGAAAGACCTCTTCGGGGCCTCTTCGGTTGACTTCTGCTTTCTGGGAGGAGAGCTGCAGGTTCCTTCATGGGGCCCGAAGTTTCCGAAACCTTCGTGGTCAAAGCCGTGCCCTTCAATCCAACACTTGCAACGCCTCCAAGCAGAACACATGTCCCTGAGTGTGCTCTGCTTTGGTATCTGGGATGCTTTCCCAACCATGGCCAAGATGCACTTTCACGGGCACAACCACACTTCTCTTCCGCTTTCGATCTGCGCAGGTTGTTGCGACTGTCCCACTGCCGCTGCGAAAATCGTTGCCAACAACTTTTGCTTGAAGGCAGAGGAATGTTATGCAATTCAGACACAAACCGACCCTGGACAGCAGGCAACACCGAGCAGTTCGGAGAAACTAAGCACCTAGACCAGTTCAAGCCTTCCGCCTCACACCCATGCTGAGAGACCCCAGCATGTGCCTCGGAAGATGCCGCTGGGATCTGCCGATGCCGTCGGCGAGGGAGCCGGTGAATTGCCAGGGGTGCTTCTCACCTAACATCATGGAACGCTCAAAGCTGCACCAATCCCTTCCTCACGTGCCGGTAATATTTGTCCATATGTAGCAGCACAGAACTGCACTCCAGACCTATGCTAGGCCACTGGGCTTTGGCAAACAAATCTCGAGGGAGGTGTTCCGTTGCTTGGCCGACCTTGTTGGGAAGGGCGGTTCTGCACGACTTACTAACTTCGGAACAGCAACGTGAACCTGCGATTTATGAGCCGGCTATTTGCGGCTCATTATTAATAGACCCCCCACAAACATAGACAACAGTACTGAGACAGGATAAGCCCCAGAAGCCTTACATCTTACAGTATAGAGCCATAGTGCAGGCTTCTAGACTTGAAGAGGGTGCAACTTTAGCAGAACAGGCGCCCTTCCACAATTATGCCACAGCACAGTTAGGGTGTGCGTACTGCGCTTGACTTTCCGGGTTCACAATCCCGTGTCCACGGTGGAAAAATTGTCCTTTCGTCCTAGAAACCCCAAACCAACATGCTTCTTTGCCAGCCGAGCTTACGGAAGGTCTGCGCGAATCGCGCGGGGATTCCAGGAAAGTGATCTCCTCAAAAACCGGTCATTTGGTGGAATCCAGATCCAGAAACCCCAAGTAAGTTGCTGGATGGCGGGTAAGCACTGCAGTGACGAGGAGCAAAGCATTGCAAAAAGCAGAAAGTACAGCAACTTGGCGGTTGCGGAGGCTATTGTTTGAGTCCCTAAGCCCTTTTTTGCATCCTGGCCTCGTAACGACTGCCGGGTAAAACCCCTCTCTCTCTCTCTCTCTCTCTCTCTCTCTCACAGTTTACCCCTAAACCCCTAAACCCTAAACCCCTGAACCCCCCTCAACAACCTGGGAAACGCTCCTTGGGCCGGCTGTCTTTGGAGCCCATGCGGCTCCCCGGCGCCTGCAGAGTCATACCTCAAGCGGATGCCATGAAGGCTAAGGGTTCGGGGTTCAGGGTTTAGGGGGTTTAGGCGGTTTAGGCGGTTTAGGCGGTTTAGGGTTTAGGGTTTAAGCCAACCAACCAATGGAGGCCATTGGCATGTGAAAGCATCCACAGCACGGGCAATTTAGGAAGGGTTGAAGGCAAATAGGTATGCGCATGCCCAAGCAAGATCTCAGAGCTATATCCAAACTACGCAAATGCTCATCTAGTTGCAACTAGCGTATCATTCTTGAGGCATTTCATTTTGGAGCTGGTGTAAGTTGTTCTCGGAGATGTTGGTTGCATGCATGACCTTCGAAACGATTTGTTGCATATAAAAGCCACGACATTGCAGAACGGCACTGCTGGACCAAAACCCTGAACTTCAAGATAGCCCTATAGAATCCTATAGACCCCCATAAGGCCACAGCCTGCAGTCGCACAAGGCCGGTCTTCGGCCTACGACTGCGCCATGGACATTCAGGCCCTATGGCTGCGGGGAGTCTGGGGCTTTGTTTTTTGGTGACTTTTTGTGCTCAGCCCCCTGAACCCTGGACTTCTTGAGTTGCTGAGATATGCGAAGGTTTGAAGTTAGGTCAAGGCATGACACGATGTGACATCTGCTCTGGTCTGTAATCTGGCTTGGTTCAGTTCAGTTCATTTCAGCTGCTCCAAGTTGGGGGTCAGAGCCTTTCGTGGCTGAGGCTTCTTTTGTTTGGGTTTGGGCGCCTGGTGACCTTTCCAGGCTGTTGCAGGCGCAAATACCCTTGGAGGGTACTGCAGCGGCTGCGTCTACTAAGTAGAGCTACGCCATCTTCCAGCAAAAATGGCGGCGGCGGCTGGCGGACTGCGGACAAGTTACGGGCTTTCCGGGCTTCCGCGCATCCTTCCGACTTCAGCAGTAAACTCACTGGACCTCTGCCTTGAATGTGTAGAACAAGGGGGACATAAGAAGCGAACAATGAGCTTGGCAACCAGCTCAGCTTTAACAAGGCCCTTGAAGACATTCCGGTACTTTTTTGACTTCCGGCACCATGCCCACCACACGCGGCCAGCAGCATGTTAAGGACAGCCTCTTGCCCACTTTCTTGCGCTGCCTGCCGAAAAGCTACATTCACAACAACGATCGCAGTCTGAAGGTGTAGTCGGCTTACGTAGTTGCATGGTGCAAGATGCTTGATGAGCTTGGTTGGTCGTCTTGGGATGTTGGTTTCCGGTCAGGTCGAGCTCAGTTTTTGTCAGCTTTTGTTCTACGCAAGGAAGCCCTCATACCAGAGCATATCAAATTTCCGTCACCGAGTCCACTGGCAGCCTGCAGAGCTGTGCGGCCGCCGATGCCCGTGCGCCGGGGATCCGCCGCCGCCTCCGAAGCCCTCGTATACTGTCAGTATACTTGTATACAGTGTCAAGAACCTATGCACACCAAGCAATCTGGTTGGCGGAAGGTGAAGACCGCGTTGCCGTGTGCTCTGACTCTAGCTATCCTTTTGCTCTGCCCGGTTTACCCAACCCTCACCCCCAAAAAAGAAAGTAGGGTGAACATTTGCTCCTCTATAATTTGGCGGTCCCTCTTGAACGACGTCCCTCAATATCGCTAGCATTTGCCACTTTAAGCCTGCGAACTTCTCTTCATATAGAGAGCCGCTCTCCCAGTGTTCAACATCACGGGCTGAAGTGGACTTTAACCCGATTATACCCGATTCAACCTGATGCAACCCTTTGCTTTCATGGGCCCGGCCCGACCGAGACTCAGGTTTTCTGAGAAGGAACTCCAACGTTCTGGGCAATTAGGGACTAGGGACAGGGCCCCAAGCGCTCCCCATATGCACCTCCAACAGAAGACGTGCCACATCAGGAAAGCCACGGGCAGCAGCTGAGATGAGAGGGATGCGGTCCCTGCTCCTTGGCTTCTTGGGTATGTTCTCTCATTCTGTCCATGAATCGAAGGCTGGGTGAATCAACAAGCATACAACAATGTGAGTGTGAGGGTGATGCGTAGGTCCTAGGTGATTGGACAACGTGCAGGCGAAGCCGTCATCTTCTGCAGAGCAATGCGGAAGTCCATCATTGTTCTGTTATGTGCAGGCTCATGCGGCTTCGTCCCCCCCCCCTTCCACACTCATGCAGCTCAAGGCAGAACATTCAGATGATAGCTGAACAAGGTTGTGTTTTTTCAACAGTAAAAGGAGGCAAAGTTTTGCCAATGAGGTGTCAGGAGTCCCAGAGGCATTAACATTTGCCTGCGCGCGCAGGAGCAGGCGCACCACTTCCAACTGGCCGGCGGAGGCTGCAGCATGAAGAGGTATATCTGCCCAGCCATAGTACATGTCGTCTACATTGGCCCTCGCATGGATAAGCAGCTGCAGGGCATCAACGCGATTTGCGGCGATGGCGGCGGTCAAGGGCGTTCGACCAGAAATGTCTGCTTCGTTGAGGGAAGCCTGGGCAGCGATGAGAGAGTGCAGGATGCCCAGATGCCCGGAAGCTGCAGCTGCAAGGACAGAGCGGTTGCCCCAGCAGTTCTCCTGGTCCACGTTTGCCCGCGCTTCGAGAAGGATCCTCACCACCTGAAGATTTTCCAATTATTGAGATCACACTCGGTCCAATGGTCCAACCAAGCCCTTTGGACCACTGTTCAGGGATGTGGGGGTCCAAGGAAAGTTTGGACGCTCCGAAGCCCAACTCGAGAGCTTCAGCCCTCACTTGGCCTCCCCATGACCACGTGAAGCCGCTTCCAGCAAAGGGCTGCGGCCTTCCGAGTCTCGCGTGTCCTTCTCCACAACAGAATGTGCTCAACATTTGTGGGCGAGGAAATTGGATTCTGGGTTTAAGTGAGTTTAAGTGCGCCCTTTGGCTTGAAGGATGTGTTGGCTTCTTATGCTCTCAGGACTGCGCGGTTGAAGCAACATCCTCCCGCCCAACTCTCTGGTCTGGAAGCCGATATGTGCCACTTGCCCCACTTGCAAGCTTTACTTGCACCACTAATCGATTTCTGCCACTTGCCCCAGTTGCCCCGCTTGCCCCATGCCTCACTTATCCCGCAGACCCCCTTTCCGCCAAATGGAGTGCCCCAAAGAACGTTTGTGGTTGGCGTGGGCGCTCGCAAGCAACCAGTGTGCCATGGGTCCTTGTCCGCTCCTGCCTCCAGCAGCAGCTGCGCAGCTGCCACGAGGCCTTTAATGGCGGCCTCCTGAAGAGCAGTGCCCCTGGTACCTGCAGGTTCCTTTTGGAAAGCCCTCTTCACTTTTCAAAGATTATCTATAGAGTCCTACAGAGTGTACACACCACAACCCTACTGTGCCAGGCCAAACTTTTTTGATAAGGGGTTGTTACCATACATTAAAGCTTGCTTGTCAATGCTGAATCCCTGGCACCGTTCCGGTTCACGTTTGCGCGAGACTGGATGAGCAGCTGCACCAGGGCCATGTGCTCTTGATGGATGGCAATTTGCAGCGGCGAGAAGCCCCGCATGTCCAGGGAGTCGAGGGAAGCTTTGGCCTTGAACAAGGTGGACAAGGGGACGCAGGAGAACAAGAACGCTGGAAACCCGAAAGTAATCTAAAGTAGAGGTTTCGGATACGGCGTCTATACCAGCCATTCAATTCTACCGCTAGGGCCTCTAGGGTATACGGGCTTTCTCAGCGAGGTTGGCGTGGCCGCCTAGGGCCTAGCCTCATGGAGCAACGCCACGAGATGCGAGTTGCCAAGGTAGCTGGCGGCAGTTAGGGCTGTGAAGCCCGAGAAGTCTGAGTCGGAAAACTGGGAGAAGAAGCAATCCGGATCCTGGGCCTTGCCAAGAAGATCCTGCGCATCATCGTTTTGGCGTGCGTGAACCCCATCAATTCACGCATCCTTCAGACAGTTCTTACAAACTTAAAGCTCCATGCGCCGCACGAGGATGCACGAGGTGTATTCATTACATCTGTGTGCCTTGCCTCGGCAGCAATCACATCTTGTGAAGCAATGGCCGCAAGCAGGGCAGCGTCGTAGTCGTGTACAAGGCCTGTAGGCTCATGGGCCAGTGCAACCGAGGCCGTGAACCCACTTGAAGATTTTAGACACTGGTGCAGCTGCTGGGGAACCCGAAACCTCAGTCCCACAACTGTCCTGCGAACTCGCAGTAAACAGCGGTCACGTCCGTGGTGCTGAAGAGGCTACGGAGTGCCTCTGCAGCTGCTCTCTGTTGGCTCTCTCGCTTGCTCGCTCGCTTCCTTCCTTCCTTGCTTCCTCGCTTGCTTGCTTGCTGCCAGTCAAGGCCCCTGGGCAGGAGAGCCGCCCCGAAGGGCACGTCAGTCTCAAGGTCCGTTTGAGAGGACAGCCGCGTTGTTCGCAGCGTCCGTTTGGTTTGGCTGACAAAAAGCAATCTCTTTCTCTCTCACTCGCTGCCTTTTCTTCAAATTCCAAATTCCGCAGCCTGCATGAAGTTCCAGTCAGACCCTGTCCCCCCTCCCTTCCAATCCTCTCTCTGTCTCTCTCCTCTTCTTTCCCAGACCCGTCGCCGAATGCTTCGGGGTCTGTCCAGTAGGGTATATATTGCTACACTTGGCCGGTTTCTCTTCATTCCAGCCGCAATCCCGAGCGATCCAAAGAGTCTATCCTTTTTTCTTCTTTTTATTCTACTCAGCGAAGAGGCCTCCCCAAGAGGAAGGACCCCGGCCACGACGGCCCGCTTCTCCGTCCAGTCCGAGTGAGCCGGGCCTAGGTGTAGTGGTTGGGTGCTTATCCCTCTCTCTCCCCCTTCTCTTTTCTTCTGCTTCTTCTATTTCGTCTTCTTCCCTGCAGCAGGCATGAAGTTCGGGGGCGAACCCGCTTCCCCCGAGCAGTCGCACGTCTGTAGACCAAGGAAGGAAGCCAACGGAATCTGAGACACAGCGGAACCTGGACAGAAATTGACAGAAGTGGGGCGTTGCGTCCCAGTTCTCCCACGAAAGCAAATGACACAATGACAGCAGGCCATGACAACACGATCGCACCCTCCGACATTGTCAGAAGACACACCCCGTAAGCCATGTCAGTGACATGCTGCTCTCCGCTCGGGACACAAAGCTGAGAGGAGCTGGCAAAATCTTCAGATGCGTGCACCTCAAGGGCTGCTGTTGAAAGCGAAAACTGTGCTTCAAAGTTGTAAGTATCTTCGAAGTACTATGGGCTCCACTTTGACTGGTGGACCTTATGTCTCCTGGTTCACGAACGCACACTGACAAAAAACTACACCCCCCAAGCTACCTCCGAATGAAATCCCCCTCTCTTTCCCTTTCTATTGAACTTTTGAGAGGCTTCAAGCTCCCGCTTCCTGCACCAGTCTCTCCCTAACTCGTCATTTTCTTTGTTTTCTTTCTTTCTGGGGCCTGACAGTCCGCGCGTCGGGACGTGTTGTAGTCGGCGGCAGCGTAGGTTTGGGAGGGGGTGTCTGATAGAGCTCTCATAAGGCCTGCATTACCAGGTTGTTTTTTGGTTTTCTCTCTTTTTGGTTTTCTCTCTCACTCACTCTCACCCTCACTCTCCCTCAAGCACTGGAAACAGGTTTGGTTTCTTTAGGGCTTCGAGGCTTCGAGCACACACGCCAGGCAAGGATTCAGGTTGTCCACATCACTCATCTTACATGCCCTAGTGCCCCCTTTCTCCCCAACAAACCGTCTTACTTCTAAGTTCACTTGAGCCTCGAGTTGTCATGCTACGGCCTAACTTTGCGCCAATTGCGTGGTGATTCATGCCTCCTCAAACCAGCATCACAAAACCATCCCCCACAACAGCATAAGACCAAGTGGCTAACCCAGCACCGAGGACCCAGTAACCAGCTGTGAAACCCTTCTCTCAGTACCCATAGTACCCGACTTCGTGTGGCTATTCATCACATGGGGAAGCACATGCTTCACGTCTTCTACAGGCTGTTCGCACCTTCCTCTTGATGCCTCACTACTCTGGGCATGGCCGTCTGTATCACGGTCTCCGTACGCTTCATCTCGGAACTGACATGTCCTAGTTTTGCAGACGCTTCTGGTGTCGCCTGTGCTCTCCCGGTGCTCAAGCCTCTTCATGCACCTCTTCATGTGTCTCTGCGGCATGCATCCGTGTCACCCCCGAGGTTTAGGGTTTTCGAAGTTGTGAACCCCCTCGCGCACAATGTGCGCCAGTCCTCACGTTCCGAGTGACACCGTCTTTGCGCTACAGTGCTCCCTGTCTCCCTCCCTCCTTCTCTTTCTACCGCATGCTGTGTTTGACATTGAGGACAGCAAACCAACTTCTGTTCGGCAATCCCACGCCGGCGCCTCATCATTCAACTCATCTTCTCCTAGCATCAGCCTGGGCAAATGCAAGCCAGCTGCCTTCTTGCCCGATTCTAGCCAGTGCCTGTGGCACTCCAATCTCAACCAAAACCTTCGAACATCTCATACACATCTGAAACCTGCTGGTGTTGCGGCAACGAAGCTGAATTTTGCTCTGCCTTGGAACATGATACATGTGCACTGAGACTGCATCGAACCTTGTGTCTGTTCTTGGTCAACGGCTCAGTAAACCTTCGTTGAAAACAAACCCTGACGGCTTCACCTGCCAACTCACTGCTCACTGCGTGGCCTGAGTTTGAAGTGTGGCCAGTGCAGTTCTCTTCCCAGCAGCCTCTTCAAGTCCCTCACGGACTGTGCAGAGCCTTGCCAGGTGCCGAGGGTCTAAAGGCATTCTCTATAGAACCAAGCCAGCAATGGCCTTCCCTGACGTACAATGTTTTGCGGGTTGTGCCGAAGAACTCCTTGGGAGCTCCATCACGATGCTGCCGGAAATCAGCCTCACCTGGAGTTATGGGGCGCGCAACAGCACTCGAGCTTAGCTTTTAAATTCTATTCTATATCAGCCTTCATCAGACTCTTGGCCTGAACCAGGTATTGAGTTTGTTTACGGCGACTCTGAGAAGCCGTGCCTTCAACATTGGCTCAGCATGGGTGATGGTGACAGCTTCAGATGGCGCACGCATTATGCCGCAGATCCAAGCTTCGGATCTGCTTAGTATGCTGAGGCGTGCGAGGGCTCGGCTTAGGCAGTTCACAGGGGCTTCATGGTCTGGAGGGGTCGTGAGGGATGTCGCGGTTTGATTGTCGCAGTCCATCTATAGAGAGTGCTTCAGCCTACTAGCTGGGCTGCCGAGCCAGATGTCGCAGCACATCAGAACAATTCAGAACAATGAGCTCACAAAAAAGGCCGGAGAATTTTCAGCCGTTGAACGCCCCCGCGAAAGCGTCCCTCAACTTCTGTCGAGCTGGGCGGGACAGCCCACATCCCTCAACAACTCCATTGCCGTGCAAGGGTGCCACGATTTGTTCCATACGATACAAACGAGTTTCTGCATATGTGAATATAGATGTGTGGATGCTGACTCGCTGATTCTCGTTGTAGTGTATGAGTATGAGTGCCTTTGTTTCTGGTATGCTTCGCCCCGCCAGTACTGCATCCCTTGCTTTTGCTTGGCGAGTTGCCCGACTGCAGTAACTGCAGTAACCTGGAATCAAACCACTGACGTCCTATCTCCGACAGCCTAACCGCAAGTTACAGCAAATTTTGTCCAAGCCGCAAGGAGAGATCCCGAGTTAAACCAAACCCTTCAGCTGCCGCACCCCAGATCCTCAACACCCGACACGCAAGTCCACAAACTCAGGAAATCACCATCGGCCTTGAACTCACGTTCCGAGCCCTGGCAGGTCCAGCTTACCGCATGAAGTCTACGGAACGGGCTTGCCTGTGGCGTTGCTTGGCTGTTGGGGCTTCTGTGAGTTCTCGTGGCCCCGACACAAACCACTCTGAACACCACATGCAAGCCTCACTGTTGAGCATATTCGTTGGTGGATCTGAGTGGAAGAGTCTGAGCTGGGCCACGAGTGACTGGTCTTCATCGCCACGAACTTCTGGGTCTTAAGCTCAAGCTTCGTACAACGGTTGAGGCTCGAAGTCCACGCGCCCTTTTGCTGTGATCAGCGCAGCTGCTCAGCTAGCGCCGACAGGCTCGTTGCTTCACCTGGATCGGCGCGCGTCTGCCTGGAAGGACCGGGATACTCCTTTGACTTGGAACTTGTTGCTTGCAAGCAGCTGGGCTTGTGGCTTTGTGGTTCTTGAAGGTTGTGTGTCTCAAGCTGCTGGTTTTGTGGGGGGAGCCGGGATGTCCCAACATTCCCACTTGCATCCACTGAACTAGGAGGTGGGACACAAAGATCACGGGCCAGCATGCTCAGATATGCTCAGCCAGAAAGTCAGAGTCAAGAGTTGCTCCTGCATATGTAATGTAACATCTGACTTCGAGGACCCAAGATGGCAGATCCGAACAGAACAGCCAACCGAGACGCTGTCTTAAACAAAGTGCAGGTTGCAAATGCCGGAGCACGGATGTCAGCTCTGCGAAAGCCTGCCGCTGCAAGGCACTCTTCGCACAAAGGCTCCTAACATGCAACGATGTGCTATCGACAACACACACACACAGACACAGAGACACAGAGACACAGAGACACACACACACACACACAGAGACACAGACACAGACAGACACACACAGACAGAGACACAGACAGACAGACACACACACACACACAGACAGAGACACAGACAGAGACACAGACAGAGACAGACAGAGACACAGACAGAGACACAGACAGAGACACGGAGACACACACACACACACACAGAGAGACACAGACACAGACACAGACACAGAGACTCACACACACACACACACACAGAGACACAGACGACACACGCGCGCGGAAACAGAACAGAAACACAAAATGCACAGATACACCTCCTGCAAGCTTGAGGGTGTTGGGGCCGAGCTTGTCGGGTCGAAGGCTGCTACATTGGATGTCCTGCCTCATCACGAGTGTGCGATGCGCAGCCGATCAGCCTCTGGTGAGACACCCCGACCCACGGAAGGCAACAAGCAGGAGTGCTGTATACCAACCATGGCAGTGATAAACATGACAAGGAGGGATTGTCTGCGTGGCGAAAGAACTTCGAGCACGCAGGCTTTGCTGCTGCACAGCACTCAAAATTCGGCGGGTAGGACCAGGTAGGACATCTCACAGCTCAGAAAACCTGTAAGAAAGGTCACCGGCTTGGAACTCGAGCGTTCTTAGGCTCACATGGCCTCAATATCAGAGTGGCGTGACGAGAGCTAGGTCTTGTGGCACTGCCAAGACAGGCTTTCGGGGGTTTGCGTGAACACCTTTCGGGCGAGTCGAAACCGCACCAAGTTAAAAACCTGAGTCCGCATCTCTGAAATTCCTACAGGAAGCCCCTAATCTCCACGGAATGACACGGAGTGACGCGCCTGAATGCAAGCGGGTCGAGTGCCCTGAAGTCGACCAGCCCAGCCCGGTTCAGTGGGGCATCCGTGATGGCACAGCGGTCCTCGAAACGCTGGGAGAAAGTTTTATTTTATTCAGAACTTGGCACAAACCCTGCGAGATTCTTTGACTTGTCACAGGATGGCTTTGAACCGATGCTTCAATGCTTCTCAACCCGCTGAAAAGACGATTTGCGCCGTGGCCCTGCTCAAAAAATGGTATATAATTAATAACACACCGGAGCCTACAGGGATGGGACTGAATCTAGTCCGGCGTCTGGCCAATGCGAAGTGGTGGCACCAAGCCTCACGAGCATCTCTGCGTTACAATCAGTGAGCGGCCACTACGCCGGGAAGTTCGGCCTGGAAGTGTGCTGAAACACCGTCGTGCATGCAACGAGACCACTATTCGCCTGGAACCCATGATGATAACCCAAGACGCGCAGTGCGGTCCCCCACTCGGTACGCGCCAAGGTGACGTGCAGAAGCCTGCCAAGTCCTACGAAGTCTGGGATAGAACAATTCTTTGACAGATGAGAGACAACAAGAAGTCTTGCTCTAAGTCCCTGAAGCCTTGACATGCCCCTCACTCCAAGGCCGGCAAGTCACACCGCAGCGGCTTGACGTAGACGGAGCGTGCCCTCACCAATGCAAGGTTCGCCGGGGGGTGGGGGGGGCTAACGAGAAGTTAAGCCAACACGGGCTTGCAGCCAGAGCGCGCACCCACCTAAACGCTTCTGCTACTTGTTGAATTTGGAAGGAGAAATTTCACTTTACAAAACAAAGGCTCCTGCAATACAAACTACAAACTGCAAACGGACAACTCTCAGAACCAACTACAACAAAGTACTGCTAATTACTAAGGCCAACGACGACGACAACTACTCCTAAGTATGGTACTGCGCACTACTATCAGTACTGCTAGCGGCAACCACAATCAACAAGAAAAAACAGCAACCTACAGTGCGCGTAGCTCTTCCAGGCCAGCAAGTGGGTCAAGTGGGGGCAACATCAATTAGCTTTCCAGAAAAAACAAATGTGGGGGAAGTGGGGCAATATCAATTAAATTAGTGGCTGCTGTGGGCACTCGCATTGAACCAACAGCGACCAACAGCAAGAGCAGCAGCGACAATAAGAAAGTTGAGCAAGGGCTATCCAGGAAGGATATCGTTGGGTTGGGTGCAACACTGTCGCGCAGATCGAACTCGATGGGCTGAATGGGCTGCAACGGACAAGCCTGAAAGGGCCTGAACCAAGGACTTATGCCTTACTCGCGGCCACGCCATCCCTTGCGATTGACATGCCAAACAAAATGCTACGAAGACTACTAGGGCTATCCAACAAAGAAGAACGCTACCGCCGCAAACAACCAACCAACAGCCAACAACGGAGCCGCTTGGGAACTACAAAACCGGCCATGACAATGACGACGACAACTCTTTCTTCCTTCCTTTTCACCCTCTCATTCTCTCTATTTCTGTTGAACGGGACAAAGGCCATGATTTCTGGAACCGCTGTACACAAAGCAAATTTTGATAGACTGATAGATGTCATCACGCTTACGATAGCAGACGAGAAAACCAACACACACACACACAGTGCATGCTTGAGATGATGGGCTTTTGCCTCCTGCGTTTTGCTTTTTGCGAACTTGGTGGGCTCAAGATGCTTGTCACCCCTCTTCCACTTTCCAGGAGTAGAGGACGCGCAATAATCGAGAAGAACATCTGTAAGGTATTCTTTTGCCACCCACGCATAACTGGACGTGCCAACTCTAAAGACTCCAGGGCCCTTAGGGTGCTTTCCCTCGGGCTTTGGGGGTTCTCGAGTTGCGACTGAGTTTGGAGCTCGAGTTTCGTGCTGTTTGTATACTTACATGCTTGTTCATCTTTCTGCCTTTGATGGCTTTTTTGAACGAACCCAACCGGAAGCTTGAGGTTTGCAATGGTTTGCATCACCCCGTCTCCTCTGACGCCGAGCTGCGCGGCGTTGCACAAACGTACCTGCATCCGTATCACGCTGCTTATTTTGGCGAGAGCAGAGCTTGAGAGCTTTTCCACTTTTCTATGCCGACTCTTCCGGAGAGGAAGCCCTGATGCCGACGTGTGGGATTGAATTCTGTAAGACGGTTTCAAAACTCCTGCCCAAACAATACCAATTTTGTCCTCACTCCCAACATCCTGGGTTCTGCACATATCAGCCAGGGAACGCCACCAAACGCGTGAGTTTGGGAACTGAACTGTCGCAGTTGAGCTCCTGGCCCAACCAGCGGCATGGATAACAAGAAGGATGAGTCGAGCACTCCAAGTGGCATAGGTGTCCTCGGAGATTTGTTTCGCCCACACCTGAGCTACTTGGGTCACTTGGGGCTTTGGGCGGAGTTCTTGCCGAAGCCATCGAAAGCTTTAGAGAAGCCATCAGAAAGCATGCTGAACGAATCGGATCCTGAACGCCTCAACCGTTTGCCACGGCGCCCCTGAGAACCATTCTGAAGGGCAATGGCTACCGACCAAGGACTGTGCGACGTTGAGTGATGTTGGTTTGCGCGCGGCCTCGAACTCTGATAGCCCATGATTCCGTGATGGCCCAAGGAGCTGCGCACTGCTTGGCCACATCCTCTCGCAGAGATGGAGAGCTCAAGCCCCACGAGCTGAGTATATCGTCGAACGTGGCTTCATGAAGAGCCTGGCATGGATCGGTTCTGCAATCGGCAGACCATCAACATTCGTAATCATCTCTGTGTAGCCGCATACAGCTGCATCCACGTGATGTCGGGTCCGGTGGCTTAGCTCTCTCTGCAAGGTTGACAGCCCAACATGTCAATACGCATGGCCCTTAGGCTCGTGCTGTGAATGGTTTTTGTGCACGTTAGGGCCACCTGACATCCTGAGGAATAGATTTGGCCAGAGCTTCCGACGTCACAGAGCTTAGACACTGTTTTGATAAAGCACAAGCCAGAAATTGAATAGCCACTTTCTATATATATATATATATATATATATCTGGCATGCATAAATAGAACTCAAAATATGTGTGTGTGTGTCCAGAATCCATGCCAGCAAAAACTAATAAATAGACTTGCATACATTAATATGGACAACACATGTGCTTGGCATCTCCCTGCTTGCTCGCTGTTTTCAGCAATATTCAATAGTCCCTTATAAACGTCCCTCTCTGACACGCCAGCTGGCCCACGTCCATGCAGCATCTGCCACGCTCGTGAGTTCCTGAGGGGGGCAGATTGACAAGGTCTGGCTTGCATCTCCCACATGCACTCAGCTTCGAGAGATGGCAGAATCTGAACACAATCAAGTGCCCGGAGTTCTGTCAGTAACGACCCTGCAGCAGGTGCCTAGACCCCGCAAGAGCTCAAGACCAGCAATATCCAGCAAGCAATCTTCGGCAGGTCTCAGGCAACAGCTTCTCCGCAGCCTCGCCAAGGCCAAGTTCCAGCAGCGCGGCATCCAGGGGTGCCTCGTCGAAACCTGGGGCGCTTGGGTGTTCGTTATTATTCGCTCACACGTTCACATGTTCACATGTTCATATGTTCAGCCAGGGCATGCTGAAGGCCACAACAGTCAAGTGGGTAATTTCGCGGCACGGCGCCATAGTGTCTCCGCCCAGAGCCAACAGACATGCTGCTGGTATTGGGAGTCGAGCACTGGTTTTCTGGAGGGGTCGAGAGCTGGTAGACTGTCAACGTTAAAAACCCTCACTAAACAGCATCCCCTCAGCACACAGAAAAGAAGCTGTAGCCACCAAGTCGCGATGCACTGCTGGCACATTGCAGTGGATCAAACGGCTATCCCATAGGACGAGGTCCTGACAAACGCGCCGAGCTTAGATCAGGGTCGCCCCAATTAATAATGGGCCGAGGCATTACACTGTAGCTCCAAGGCGCTCTTCAACTTTGGCAGTTCCAAAGACGACAGCAAATCTGTAAGCCCGAGCAAAGGGTCCCCGGCATTGACAGGCACCACGTGGGGCTTGCAAGGGCTTCTCTCGGCCAGCAACTCGTCCGAACGGGGGAGTATGAAGAAATCGTTCTCCTTGGCTGACTTTCTTCGACTCAACGGAATCTGAGCATTGCTGTTCCTGAGCCTGCGTTTCATTGTTACAGCAACTGCGGCGTCTGCATCCCCACTCTGTCTCAAACTTTATCAGCAGCATTGAAGCATTGCAACATCCATCAGCTTCAGGACGCCTTGCCCCGTGAATTTTTGTGAAACGCATGCTGAGCTTTGCCATGCTGAGCCAAGCAGCTCGCTCAAGCGGCCATCTACAGGGTATTACAGGGCATGTTTCGTCTCGTGGCCATGTGCTTTAGTGACTTTAGTGGATGCTGCAGGCTACACAGGCTTGTTCTTTCTGGGGGCTAGTCGCTGGGGCCGTGCCCGCCACAAGCTATCAATGCGAACTGATAGGACGGAGGCGCATGAGGCCTTGAATGATTTTCAGAATGACTGGATTGCAATTGGCACCTCAGCAATGCGATCTAATCGATTATTTCTTGCTCCTCCCTTTCGGGCCTTCTGAAGATCTCCGCGTGGCTCCTCGCATTCTTGTCGGCAAGAGGGGGTTTCTGAGGGTTTCATCACGGCTTAGGACTTCGGAGCAAGCTGCTCGTGGCAGGATTCTGGGGCTTGAGGAAGCGGCTCTGCCTGCAAGCTCAACCCTGAATCCGGATCTATTCTTCAATCCCTGTGTACTCTAAGCTGGCATCTGGCTGTTGATCCGTAGCACGAAACTTCGAGAAGGTGCCTGGCCTGTGTGAGCCAGGCAAGACAGCCAGTCCGCCGGTGCTCTCATCCTCAGTTCGAGACATCCCAAGACTCAAGACGGATGCCTTGCGTACGCCTATGTAGATTCAGCTCGGTATGGAGTATCTAGTTCAGCAGGAAGCCGGAGGACACGTCACACTGCAGGCATCGCAACTCATCAGCCATGGGCCCCGTGCTCTGAACTTGCGTGAGGCATATGTGACACCGGGAGGTAGTTGCCCGCATATATCAACCACAACAACTGTCAACAACCACCTTAAGCTGCTGCTTTTCAGCACAGGCCCGGGAATGCGCCGAATGAGACAAGATCCCCTGAATTGCCGGCAAGCGTCGCCGTCAGTAAGAGCGACGAGGCCCTGGAATGAAGACATTTGCAATTCAGGTTGGGGCAGTGTTGGATTGGTACGGCTCGGGGCCAATTTCAACTGTAACCGGAGGAATCCCAAACTGTCCTGGGCGCAAACGAACTCGCTCCCTGTCGTGCGGCCATTCTGGTCTGTGTGGAACCAGCCGGCCCGCGTCCGCCACCTTCTGGGATGGTCGTTGGGTGTCAAGCGCTGCAAGACGAGGGCCAACCATGACTAGGAGACAAGGGGTCAAGATCGTACATGCTTTTAAGAACGGACAAGCAGTTCATGATGTCGGTCAAGCGCCTGCCTGGGGTCCACCGAAGGGGGTCGAAAGGCACAGCAGCCATCAAAGCCTGAGCTGTTATAGCAAGTACAGCAGCAAGAAACGCATGCCAGCAACAAGCATACCAGTTAGCCCTGTATTCTCAACATGTTTAGCAACTGTGCAGAGAAGCTCATGATCAAATCCTCCTTGTCAACGCCCCAAACGTCAGCAAAGGCTGCGATCACCTTAGGCTTGCTGCGGATGTACCACATGAAGTCCTTGGATTCGAGCGGATCTTCAATCTTACGGTCCCCGCTAAGGGCTTTCTGGCTTTGTGTTTACGGGCGCCGTGCGATAAACTGGAAAGCAAAGGTCTGGGACTAGGCACTCTCTTGACCCAGGGGTGCTACGCCAAGGAATACCGCTCTCCTATAGTCCACACTTGGAGCGCACAAGGTGCGGTAAGGTAAGAGGAACAAGGCTCGAAAGGCTGACTTAGGTGGCCAAGGTGGCCATTTCGGGAGGCTTTGGGCACACCCTGCTCTCTTATCTCCGGTCTTGACCTCCCCGGTCTGCTCAGTTGAATTCCAACTTCCTACTTCGCTCCAGAACCAGAGGCAGGCGTGCCACAGCGCGTCACTAGTTGCCACCATGGCTCCGACTGTCCGATGCCTCCGCTGTTGATCAGGCCATTGTAGTCTTGGCCAGGCCAGAGATGGCCTCAACACAGAAAAGCTGCAAGCTCAGGATGTCCAGGGAACTGTTCTCTAGATTCTCTTCGGGCAGATTGCGGACGCATGTTGTCATGTAATTTATTGGTATCATTGGAAGATGCAAATTTCATGCACGCTTCAAGCTGTTGATCTGTTGATCTCACTCCAAGGAAAAATTTAACTCCTTGAAGAACCTGTGGCTCACCTGAATTGAAACCCAGTTGCTTTGCCAGGTCAGCGGTGAGTCACGTTGTACCGCCCCAGCAGTTGAGGCGCTGAGATAGCCTTGGGGCTTAAGGCAGCTCTTAGGGGTTTTGAGGGTTTTCATGTTGTTTCAAGTTTCAGATGGACAGTATTGGAAGATCGGTTCACATGCCACTTGAGGTGTTCGCCACTTCAGCTGTTCGACCCGCCCTCCAACTTTTTTCAAAAGCCCACACCACTAAAAAAGCCAAACATCTACAGTATCCTACGGTGACAGATGCCTCAACCCTTTGAGGCATCGCAAGCCCAGAAGTGCCGCAGGCAGCTCCAGAAGCGCTCCGTTGCCTCAGCCACCTGGTTCACACAGACTGGCCTTTCCAAAAAGGGTTTGGTCTCCAAATGCACAGGCCTCAGGTTCCTTTCGTTGCGTTCCTCAAGCTTTTTGTGGAGTACCCGACAGGCTTCAATTTTATCAGGTTCCCGCGAAATCGTAGCGAAAAGGCAAAAGCGCAGGGCTTCGGCCGATTTCTAAACTCATCGCAGTTGGGGATTAGAAGCCAATCCCGGATATGGCCGACATCCAAAGCACAAAGACACTCCAAGATTAATCATATTTAATCATCCAAGCACTGCACAGCAAAACCCACGGGCTTCCTGCAAAACAGTCAGGTGCCTGGTCCGGAGTCAGGACGTCTGCCAGGATCACCTTATGCATGCAGCCCGCACACTTATATGGGCTTGCCAGCTCGACTCTGAATGGTTGAAAATTTGCCTCGTTGGGAGCAGGGCCAGTGAAGCAGTTTGGCCACTTGTTTATCAAGTAGGCTGCGTGCTGCACGCATGTATGAGGAAAAACTGCGATCAGATCGTCAGATGGGCCCCATGAGGCCAAGCCACCTTCAAGGCTCAATCGTAATCTGGTAGTGAAGCATTCCGAAGTCTCTGTTCGCGATTCTAAGCGCTGCAGCAACGCCAATGAAAGCATCTATGCCTATATGCTTCATCCAAGCCACATAGCCTTCCCTGCGCAGATGCTCCTGATTGGCAGATGATACGACCACCCGGGCAGCGAGCTCCAGAATTCCGAAAAAAAGAACTTAAGGGTCAGTGCGCATCCCGCTCGCCTTCGTAACAGCCCTCCCACCTGAACGATAAAGCGACCCAAAGGCAGACAAGTTATGCTTCAACGGCAACTGTAGCTTCGAACATCCTGGCGCCCAACTCTCGATAATGTCATGAGTAAAGCGCACATCTCAGAGAAGGAACACTTGATGCGTGATGCGTGATGCGTGATGCGTGATGCGCATGCTGCGTCGCTGCCGCGTGCTGTGTGCGGTTTGCAGTGTGCAAGTGTGGGGTGTAGGGTGTGGGGTACTGCTGAGGCGTGGGTGTGGGGTGTGGGGTGTGGGGTGTGGGGTGTGGGGTGTGGGGTGTGGGGTGTGGGGTGTGGGGTGTGGGGTGTGGGGTGTGGGGTGTGGGGTGTGGGGTGTGGGGTGTGGGGTGTGGGGTGTGGGGTGTGGGGTGTGGGGTGTGGGGTGTGGTGTGTGGTGTGTGGGTGTGTGTGTGTGTGTGTGTGTGTGTGTGTGTGTGGTGTGTTGTGTGTGTGTGTGTGTGGTGTGTGTGTGTGTGTGGTGTGTGTGTGTGTGTGTGTGTGGGTGTGGGTGTGGGTGTGGGTGTGGGTGTGTGTGTGTGTGTGGGTGGGGGGTGGGTGGGTGGGGGTGTGGGTGTGTGTGTGGTGGGTGTGTGGTGGGGTGTGGGTGTGTGGGTGGTGGGTGTGTGTGGTGTGGGTGTGGGTGTGTGGGTGTGTGGGTGGTGGGGTGTGGGGTGTGTGTGGGTGTGTGGTGTGGGTGTGTGGGTGTGTGGGTGTGTGGTGTGTGGGGTGTGGGTGTGTGGGTGTGTGGGTGTGTGGGTGTGTGTGTGTGTGTGGGTGTGTGGGTGTGTGGGTGTGTGGGTGGTGGTGTGGTGGTGGGGTGTGTGGGTGTGTGGGTGTTGGGTGTGTGGGGTGTGTTGGGTGTGTGATTGTGTGTGTGTGATGGTGTGTTGTGTGTGGTGTGGGGGTGGGTGTGGGGTGGGTGTGGGTGGGGTGTGGGTGTGGGTGTGGGTGTGTGGGTGTGGGTGTGGGTGTGGGTGTGGGTGTGGGTGTGGGTGTGGGTGTGGGTGTGGGTGTGGGTGTGGGGGTTTGTTTGTCTGTCTGTCTGTCCGTCCGTCTCTGTCTGTGTGTATCTGTGTGTGGGCGCATGTGTGCACGTGCGTGTGCGCGTGCGCGTGCTCGTGCGCGCGCGCGGGTGCGGGTGCGGGTGGCGTGCGCGTGAACGTGTGCGTGCGCGTGTGCCTGTTGGGGGCGGGGGAGGGGGGTGTGGGCGTGGGTGTGCGTGTGCTTGTGCGTGGGTGCGCGCGCGTGTGTGTGTGTGTGTGTGTGTGTGTGTGTGTGTGTGTGTGTGTGTGTGTGTGTGTGTGTGTGTGTGTGTGTGGGTGGGTGGGTGGGTGGGTGGGTGGGTGGGTGGGTGGGTGGGTGGGTGCGTGTGTGTGTGTGCGTCTGTGTGTGTGTGGCTGGAGGGAGTGCGTGCGTGCGTGCATGGGTGCGCGGGTGCGCGGGTGCGTGCTTGGGTTGGTGGGTGCGGGTGCGTGCGTGCGTGGGTGTGTGGGTGCGTGCATGCGTGGGCACGTGGGTGAATGGGCCTGCTGTTTTGGCAGCTTGCAGACGGCGTATTGTTCGGGTTTGGTTGGGGTCTTGTTTACGTGCCTGGCCTACATGGTTCTCGTTGTCATTCCCAATGCTTTGAAGCAGCTATAAGCTTGCTTTCCGGCGTCGGTTTAAGCTTTGACCCCCTCAGTTATAACTTATAATTAGTAAGCCCAGATATACATGTAAGTCAAATCTTAGTTAGGGAAAGTTAGCCTCAAAAAGTATACGAAAACAAACCTGGCCTTGTTAGGCGACATAAGTACAAAAATCACGGCATTAGTGGCGAGATACGTTTATCCATATGTTGTTGGTTTGTTTACATAGATGAATAATCGACAGACAGTGTTTCGTATAGATACATGTATACTTATCTTCTTCGGTATGTATCTTCTGGTGGATTGGGCTTCCCTGCCTGAAAAAAAGTATCGACACGTTCTTTTTGTGGATACTTTTCTGGATATTCTCTTGTGGTCCCCTTGTGGTCCGGGTAGGCCGTTTTTGCTTGTGGTACGGGTCGGTTTCGTGGGATGTCTCGAGGATTTGCTTGTGGTACGCTTGTGGTCCGCGTGTGGGTCCGGTCGACCTCCCCTTGCAGCTGGGCCACAAGGAAGTGTCGACCTTCGCTTTGCTCTGCTCCACGCCATGGGCACACATACTCCATAATACTATAACTTGCTCGGCATTCGGCTCCAAACATACCAAAAGATACCGTATCATATTTCTTTACGTGACATGTTTCTAACAAAAAAACGTGTGAAATCCTGTAGTTTCCACGCTACGCCAGCCCTTTCTTCAAAAGTATATGAAACATAGCCGTCTACCTCCATGTGACTGAAACCTCACAAAATACAGCATTGTCCGTTTTCCAAGTTAGCTAACTGGCATGACGTAGTTATAACTGATACCATCCATTTATCCAAGGAACTCTGACAACATAACTTACAAGTTATGTTACAAGTTATGTTGCATGAGATACAACTTGCTTTGTAACTAAGCTCCTTACACTTGACTTAGATGAGCTCCAGTAGAGTCATACCTGCAACTCGGGGTCCTGTGCACGTGCGTCGCCGACGGCAAAGCGCTGGGGGCAGTACCGCCTGGTCAGCCTTAGTGTCTCTTCAGGGGGGAAGGTTGCTCTCTGGGAAGGGAGCCAAAGGCTTCTGAGAATATTTGAGAAAAGGATATAAAACCCCTACCGCGAACTCAAGTAGCTACACAACAGCTCTCGGCTTGGAGGGGCTCGCCTGGGATCTGCAAGGCTAGGGAGCCCTTTCATCAGTCTCCGTGTCATGCGATTGTCCCTGCGCCCCTTGCTCTCCCATGGCCCATGATCCTGGCAGCTGCACGTTGAGTGGACGCTGCTAGCAGAGCTCTGGGGCCAAGTAGCTTGACGGGTGCGGCATACCGAGCATGCCAAGATGCCTGGCAGCAGGGCTTCGAGGTGAGCTCACTGTAAAATCTTCACTGAAGGCTTGCGCAGTACAACAGGTTGCTCAGAAGCATTTGCGATGGCAGTGTGTCTAACTTCTACTTTGTGGACATGCCTCTGTACCGGCCGTGCAGACACCAAAGCCAAAGCCACACAACGCCAGGCGCTGGTCAAGGAAAAGCTGAGGCCACAAATCGAAAGACCCAGCCTCTTGCTCGCCGTCGCCGGCACTCTGCCGTCTTGCTCGGGGCCGTCTTCGCCAGCGCGCATGGGCAGCAGTGGCAATCAAGGTCGGCTCGGCCAGCCCTGGCCGAAGAATTCGCCCAATCTACCTTGAACTTTTCTGCATCGCTTATCAGGAGCCGACCCCATGGTTCTGTTTAAGACTGCCGTATCACTGGAATTTCAGGAATAGTTCGAAGCGCTTACTTTGGTTGGCTTTCCTGCATTTTTCTGGTGCTCCGGTAAGCCCGACGGCGGGTCCCCCAAATCGGCTGCTGGGGCTTGGCGGCCGCGGCTGCTGGGTCTGGGACATTGGCTCAGGGTTCTGATGGGCTCTCTTGTCAGGCTTCTCTTGGACTACGGCCCTTTACGTTTAGGGTACACAACAGTGGATTTAGATAATATTAACGACCGTGCTGTTTCGGGGGAGGGAATTCAGGGAAGCTTTGCCTGAGACCACAGTCCGACCTGTCTTATTTCCTTGCAGCCCTGAAAAAAATTGGGAGGCAATTGCAGAAAAATCTGGGCATTTAAGCTTGTGCAGCAGCCTGCTTCAGGTGCATTGCGCATCGAGCCGGAAACTTCAGCTTCTAATGCCTCAAATCACAATGGTCGCGTGTTGACTGTACCCCAAGAAAAGAGCCGTCGCCTCCAAGCGCCGCGGCGAACGCGAGGCTTGAGCTGCGTGGCGTGCCGTCGTCGGCTGCGTTGCGGCTGCACGCATTATCATTCCAGACTTTGCCGGGATTGGAGTGCTTATCGGTTACCGGGGGGAGGGGGGGGGGGCTTTCTCAAGGCTTCAGCGATGCTTGGGCGGCTTGGGTGCAGATGTAGTTCTGCCACAAAGAAATCGGACAGCGGAGTGGTATGCTTGTTTGCGAGCAGACGGAAATTGTGCCTCACATTTCGCTTCAGCTTCGAACTGCGAGATGGGCTTCAGCGCCCAGCAACAGAATGATCACCCATGCGAAGGATTTCTGATAAAGCTCCCCTCTGCTCATGCTACCATGATGCTTGGAGATCCGCACCTTTATTTTCAACTGCAAGATTCACTCAGATTGCAGCTTAACCTTCGATCTCTCTATCTTGGAGCGGCAGCAACCTGGTCTTCGAGTGCAGCATTCCAAGACATGTCTGGAGTCCGTGCCTTCACGCTGCAGCAAGCCTGCCAGAAGCACTTGTGCTTTTCGTTGCATTCTCCCTTCAGCTCTGAGGGTTTGATGGGCTTGGGACTCTGTGTTCCGATCAGCTCGTGCCTGCACTGCTATCCTTCACTCCTGCCGGGCGGCCACTACAGCAAAGGCCCCTGTCCAGCCCCGCAAAGCTGCCCCCATCTTGCCTCCCTGCAGATGCACCCAACAAGCACGAACAAGTGGGCCCACAATTATTGATCCTACAGGACCTCGGGCTTTGCAGAATGCTCTATTATATTCCAACAACCTGTGCTGCCACTAAATGCTCCAACGCGGACCTCTTTTGCTGATACGCAACTGACGATGCATTGTCTCAGCAGCGGCTCTTTACAACTACATAGAGGCACTCACTCTCAGCCAAGGGGCGCTGACCAAGTGGGGGCGGGGGGTACTTGAGACACAAAAGACCATCTCGGGCCTAGGCATGTACTATGGGCATGCAAGAATGGCCAAGCAAACAGACAAGAACAATACCCGAAATTGGGCACAAACCCAAACCCCCTCTGGCTGAACGGCATAGGATTTAGAATCGAAAGGGTTGCATCAGCTTGGAATGAAGGGCCGAGTCTCATCCAAAATGCAGCTTCGCCTATCTAAAGCTGTTGGCAACACCCTGATGAAGCCAGTCGGCTTGTGATGCTCTGAGGTTGCTGAGGTTACCGGGGATGCGATCTGTGAACCTGCGCAGTCGATGAAGTGTTTCTATGGTTCGTGTCTTCTCAGGATGTTGCCTCCCGCTCTCGAGCGACGACCTCGCTGAGCTCTTTGCCACTCTTTGCCAACTGTACATGGGCTGGCGCTGTGGGATGAAAGTTTGCAGCGGCTGTCCCTCCTACGCTTTCATCGTCCATTACGAGTTACGAGATTGCTCCACAAAACCTCCACGCTGCAGACTGTGAGTGAGACACAACGGTGAACCCGTCTGATGCTGATGCGACGACCGAGAAACTCGCGAGACCCAACATTCTGAATTCTATGTTTGCGCCGCTTTGCATACAGAGCCTTAGGCCCTCTAAGCCATGCACCAGCCATCCCCAACCGGAAGGATCTCTTGCATAGAACATAGGATTTGGATCTCTAGGTCGCTGCAGAATCGCCTGGATGCGTTAGGGCTTGCCCGCGTCGTGCGTGATGCTTCTGCCATAACCTGCACCAGACCGAACATTCGCAACCGAGCGAGTGGGCTTGCTCCAAACTGAGATGACTGAGGGCTGGTTTCTTCTGCCTGTTGGAGCAAAATGATAGGATCAGTTGCAGTGGTTCTCAGTAGAAGTGCTTCATGTGCAGCGATCTTTCTGATCTGCCACAATTGTCGGATGCCCTTTCAATCAAGGCAAAGGGGTCTAGCATATCACCCCACTCACGTCTTCCAGAGAACATGTTGTGCCAATCCCAAGGCAGCCGCTTTTACGCTTTCACGACCAAAAGCTCCATATTGCCCCAAACAACTCATAAACTACTTCTACGAACCCTGTTGAAGGCCCACATCGAACCTATGACAATGAGGAAGAATCTTGAAAAGCCCTTCGACTCCTACAAAGCCGAACCCTCAGGGTTCCCCGGCTGCGGCTTGTAAAAGCGTACATCTGCCAGGGCATAGCTTCGCCGCAGCAGCCACGAGCAGTAAATCACCGAGACGATGTTGTTTGCGCAGAAAGCCTTGGGGCAAACTCAAGTCACGTAGGATTTAGGAGTCTGAGCCACCAAAATCCATTCATGCAGGGCGAGGACGAGGCAAACTTGATTGGGGTCTTTACCAGCTTCATGCCTGTGTGCTTATCGACTGCGACAAGCCTTTCGTTAAAGCATCCAGTGCATGCTTAATCCTTTCCCCCAAATATCAAACGCCCACACCCCCCCGACCTTCCGCAAGAAAACTCCGAATTAGGGGAGGGGGGTTCTTATCGTTTGTCCGGACAGAACAGCCCAGCCTTGTTCAGGGTTTGGGGGGTTGAGAGTTACGTGTCAATTGGGCTAAGTCTGGGAGTGAGGGATAGGCTTCCCCCCTTCGCCCGAATTGGCCAGGGTTTCCTGCTTTAGTGGGTGCTTTGATATTAGGGGGAAGGGGAGACACTTTGCGTCGACCTGCTTCACTCACCCAAATATAGAAACTTCCGAGGCTGAACCTGCAACAGATGTGTACAGCCGTTCAATTCTCGCATCTCTCGGACCTTGCCATGGCACCGCCTGGTTCATGGGGTTGGCCTAAGATGATGAGTGCAGACATCACTTGGCAGAAGTGACAACTGACATGACTGTCCACAAGGTAGGGCAGGGTGATTGGCCCTGTGGTGATGCGTCTGGCAGTGGCCTTCTAGCACGATCTGTTGCATCGATGTGTGAACTTAATTAGGAGCGTGCGGGTAGCAAGCTTGCATTCCTTCTCCAATGAAGGCTTCCCCCATAGTCAACCCTAAACCCTGATGAAACCCCAAATCCTTTTCCGCCAAAGCCAATGTGGATTCATTCTGTGTCTTTGGAACGTGTTTTTGCATTGATAGACGCTGGATCCAAACAGAAACAACATTGAAGCAACATGCTCCGGCACAGCCGGATGCCAAAGCCATCTGGGCGCCCAATGCTCCTCGCGGCTGCCGCCAGCTAGCGCGGCAAGGATCCGGGGCACGCGGGCGGCCAGGGATATAGCAAACCGCCTTACTACAAGCCATGCAATGATGCGGGGCCGATTTGTTTTGACTCATGTGCATGGGGATGCATGAAAGAAAAGAGCGGGAAGATTTGTTTGAGTTGGCCTAGAGACATAGTGCTTATCGCGACATTGATGCATAGGAGAAAATTTCCCGGCCAGCCTGAATGCGCAGGTACCTGCAGCTTGAGCCTTTCTTATCCTTGTTCCAGCCGATTGGGGCCGCTTCTTGCTGAGAAATTTGGGGTCTGTTTAAACGGGGAGATGCGCCCACACGCGAAAGGTCGATATCCTAAAGCCATAGTAAGCCCTGACCTAAGCCGTCAAAGCAACCGGAACTTATGATGGCTGCCCTTGCCGAATTCCAACTCTTCAACTTGCACCATGCAACCTCAAAAGCTGACATCGCGGCTCTTCTTGCTGCAGAGCCCGAGTCGCAACAGCGAAAAGGCCACCACCGCTCGCAGCTCGCCCCAAAGTTCTAAGAGGAGCCCGTAACCTCGCTTTTGGACATCTGGTGTTCCGTGGGGGTGTTCCGTGGGGGCCAATTGAGCTGCTTTATTGTACCTGTTTGGTTTTTTTGCAACCATTTTCCATGCGCACAAGGGGCATCCGATTTCGAAGGTCTGGAGCGAGGCTCGGGTTGATTCCAACTGAGGGGTCTGCGGCCAAGCTGCGCAAGAGAAAGGTATTCCAGAGCAGCATGAAGAACAGGATTAGCATGAGCAGTTGCAGCGCTATCCTGGGGGAACCAGTCGCTCCGGGTTCCAACTCACGTGTGGCTGCCTGGCTGGTTCTCCGCCAGCCGGCACGTTTGGTGGCTACGACTGGTCACTAGTATGATGAGGGCTTAGGCTGAGACATATATATATATAATAAATATATAAATAGATGTAAAAATAACAATAAATATAAATAAATAATAATATATGTATATATATATATATGGACACACCCCCCCCCCATGACCCGCCCAGATCTGTTTCCCTCGTAAATACCGTTTAAAACCCGATCGTGCCCTATGCCGTTTTTTGCTACTCTCAGTGGCTGTATCTCGACCCACAAGACTGGACGCCGAGACGCGCGAGACCAAAAAACCAAAAAAACCATCTTTTTTAGAGAATGGGGAGGGGATGTTGAAAAGATGGTTTTTTTGGTTTTGCCTCGTAAAAAGATGGTTTTTCATAGAAAAACCAACTTTTCCCACGTAAAAAGATGGTTTTGGTCTGGACTGCCTCAGGAAAACCATCTTTTTGCGAGGTAAAAGTTGGTTTTTGGCTCCAAAACCATCTTTTACTAGGCAAAACAAAAAAACCAAAAGTACAATCTTTTTTGAAATTAGGGATGGGATGTTGAAAAAGATGGTTTTTTTGGTTTTGCCTCGTAAAAAGATGGTTTTTCATAGGAAAACCAACTTTTCCCACGTAAAAAGATGGTTTTGGTCTGGACTGCCTCAGGAAAACCATCTTTTTGCGAGGTAAAAGTTGGTTTTTGCCTCCAAAACCATCTTTTACGAGGCAAAACCAAAAAACCAAAAAAACTATCTTTTTTAGAGAATGGGGAGGGGATTTTGAAAAATATTGTTTTTTTGGTTTCGCCTCGTAAAAAGATGGTTTTCCATAGCAAAACCAGCTTTTCCCACGTAAAAAAGATGGTTTTGGTCTGGTCTGCCTCAGGAAAACCATCTTTTTACGAGGGAAAAGTTGGTTTTTGGCTCCCAAACCATCTTTTTACGAGGTAAAAGTTGGTGTTTGTGTCCAAAACCACCTTTTTACGTGGGAAAAGCTGGTTTTACTATGGAAAACCATCTTTTACGAGGCGAAACCAAAAAAACAATATTTTTCAAAATCCCCTCCCCATTCTCTAAAAAAGATAGTTTTTTTGGTTTTTTGGTTTTGCCTCGTAAAAGATGGTTTTGGAGGCAAAAACCAACTTTTACCTCGCAAAAAGATTGTTTTCCTGAGGCAGTCCAGACCAAAACCAGTTTTTTACGTGGGAAAAGTTGGTTTTCCTATGAAAAACCATCTTTTTACGAGGCAAAACCAAAAAAACCATCTTTTCAACATCCCCTCCCCATTCTCTAAAAAAGATGGTTTTTTTGGTTTTTTGGTTTTGCCTCGTAAATGATGGTTTTGGAGCCAAAAACCAACTTTTACCTCGCAAAAAGATGGTTTTGGCGTGGTGTTCTTAAGGAAAACCATCCTTTTGCGAGGGAAAATTGGTTTTCCTATGAAAAACCATCTTTTTACGAGGCAAAACCAAAAAAACCATCTTTTTCAAAATCCCCTCCCCATTCTCTAAAAAAGATTGTTTTTTGGTTTTTTGGTTTTGCCTCGTACCTCTCTCGGGCCAGAACCGTTCAGCTCTACATGTAGCTATGCTTGGAGGCTCGTTGGTTTTGGTCAGTCTTATATTAATCTCAGCAATAGCATTCCTATTCCTATCAATGTAAAAGGGTTCCTAACCATCTTTATAGGACTTCTTTTCATTTTACTTATATTCTGATGAACTTTCAGAGGGTTCTTATTCAACATCAGAGGATTCCTAATACTTTTCAATAGGGTTCTTATGCATTTCAACAAGGTTCTTAATCATTTTCAAGTGGCTCTTTTAATTCCAACAGGGTTCCTCTGAAATTAAAAATCTTTTTAAGATTCATATTGGTGCCTATTCATTTTCGTGAGTCTCCAAGTAATTTTAATTGTATTCTTAGAAAATTGAATAGCATTCCTCGTCCTATTCATTCTAATAGGAATCACATTAAGTCTAACAGGAAGCCAAGAAATTTTGAAAAGGAACCACATTGAATTTTGTAGGATTCCTATTGGTTCCTATTATTTTTAGTAGGGTTCCTCTTCATTTTAAAAGGATTCCTATCAATTGGTAATAGGGTTCTTAAAAATTTTACTGGGGTTCCTAATATATCCGATTAACGTCAAAGGGTTCCTGACCATCTTAATGGGACTCCTCTACCATTTCAGAATATTCTTATGAATTTTCATAGGGTTCTTATTCAATGTAGAAGGATTCCTAATACGTTTTTGTAAACAGGGTTCTTATGAATTTCAACAAGGTTCTCAATCGTTTTAAATTGGCTTCTTTTTGTTTCAATAGGGGTCCATCTGAAAATGAAAAGGGCTCATACTTCTTTTTAGGATTCCTATTGGTTCCTATTCATGTTTGCAAAGTAATTGGAGTGGTTTTTTCTGGAGATTTGAGTAGCATTCCTGTCCCATTAATTCTAATAGGAATCACATGAATTCTAACAGGAAGCCTAGAAATCCGAACCGCATTTATTTTTATAGGATTCCTATTGGTTCCTACTAATTTAGTAGGATTTCTCTCCATTTTCAAAGGATTCCAATAGGGTTCTTATGATTTTTAGTGGTGTTGCTTATAAATTCTAATTGATGGTAGGACCCTCTTCATTTAAAAGATTCCTCTTAATTTGTAAACGGGTTCTTATGAATTTTAGTGGGGTTCCTCATCAATTGAATAGGATTCTAATTCATCATAACAAGATTAAGAGAAATATTAATAGGATTCCTATTTAGATTTAATGGAATTCCCACATTCCCGTGAATTCAAAAAGGGTCCCTTTTCATTTTCACAGGCTCCCTACTATTCTTCATGGGGGCCCTATTGTTTTTCTGCATTTTAATAGCATTCCTCTGATGTTTGATAGGGGGTTCCTCTGACTCAAATAGGATTCCAAGTCATTATTCCTATTGATTCAATAAAGAGTCTTATTAATCTTAATAGGGTTCGTATGAATTTTATAGGGTTTTCGTTCAATTAAGAGGGTTCTTATTAGACTCATAGCTATGACTAAGTATGGATTTCTTACTCCGACACGGCCTCACGGTGGGTCATGGGGGGGGGTGTGAGCTAATATATATATATATATACATCCGCACGGCTGATAGCTTCAAGGTTCACGTTTAATCGTCATGCCTAGGACTAGGACACTCTTCTCATACAGCTTCTGGCCCTCAAATCGTCCATCCACACGCATGTGAATGGCAGACAGGCATCGGCACGCCACAAAACACCTCGGCTACCGGCTGCTGATTGGTAGCGTAGCAACTACAGCTCTTTCACTCCCTTCGACGCAACTATGCAATCATGGCGGTTGGTTGAAGCTATCTGTCTGAATGCCGTCAACCCGCAATCGTCATCACGTACTGCGAGGGATCCCACAGAGAGTCAGCGAACCCATTGCAAACGCAGTCCTTCGTTGCTCAAGGCTCTGCAGGCAGTTTTGGAGAAATCCATGTTGGCTTACAAATTCGCCTGGAAGTCTGGTAGTGGGGCGGGCTCCGTACTCCATGCCCTATGAGCACTATGCTTTAAGGGCATCCCAAGGCTTTCCAGAGATGTTGCTTGCAGAATCAAGTCCACATGGGCAGGGCCTGTCAAGCTACCGACAGCTGGGAGCGCAGCAGCGCAACTAGTAAGCTATGACAGCAGGCAAGCCTGCTGCAGGCCATAAACGCTTCGAAATTGAAATTCTGTCCGTAAAGTAACCGCGTTAATTAGTCTACGAGTCAGTGGCGAGTCTGGGTGCCACACATAGTTCGATGCTATGAGAATGAAACCCTACACCACACCATGAATGCAGCGCTCGAGGCCAAGAGAACCAGCACCAGTAGCACGTTCAGTTTCGCAGCGAAGAGGTTGGGTGAGATGCTCTCAGGACCTGAAAGTCAAATTGTCGTTGGGGCAGTGGGCTTTGGGAAAGCGCTGTACCTTCATGGGGACATCCAGGTAGTGCCCTCTTCGGTGAAGCACGGCCAACGGGTCGGAAATACTTGAATTTGTTGAGACTGAAGATACTGCCGGCTCCCAATGGCATGTCCACCGTTCCGAATCCGTTTAAGGTCCCCTTTGGCCATGAACCCTAGTATTCAGCATTGCTTTTGAGAGCTCAGAATCTCCCAGCTGGCCTGAGACCATCTTTGCCGGAGCAGGTGCCACACCTGCACAGCATCGTAGGCCAGATTCCCCCTAATGGGATTCACTGGCCACGATGTCAAGGGCACAGTGCGCGAGCGAGACTCGAAGATCACTGTTCGATGCTCGTGCGGAGAAATTTGTGCCAGTAATACATTCAGCTCATCATGCATGGCCAAGACTGAGGAACAACGCGGCCAGTAGATGAGACCGGTATGCCAAGACACCTTCATCCTTTATGTAGAAATCAGGCTTCATTCACCCTCTGGCCTCACAAGCACATTGTCGAAGCTCAAGCAACAGGCCCTGTTGGCCGTGCTTGGGCTGCAGATCTGTCTGCGTGGGTTTGAAGTTTGTCGAGCCGCACGATTGCTTTGTTTGCTAGGGATGCTTTGACATGCAGAGGGTTGGCATCTGCTTTGCTAAAATCATTTCTGTCACTATCAGCCTTGCTGTCTCGGCCAGTTGCGGTTGCCACCCACCTAGCTTGCTCTGCCATACTTCATGAGTATTCTTCCATTGAGTTCATGTACTCCTCGGCTTCATCCGGAGGTTTGGGCCATTCAGTGCAAGATTCATCTGACACCCCGGCATGTTCAACTATCCACCAATCTCCACTGCCATCGATCATTGCGTGCAGCGGCAAGGCAATGCCTCAAAGCTGCGTGGTGTTGGCCAATCCATTGCCAGTGAGAATGGCAGCAGCTTTTCTGCTGACTTCGCTGTGAAACCCAGGGGATTAGCAGTGTAGCAGTGTAGCAATGTAGCGTGGTTGGTCCTTTGGGTTATGTTACTGAAGGGCGTCAATATGCAGCAACCCGTGATGCACGGAACAATGTCCGTTGAAGACTACTTCTGCCTGCACCCTGCATGCGCGCCTTGTAGAAGCACGTCTAAAGCGATGCAACTGGAGAAGCTCCACGAATTCCGATCTCGAACTGGGCTCACACACTTACAGGAAGTTTCGCACGTATGTTAACTTTCAGAGCTCCTGCTTTTTTTAGTTGCGCTGGCTGTACACTCGCAAGCTGACATGTCAGTCGCTGCTGACAGGTGCTAGCTGGGCAGGCTTTAGGACAGGTGATGGGCTGTCGTCCAGCAACAACTCGCGCGACGACGTGTTCCTGAGCACGAGGTTAGCCAGCAAAGGCCCATCGAAATTTTACATCATGCTGCCCTTGTCAACTTGGCATCACATACTCTCTTTGTTCTACACCTAGACAAGGGCAGCCATGACAAAGGCAGTGGCTTTGAGGACTGGAATCTAGAGCAACTGTATGTTGCACTTCGTACAGGATTTGAGCCAACCCGGCGATGCCTAGAAGGTCCGAAAGAAGGGCGCGCAATATTGGTTACTCTGTCGCATATCGCGGACCAGCATGGTTCAGAAGAGCCTCGTCCTAGTTACAGTGGAAGGGCTTTCGAGGCGGAACTGCCTAGTTTAACAGCCAAGATGCAAAGAAACTGCGAGTTTCTGTCTTGCACGCGGACAAGCATGAAGCCGTGTGGTGACCAGCCAGCGAAACTGCTGACGCATTGGCGTCTTGTGAGTCGTGGCTTTAGTTTGTTCTCTTAGGCGGATCAGTCAGTACTGCATAAAGAACCAATCAGCGCCGAACCAAAGAAGAAAGCTTCCCCTTCCCCTCCCCCTCCCCGCTGCCCCTCCCCGCTCCCCCTCCCCCGTCCCCCTCCCCTCCCAACCAAGTTCAACAAGACTAGCATGAGCACTCAACTTGCAACAGCCAAAATGCACTCAGTGCCTGGACTACATGAAGAAGAGCAGAGAAATGAGGAAGCAAACCTACACAACCCACAGGGCCAGAAAGAGCCCTTGCATGCACATCCCAGCGGCTGCCTGGGCCCCGGGAGACCCTTGGGCTCCTGTACGGCCCCTTGGCTGGGCTTAGGGGGCGCTGGCAGCCCTGCGGCGGCCTGCGGGAAGAGCCCAAAGAAGTTCAGGGCTGGCTCTCGGGCTTTTACACACACGCAGGGTTCAGACCGAACATACATATCTCATGCATCGTACATACATATATATATATATATATGCATTTGTTCTTTATGCGTCTCTATACATCCTTCTGCATCTTTAAGGGCGGAGCACACGAGGCTCTCTCATGCGTCAGGGCCCGCCACCCTCAAATGCATCTCGGAAAAGACTTCCAGATTCCCACTCGCACTCCGACCCAAAGCTGATTGCACAAACCGGCCCTTCCAGAAATGAAACCCTGCAGCACATTGACTTTTTCTGAAATTTCTGCCTCACGCAGGAGCCCCAGAACAAGCCCACAGTGCGCCTGGCCGCCTTTCAGCGCCGCCTTCTCCGGGGCCAGGTGCGACAGCTTCGTGCTGAGGTCGCGGACCTCTAAGGCTTCCATGTCGTTATGACTCTTGCTTTCCGAGGCGTTCCGAGGTCGAGAGTTAAACATCTCGATGAACCGAATTCCAGGTTTCTGAAAATTCAAAGCAGCCCACCCAAACAAGCCCTCCAAGCCCAACTTCAGCAGGTTACTTTAGGTCTTTGGAACAGGACGGAGAACCAACGAAACTGAATTCCTCGGATCTGCACTGACATGTCCGGTGCTTCTTGACATCTCAAGACCCATGACAAACCACCCAATGCCGGCGAGGAGGCTTTACGCTGAAGGGAGCTCTTCACCACGCGCAGCTGGTTGAGCTCCTGAGAAGTATTGCCCAGTGGACCACTGGAAGGGCACACTCCTGTTTTGCTTGGCTAAGAGGCTGGTGTCCTGCACAAGCGTCGCATTCTCGTTGGCCTTCGTCTGCCTGAGCACGCAACATCGACGGGCATGACAAATCAAATGCAAGTCGTCACTGTTCGTCGTCTTCAGCTCTTGCTGCCCCCATCCTTGCTGTTCAGGCAACCTTTCCGGAGGCACAGAAATGCACAGAAAAAGAGGGACTCAGGCGACTAAGGCTAAGGGCTGTCTGCCGAGGAGTCACAGATCCAGCTTGCCCATAGCCCGGATCTGGTTGCCCTTGGCAGCCAGGCCTGGGTGACTCAACCCGAACATGGGACTTCCAGGTCAACATGTGCGCAGGTACAGCCTCTCCCCGATTCAACCCCCTTGCGTGTCTCACATGTTCTGCCGAAGCTACCTCGATGCTCGGACGATTCAAGGGCTCGACCCTCCAATCCTCGCCCTGCACCCCACCCCCCCACTCTCTTGCAAACATCGGCTGAAACGGCCATCCAGGAGGCTTGTCACCTGCCGCTCCACCACACGCATCTGCCGCATCATGTCCTTTCACAACAAACCAGGAGTTCAGGGGGCAGAGAGCAACTCCTTGAGGACAAACTAACCTGGAAGCTTAGTCAGCGGCCGTTCTCTCGCGGATAGTAAAGGCATTTGGCGCTTCCCATGTAACGCCGGCTCTTTCGAGGGGTCACTCCGGTTTGGGATAAGCCTACAAAGTGCCGCTCCGAGCAGAGGGTTTGAGTTTAAGTTCACGGCGATTAATAGGGAAACTTGAACAGGATAATCGCTCTCCGGTTTCGGGTTGAGGAGGCAAGGTGGAGGAGCAAAGTGCTCCTACGCGCAACATTCATTGTTCAGCCAACACCTCGTGTAGGGGGGCAAAGTCAAGGGGTGGATTGGAGGATTCCTGGGCCAGATCTGGGTCTTCCATCGGCGTAGATACATGCAGGTGCTTCTGGGAACCACAAGTGGGTCGCATGGCCCAACAAGCCTCCAGGGGTAAACGCCCTTGTCCACGTAGATCGCCGTCTATGTGTTGGTGGTACAGCCTACGTTCAAGGAGTCAATGCACGAATGTGAGAAAACTGTGACCTGAAGCCCGCAACTTATTGCGAGCATCACCCAACTGCACAATGAACTCAGAAGCATGCTCTGGCTCCTCATGCAAGTTGCCAGCAAGACTGAAGGACTGAACAGCAGTTCACCCGAAAGAAGTCTTTCGGCCGATGGCATGAAGTGCAGACTTATGGTCACCGTGACATTTGCTGTGGCTTGGCTACCACTGAACTACTACTTCGCCCTGGCTTGAGCGGTTATCAGCCTCGACACTAACGCTAGAGACTAGAGACAGCCTGTATTGGCCTCAAGGTGCTTATCATGCTCTGCCCTCTCTTCAGCCCGGCACCTCCGGATCTCACGAGGCCAGACCGATAGGTCTGTCTCCTGAGAAAGTGAAGGGGAGACTCCATGCTATTCTCCTTCAAAAAAGCAGAGTGTGAAGTACGAAAAGGAAGGGCCATTCTTCTGTGCTCATCTGTATTTCATGCATGGTTCTGTTTCCGAATGCTTACGAGCTGCAGGCTCTTGAGTCTCGAACACCCTCGCTGCTAGCTCTTTTGGCACCCCGCCATAAACCACCCCCAAGGCACAACCTAGCAGCGTCACCTGACTACCGCAACACTCAACACTCCACAATATCCCTGAATGCCAGGACATCCTCGGTGACCACTTGGTGCACGTCACTGGTGAAGCGGCGAATTTGAGCATCCTTCTCGCGCACCCGAGCTTTCAGCTCCTGACAACAGTCCGTGCTTTTGTGGAGATGTTTTTTGGCTCAGCTCTGTGTTGGGTCGCCACAAGAGATGGGGAGGCAACAGGTGCTTGTTCCCTGTCAGCTCCAAACTACGCGTGAGCCACCTGTAAGTGCTGCATAGTGCTGCACGGTGCCGGCGACTTGTTCAAAGCTGTTGATCGCCTTTGTGTTGCTTTCTTAATGCGTGCTCTTGCTGCAAGGGCTTCTGGGCCGATGCAGGAAGTGGATCTGTAAGGACGGGCGACTCTGGGGTTCGTTGAAAAGGCGTATCATTCAACACAAGGTAAACACGGGCGAGATCGGGCGAGTAGTGGCCCAGTGGTATGGGTGTCATCGCAGCTTTGGCTTCGACAAGGGTGAGAGCACACACTGAGCACACTCAGCCGCAGCGGGAATTCTCCCGTGGCGTTTGCTTTCTTGGGGGGAGGGGTGTTTCTTTCGGGCCAGTGGAGTAATGAAGCCTCAGAACTGGGCCAGAGCAGGTCTCCTCTGTCTCTTGTGTCAGGATGGCTGCCTTTTGCCGCCGCTGGGCGATCTGCCCTTCCTGGCTCAAGGTCCATAGTTTCGGAAGTTTAGGCGGTTCCACGTGCCGGCTAGAGTTCAAGCCACGGGGTTTAACGAGATCACTTTCGTAGCCTCATGCCGTATATGTGAAGGATAGGGTTTATGTTGCTTGTATCCCCGCATGAACCAATTCACGAGCGCAGTCCAAGCCAAACAAGCACCCCCCCCCCCCCCACACACCCCTCAAACCTCGGAACTCTACCAGAGCAAAGTGGGGGCAATCAAGTCTCCAGTTGCCGGTGATCCAGAAGCTGCCGCTCAAACTCCGTCTCCAAGTCTGTCAAGTCCTGTCGTGTTGGGGTTTAGTTTCCAAGGTCCCATGGCGTTGTCAGATTTGATGCGTGCCTCCGAACTATTGGATTTTGTTGTCCGAAGCAAACCTGGATTAGGTCAAGCCGAAGAAGTAGGTTCGTTTAACGACTCCGGTTGCTCTGCGAACGCCGGAATCTGCCACGCCTTCAGCTGATCCAACTTGGCTCCGCCAGAACAAAAAGCCAATGGTTTCTGTGCACGAATACGTTTCGGTGTAGTCTTGTAGTCGCGGAGGTCAGCTGGTTAACAAGGTCCACTGCAGCTGCACCACACGCCTGCGAAATTGACCCTGAATTCCACGGTCCTGGTTGAGCTTCTTTATGAGCGAGTCCTTTGGCTGAAGTGACGTCGACACCTGCAGCTTGGCAAAGCACTTCATGGCCTTGAATACAAGAAGCCAAGCAAGCCCAAGCTCAAAGCAAAAGACCCAGAATCGTGCTCCGAATTTTGATGCTGTTTCCATCCTTGGGCTGCGAAGACCCGAACCGCCACATCAAGCTAAGGCATGCCTCTGCAACGTATCTGATGTGAAAAACCTTTGGCATTGATTCATGCACAGATGCCCGAGATGATCCTGAAACCTACCTGAACCTAGCCGCATTGAGCAAAAAGGGGAAGGCCATCTCATGAGAGTTAACAAAAACAGCAAGCGAGAGAGGAGAGCGTGTCATGGAACCCGGAGTATCTTGCGAATGGCCCACCCAATATCGATGAAACGCAGGCAGGTAAGCCGGCGTCAGTAACCAACACAAAGAAAGACAAGGGCGTAAAATATACTGGAAATGAATGAACGAGCTGCATGGTCATTTTTGCGACTCAATGTTGTACCCGGTTTATGTACAAATGGAGCCAGGAAAGAAAATGACTGCACGGGCGCTCTTGCACATTGACAAGCCAACAATCTCGCGTTTCACGATTTGCGTACTAAAGTCACTCTCTCCTTGCCACGGGCGTGTTCTGATTGAATTACAATTGTGGGACTTCATCAAAGAGAACCAACAAAGCGTGGTCATGGTGCATGGCAGCCTCAGCGAGCTTCTGGTCTAGAAGCAGCTTGAACTTCTTGAGGGTCTTCTGCTTTGACTTGTAGCCTGCTCGGAGTTTGGAGGGAATGGCTTTGGGGAGGGGCAATGGTGGCATCTGCTTCCTCATGTCTGAACAGAAGCAGTGCTTCTCCCGAGGTTGTAAGTTCGGGAAGTCTTACAGCTTAAGCCTGATCGACTCTTCGAGAACCGCTTGTTAAAGGCTTGCTAGTGTCTGGGCACAAGCTTCGGGAGCTTCGAGCCCTATACTTAGAAACGCCATTGTATTGAGTTCTCAGAAGAATCTGCTACTGTACGTGCCGTGCTGTGCGCCATCGATCCCCATCTCGAATCTTGGCTACTCTTCGGCCTTCATTCTTTGGCTGGGAGCAATGCATGCCAACAGTATGCTTCAGCGATGTGAACGCCTGCTACTCCTGACCCTGCCCCTGACGGAAAAGTACTCACACAAACCGACAAACCCTATCGTGACTGCTTTGATGCGCCAGCCTTCGATGGCTGTAAGCTTATCCTGCAAAGTCGCCTCACGGTCCTGGCGAGAATGGTCCAGGACTGCTCAGAGAAGCCCGGACACAGACATCACAAGCCCACCCCAACCCCGCCACCCCAGCCCCCACTCCCCCCCACTCCCCCCCACTCCCCCCCTCTGTTTTGCTGCCTGCCGCTCCCCATGGAGCCCATGCAGCCTGGGCTTGCGAGGTGGCCGGGTCTGCAACGACGTTTAAAGCAGCTGAGCCCTAAGCAGGCATCTCCAACACCCAGTCTGAGAGCAGCCCGGAAGCGTGCGCTTGAGCTCCTCTGCTTGTTCATGCAGCGACCGCCTTGGGACCAACTTCCAGGATGTTGCTTTCTGAGGCATGAGGTGGTCTATGGCCTGTGGAACGTGAACGTACCGGGACTCCTACATTCAGAAGCCCATAATTAGATACTTAAACGGGCTAAGCCGTGAAGTGCAAAGCCTCAGTACGACCCTGGATGGATGAACCCTTGAAAGACCATGCCAGGTTTCAGAGTCGAGTTCGACTCTTGCTGCCTCTCCTCCACAATTTCGCGCTCTTTCTCCTGTTTTTTTGGCCAATTTCTGGGGGATGTTGCGGAGAGGGGTCCAGTTGGTTGAACAGGTACTGCGAGGGTTTGTCAAGGTGCGCTACGGTGCCCGGACAAGCCCTATAGGTCCTAGGTGTTCTACGGGGCGCTCCTGCTTCTCCAGGCTTCCCTGCAGCTTCTCCTGCTCCTTTCGCAGTTGTTCCTCGACCTTCCAGCAGCATTCCAGCATTTCAAGCGGATTCCAGCATTTCGAGCTTGGGCCACAGGCTCGTGCACGTCAGCCACACGCGCCAGAGTTCCAGTCTACACTGTCTACACCCTCCACGATGCCCGTTGAAGACCCCCTGCCCGGTTAAACTCCCAACACCTCTACCCCAAACTAGATCCCAAAGCTCAAGCCTTGCCACAAACTCCCAGCCCCTGTACATCCCGAGTACCTGCTTCTGCTCCTCCAGCGCCTCCCACCCATGATGCTTGAGACCTGGGCGCAAAACCCTTGACGTCAGGACTTTCAGGATGGGAACGCAAGCGATGCTCAGGGCTTCTTCAGCTTCTTCCCCCCCCCCCCCTTCTTCACTTCTGGTTCCGAGAGTTCTTGAAGTCGGCAGCCACACATCCAAACTTTGAAGGTGTTCGTGTATGTCTTTCCTGCAGAAAAGCAGCGAATCACTTCTCGGTCCTCAGCCCCAACAACTTCACAGAAACCGGAGCCGGGATCTGCTATGAGACCAGCAGGTGTGGAGGAATACCATATTTTGTCTCACTGCTCTCCTGTGCACCTTATGATCTCTTGCTAGGTGGCATGGTTGTCGGCCGTGAGCTGCTGCACCTCCTCGAAGCGGTGCTGAATGAAGGCCAGGAGGTCCTCTGGAACTTTTGGAACCCTTTGCGTCTTGAGCGCGACTGACAGGCGTGCTTAGTCAACCGATGATACTAGCTGAGCCAGCCATGATTTATGCGGCGATTTCAGGGACTGCGTGGCGAAACTCAGTGGGCCCCTCGTACCTGTCCTAGATCTAGGGTGGAGTCTGGGTGCAATTAACCATGAAGACGGGAATTCCCATGTCAGTGCGTAAATCATGAACATCGCCCAAACAATGCGGGTCAATGTGAAATGCTGGGCCTGATGCTTCTTGATCTCCAGGTCTCTTTCGGCTAGAAGGCGTGAGAGCTCCTCCTGAGCCTGCGAGGCAAGATTCGATCTCGATGGATGTTCCACGAGACATCAGGAACCTGATGCCTGATGCGCTGGAGCATTTCACCATTTCACCTGAAGGCAGTGCCTTTGACGATTGAGCGCCCGGCCGCCAAGGCGGAGTCGCGCATCTGCTGCTGATGCTCCTCTTCCTCCTCTCAAGAGGCACCCGATTCGAAGACAAACCGGAAACGTAGAGCATCAGAGAGCAAGAAGTCGAGTTGCCACATCGCCATTCGGATAGCGGTTTGGGCCAGGTTGTGTGGCTTGCAGGCATGCTGGCTGAATCTTTCTTAATTGCCTGCGCTCTCTCAGCTGCAGATGCTAAGGTGGCTTTATGCAGGCCGAACTTGCCAGGTTCTTACAACTTTCTTCCACACTTTGAAGGAGGCCTTGGACGACTAAAGGCTGAGATCAAAGATCAAGGCTGACCATGCCCCTGACGTAAGGCGTAACAACGCCAAATCGAAGGCACACTATCACATGTCAAACCCTGTGGCGGATCATTCGTCGCCAATTCATCTTTTCACCCATGTTCAGAGGCCTGCCCTCCCCCCCCATCCACCACCACCTCGAAAATGCCGAAACTAGAGCCATCTCGGATCTCGAGATTTTTAGGGCTCCAGCAGCAAACGCCAAGCTCCCTACAATCTCTATGCCTCTTCCAGATGCTGAAGCCTGGGTCAAAGAACATCCGCGGAGCTTTAGGTGGCAGTATACTCTTGTACATCACGAAACAGCCCATGCAACTATGTATGCCATGTATGCTGTATGCGCCTGTATTGTGGTTTGCTGGCCCTGCGTCCTGGACCATCTTGGCTTGCAGCTCTTCCCGTTGCATCCTTCATCTGAATTGACTTGACTGAGAATCCACTGTATAGTTTTTTAGTGGTTTTCTAGGCCGTTAGGCAGAACTTCAAACCGACATTCAACCCCCCCTCCCCCCCCTCCCCCCCCAAAAAAAGCTGAAGCTTTCAAGCCCTAAAGCCGCCGTCGAACACAAGGTGCTTGGGGCATGACCGGGGGTAACCCCAAAACATGTGGCACTCCTCAGAAGTTGGGGGAGGGTTCAGGAGAAATCGCATGCCCAAAGCCTCATTTAAGCGATGCAAAGCCCTCAGTCCATCTCAGTCCCAACATTGAACTTTCTTACGGTATGGTTGTTGTTCTATGATACCTTTTGCAAGACAAGTTGAAGCCCGTCAAAACCCTCAAAGTCTCTGTGGGCACCTCAGCACCAGTAAGCGATCCGACTCGTGACAGAGCTTTCGATTGTAGAGGTTGGTCAACTGGTCCAACGCCTGCGCACAGGAAGCAAGGTGTTCGAGGATGTCGAAGGCTCTTGAGGGCTCTGAAACTGTTTCCGGATTCTCGGGATTGAAGATGGGTAGTTCGAGTGGCTTTTTATGCACCCGTTTTCCAATCAGTTGCAAAGAGGGCAACTGCTCGTGTCGGCTAGACCACAGCCCATCAAGGCTTTAAACCCGATTAAATTTCCCAAAAAGGCGACAAGCCTATCGTAGATTTCATGTCTCTCTCGGGGAGCCTTATGATGGCTCCACACAGCTTCAGCGAATGAGAGCTAGACGTTGATTCAGGACAGAAGCCTCGGCATGGCGCTGCTCCATGTTCTTCATCAATCGCCCACCTGTGCCAAGAGTGGCTTGACCCCGGAACGGAAGGCCACGATGTATTAAGACCAGGAAAAAGTTGTCAACATGCTCTCGTTGCAAAAAAGCCTGTGCCTTCTTCGGGCGTAATTAAAGTCTACAAGACCTCAAGGGCCTACATGGCTTCTGCGATCTTTCATGGCCAACGCTTGCCAAATTTCCGCAACCTCGGCATGAAGCGTGGCACGAGCCTTCGGCTTCCTTGGCTTGCGCTGCCTCCCAAGCAAGGCCCACTGAGAAGCGACAAACTCGACAGATGATAGAAGGAAGTGTTGCTGTTGACTGGTGGTCATCTTTAAAATCAGAGCCCTCTTTGTCATGACTCGTTCTTGTTGTACGAAAATTGAAGTGACATAAGTAAATTGTACACTTCACAGTAACTTATAAATGGCGGTAAGTGAACTTGTAAGTGGAAAGTAACTTTTAAGTAGGGCAAGTAACATACGCCTAGCTAAGTAAACTTAGTTTGCCTCGGCTTCCTGCCGAGAAGCGTCTGGAACAAGCAGACCTGGATCCGGTCTCCTTCCCCCAAACCCAACCCTTCCCCCCCCCCCCCTAAACCCTCCCCCTCTTTGTCAGCTTCATGCCGATAAGCGTGTTTTGTGCCTGCTCCTTCCCCCAACCAACCCTTCCCACAGGGATGCCCCTGTGCACACACTGCATGCTCTGAGCCGGGCGGCGCGCGCAAGCGTTTATTACAATTAGAGACTTAAGTAGAAACGAGCAGAAACTGGCAGTGTTTGCGCGTAAGAATGTCCTTTGCTCCTACTTATTACTATTTATTGCCAGTTATTTGTACTTGCTTGAACTTCTGTTTGGCTTTTGTTCCAGGCTGTTGCAGGAAAACCGCTTGGGACAAGCACGTTGCATCATTCTGGAAAGCAAGCTTGTTCGTGCAGCCGAGCCGTTGCATCGAAATTTCGTTTAGACCCGAAAGCCCCCTGCACCCCGTAAATTTCTACTTTTCCTGGTGCCTGGGAGGGGGAGACAGGCTTGGCCAATATAATATAGACTCTAATTAGGTCTGAGCTTTCCTGCAAATACAGCGACTGACCTCTAACGATGAATCGTCAAGCCCTAAACCTTTAACTAACCTTTGTCAGATAAAACAGAGAAATCGCTCCCCTCGCGTGGCAGCTCGCAAGCTTTCAGCCGTCACGCCTGGCTAACACGAGTTTCCTCGACAGTGCTCTGTCCTTCAATCTGCTTGCACTGCGTACGTGAACTTGGAGGCAGGCAAACCAAAACGAATATGGCTTGCTATGGCTGTCTCATATGAACTGTAAGTGAAGTATCGCAACGCGCAGCAAGTCCATGCTAGTTTCTGGAAGTTCGAACAAAATGGCCCGCTTCGTGATATTTTCGCAAAGGCCCTACATTTCTTCTTGCTCTACATGTTTCTACTATTTTTATTTTCGCTTCAAAAACACGCAAAAATAAGTAGAAATAAGTAGAAACAAGTACAGATAACTTATCTGACAACAAGCCACTGCAACAAGAGCGAGCCACCAAGATTAAAGTCACGAAGCCACTGCTTACGTAAGATTTCCCATCCATGCCGTAAGCCTGCTCCAAAGCACCAAGGCGTCGGTGAAGCTCCTGCGCAAGGTTGACAGCAACAACGTACAAGAAACAAGTATTACTCGGCACGTTTCGGGCATGGAAGCATGCACCCGACTAAGTCGCCTGATGCGGACCTTGGCTGAACCGACCTGGCATCAATTGCCCCCGTCCCCCCCGCCGCCCCCCCCACCCGCCCGATGATACCGCAACTGAGACAAACTCATCGTGCATCCGCATGGAGATTCCGGCGCAGCACATGACATGGAAGCGGGGGTGTTCAGTTCTGCCATCAGGAAAGTCGGCTCAGCCTATACGACAAGCCCTACAAGCTTTTCAGTAGCCAGCACGGGAAAGAAAGAACAATTGTTGACTTAAGCCCCTCCTGGATCTGCGCTTGATCCTTCTGCCTTGCCTGGACACGTCAGACACGCGTGTCAAAGAGCATCAGGCTCTCGTTGCAGGGTGCATGGCTTGATCGAGTCAGCAAGTTCCTGTTCCACAACGCACGCAAAGGTGCACAGCGCAAAATCCTAGCGGCCTATTTATTTATGATGTCCACGAGCCGCCCTCAGCATTGTCACACTACTCTAAGTAAAATTGGGGGGCAATTCCACGAATGGTGCAAAGTCAGATGTTAGTGGGGATGGAAAATGGTCTTTCGAGATGGAAGCCAGCAGAGCTCCTTCGACCAGGGCTCTGCAATTGCCAGTTCGGACAGGTTCCAAAAACCGTATCGTTGCCAAGGCGATCCAAACTAGAACCTCGTGACGTTGCGTCGAGGTGGACTAGATTCTTGAAGACCGGATAGAACTGAAGCCTACACCCACACCCCCCTCCTTGAACCCGATCCTTGGATTCAACTCTTCCCCGGGCCTGCGCTACCTGCGCTGCGCATTCCTGAGGGTACCCAGTTGACTCATTGAGGATGTGTGAACAGTGTGAACTGCCAAAGCGCGCTTCTAGAGATGCTAGAGATTCATACGGGAGTTCTTTAAAGCGGCATGGGCGCCTGTGAAGTTCTACAGGGCTGCCGTTTAAGCCAAGTCCAGCAATGCAAGATATTGCCAGGCTTCTTTTAAACCCACCTCTTTGCTAGCGCTGTCGAAGCTACGAAATGTAACTGTGCGTCAGCTTGATTGGGAGGCCCCCCCCCCCCTGCAATCGAGCTAACTGTGTTTTCCAGCACATGTCAAAATGAAGTTCTAACCTCAGTGATATAGCACGACCTCTTACATCGAAACCCTGCCCACATCTCGGCCTCCTCGTGCATGGCAAACTCTCGCTCTCGCTTCTCCTTGATTTCGCGGAACTCTGCCATCAAAGCCTTGGATTTCTATACTGCTTTTCCCCAATGTTTCTATGGACAGACGGCAACACGAGGCAAGAACTGACATGTTTCAGATGTCCGGGCCTGGTCATCTAGGATGTGCGGGATACGACTTATCTTCGCAGATTGGCCGCGGATCGACAAGAAACGAGCATAGGAGCCGACTCTGAACTACATCGACTGCGGCTGGCACCCAATAGTGTTGGATGCGGTGGTTTTTGTGGGGGCAAACATGAGAGTCAAACTGGGATTTCCATGGACCGTTTCTGAAGGTGCCTGCCTTTACACGTGCAGCAAGCAGTGTCTTCAAGCATTGTCTTCTCTCCCCAGAGCTTTGCAGAAACGCGCTTTGCGAAATGTGCTCGTTATTGGTGCCCTGCGGTGGGCGTGAATATGCGTGAATGCAGCCGTTCTCGGTCTGATACGCACAGTCAAGCAACAAACCATATCATAGGCGGGGCCATGCACCTTGTGCCCAACAACTCTTTTCAAGTCGGAAGGGCCTGACATTTGTTCTCCAGCTTCTGGATTTGAAGCTTCGAGGCCAGGACTGCCTCGCACTTTACACCACTGGACCCAAACGGCAGTAACTGCAGCTCTTGCACATGCTCTATTGCTCCATTAGTCTATCTGCACGATCGTCCTGGTGATATCGTTGTTGCATCTGCTGCCGTGAGGGTCGCACTCATTGAGACATTGAGAACGCCAGCAGGCTAGTCACGCAAAGAGCAATTGTCCAGAGGCTGTCCGCAGGCCTCTGCTTCTTGTGCAAAGCGATCATTATCGGTTTGATGCCTGGGCCCGGGGGTAGCAGCTGGGGAGAGGTTTACGAGGCTCTTTAGGGAACCGTGATGACACCTGCTCTGCGCCCAACGAAGTGTGAACCGTGAGTGGCACCACACAACCACAACCGAACTTGCAGCTTTAGCTCCCCAACCGCGAAGCCCAAAGCCTCTATGATTTTGGACCTCGAAACTCTCCTAAGGGAAGTCAAAGCACAAAGCCATAGGCAGCATGTTCAGCTCCTCCGGCATTTGGGAGCTGAGGCGTCTTTTGTGGTACTTGAAAGCACTTCTGGGCATGGGGTCTCTAGCCGCAGACGGGCCCACTACCCCAACGAAATCCCCCACATCTCGGCACTTCGCTTGCCAAAGAGATTGCCGTGCCGTCAACGGCTCACAGTCACATTCTAGTTAATCCCTTAGTTCCAGGACAAAAAATGAATTACGCCCTTGGACATCAAACATGGACTTTCGAAATAGTTTCACATCTGATACAGTTTGCGCAAGACGTCATGAAAAAAAGCTTTGTTTAAACATCCAATTTCCAGTGGTGCGGTGGCCATACAGACAACATGGCTCAGGCGTGACAGCTGGGGATCAAAATCCTTCACCTTGCAAACCCTTATCTGCTGCAGCCGCAGCGCAATTGGGGAGAATATCAAACGAAGCAAACTTAGGCGTAGAGGAAAATCATCGATCAGTTCGTTTAGGGGTTTACAGAAACAGGGGACCCTTAATAGACCCCCAACTAGTAGGCTTAGCCCAATAAGGTACCCCTAATCTCGGAAGCCACCATTTAGCTGTACTTCCAACAGTGGTGTTGCCGGATGAACCGCCCATGGCATTGCAAATGATCTCCTCGGGGCTGCAAAGGCCAGAAATTCCCAGCACAAAGATCACGCCGTCAGCCCCGGCGCTGACCAACGTCCGCCTTCTCCCGCTTTGGGAAGCTTAGAGGTTTTTAGGGTTCCGCTTCTGCGGGGTCAGGGTTGCAGAATTCAGGTATTTCAGGCAGTTTTGCGATTTCAGGTGTTTGGGAGCTTGGGTTTTTCACTCACCTTAAAGTCATTGATTTCGTAGATTTAATGCCAGTGTATGGCTGTGCTTCTTTTATGTCGGTACAGGCACGGGTCCATACGAGATGTCTGGTGGGGCAATGCAGATGTGGATGCATGTGGCATGTGAGCCTAAGAAACAAAGGTGAACTCTTACCGGTGTCAGGTGTGTCCTGAATTGGACTGGACTGCTCTAGGCATCTGGGCTACGGACTTCAGGGGTTGTTTGTGATTTAGGTGCCTAGCTGGGGGATGCAGGCTGGGTACAGTACTACAGTCTGAAAGCTCTTGCCCACACTTAGCCCTTGTAATGAAGATCTTTGCCGCGGAGCCCGTCGACGGAGATGCAAATGGCCGTACACGCCATGCCGTGGAGCGCAAGCTCGAGAAATTTCGGCGTGCCCTGACACTTGGGGCAGGTTTCTGCTTTGTATGAACGATTGGTTCACCTCACTTCCCTCTCATGTATCGCACATACTTGCAGTAGAAGGTTCTGGGCCCGAGGTATAGCATGGTGTAGCTGATGGGGCTGGAAGAAGCCGGCCGAAATCGCTGATCGTCGCTACCAATGAGATAAGCTGTGTCTGTGACTAAATGGACCCCTTCCCCGTGATGCTCTGCAGGTTTCCACTGAAGGGACTTTGCTCAGGAGTTCGTGATGAAGAGTGCCGCTGCACTGCCGCTGCGCATGCACAATGGAACAGCAGCCCCGAACAGCAGCCCCAATCCTCACCAGTCAGCCGCTCTAAACTCTACAACTCAATCGTGTTAAAAGGGTCTTTCAGCCTGGTAGGGCAGCGAGGTGTAGACCTGCAGGCCCCCTTTGGCCGTGCCGGTGAGGAAAAACGAGTTGCCGTGGTGGTGATAAAGCGTGACGACCTTGTGTACCAAAGTCCCAGCTGTTGGAGCCTAGAATTGAAAAGAGAAACCTCCCTGTTTTTGAACCCAGACTCCTGAAGTCAGCGGTTTCTCTAAACCCTAAACCCTTTGCAACTGGACTGCGGACAACTGCCAGGACAGGATACTACCCTAAACCCTACACCCATTGTAGTTCAAACCCCTCCAGAGTGCGAACGTGCACCTCCAGACAGCTGCCCAGCCGCGCCAAGCGAAAAAGCGAAAACGCAACACCGAAACCAAGGCTTCAATCAGTCCCACATCTTAGCTCCATGAGACTTTCACGTTGGACTCCAGCTCAACTTCGTACTCCAACGAACTTTGGGAGAACCTTGGGTGGCGCATCTGCAAGCCTCGCCCCACAGACTTGCGATATGGTTTACCCTGCAGAGTGTCAGCCTGCGTCTGATGGGCTGGATCAGGAATCTTCCGGGCAGCGGGCTAAATGAATAATTCGCCGGTAGGGGTTTCAGTTCAGGGCTTCACGCTCGGCTAAGTTCAACAGAAGTATGGAAGTAGGATGTAGAACATGTATACTGCGTATTCATTAAGGCGGGGCGAACGTTCGGGCCCGAGATGCCTTTGGAGCAGCTGCTTTCCATTCCTGAAGACGCTGCAGGTGGCCTGCACCGCAGAAGCGGATGAAAAGCGAATGCCCCAATTTCAAAAGCTGGCATACTTAGCGCTGACAGATATGTATTTAAAAGCGATAAGCACAGCTTGGGTATGTACTTTTGGGGCCGCGGTGCCTCAGAAGCCCATTGCACACACGCCGTCTTCCAGACGATCAATGAAGTCCAATTCAGGGTTAAGCGCATAGTTCTGGGCTTAAATTTGTTCAGGGTGCCAAACCGACCAAGCTGACTTCACAAACGCCCATGTCTACATCTTCTGCCTGGTCCGGGGAAATCGCGCTCACGGCTAGGCGTTCAGTTCCAGTCTCGTAGTGATCGCACTCGATGCGGAAGGTAGCGAGATTCCACCTTCATCACGGAACCCAGGGTTGTGGTTTTTACGTCAATGCCCATGGCAGCCCAAGCCTACCGCCCTGCACCATCAATGGAAAATTGATCTGGCGATGTGGTGCGGGTCCTCTTCTTTGCACACAGCAAAATTTCGACCACTCCCTCGCCACAAGGAGGATTCCAACTCTCGAGGACTAAAGACGCGATTGAAGTTTGAGTGTGCCATGTGAGGCCCCATGTGAGAGCAACACGGAGCTCCCACTACATAGCCATGATGTCTTATTCTGGCGAGTCTGTGGCTCAGATGTTCGTCCGTCTCCGGAAGACGCGCATCAGCTCTTCAAAAAGGGCCATCGCTTTGGGAATTCTGCCGCTCTTGGCACTGCGAAACTGTTGGAGTCACACACTGCAGACCCCTGACCTTGCTAGGCAATGCAGCAACACGCTACAGCTCCCACAGATTCCAGCAATCTTAGCTGACACAAAATCACGCATCCTGAGCCTTAGACTCCTTAGACTCCCTAGACTCGCCCTTAGACTGTAGGCACTGTAGACTTCCTGAAGACCTCACCTCCAGTGCTCCAAACACTAACCCAAGTCTAATCCCAAGGCGCTGTATCAGCCGCCCATCCTGGGAGACGCTCCACAGCGCATGGTCCTGCTTCCGATCACGTGTCGACCACGAGCACCACATTTGCATCTACGATGCCTGAAGCCATGAAGCCTTCTCAGATTCTCAGACAACCGTCCACATCGTAAGATGTCGTAAGCCCATGCCTCACCCTGAAGCCCCCCACATCTTTGAGCTCCTCAGGGTCGAAACTGAGGCATGTGATCTCTTTGCTGTGGCCTCAGGCTTGCAAGAGCTTGCTTGACGGGCGTGTGGAACAGGCCAGATCTAGAACATCTAGAATTTAGCTGGATAGCGCTGGCCAGAGCGTATGCGAATGAAATGCCATCCTCCGAAATCCGACTTACTTAACGCGACCTCGTACCTGACATTCAAGTATCTCGCAGCAAGTAGAGTTCAGGCCTTGCAGCGTCGTGATCTTTTCCAGCGTTCGGACAGAGTATAGGTAGATCGATTTGCCTCGTCGAGGCATGAGCGGGACTTAATCTTCAAGATTGCAGGCGCTGGCGATTCAAGTCTTGGCCATCGGCCTTTGTTTGTCAAATGCAGACCTGAGGGTTTGGGCTGAGGGGCTCACCGACTCTCAACGCTAACACCAGCCTTGCGTGACCGCCAGCAGGTGTCCACCATGAGAGAACTTCAGAAGTCCAATGCCCCGAAGGTTGATTTCCTTGTGGAGCTTGATGTCCTGTCTACTGCATGGGCCGTACCCAAAAAAATGCCAAACTACGAGTTCTGACATGCTCGTTGCTGTCTGAGGGGTCTTTCAAACTTGCTTTGCTGGGTTCAGCATGGGATGGCTCCCTGGGGCACCATCGCCCTAAGCTGCAGGCAGTCATATGTTGAAACCGTCATTCAAGCACATCCTAGTTACTACCCGACACTGCCTTGACAAGGATGTGGTAAAAGCGCAGCTTCTCCGCAAAGCCCAAAGCCAGATAATATCCAAACCTGGATGGGGGGTCGAATGTCTTGGACAAGGCCAGGGATTCTGAGTCTTGGAATTGAAATGCTTCCGGACAAGTCCATATGCCTGCCGTCACTGCGGACCAATGCCAAAATGTCCGCGGCGGTTACCCGGCTTAAAAAACTAAAGTGGGTATGTTTCTCAGAGCTTGTTCTGTCGCAGATGTGGGTTCCACGGCCGGCCAAGGCCGTTACTAATAAACTAGGCTGATGCGTTTCCCAAGTTGGCCTGACCAGCTGCAATCTTGCGGTACACGAGATGGTTCAGGGATTGGTGCAAGATGCATTTCTGTCTGAACGTGTCTGAACGTGACACGCCACTGCAAGCTTTAGGCCGCAGATGTTCCTACGAAGCCCTGCTGCAACGGGCCTCCCGGACTTGATTTCCTGGGTTTGTTGTGGGTGACGCGTCAATTGAGCCTGACAGGTTATCCCCAAGAAGCCGAAATGGGATTTCAGCTGCTTAGCTCTCAACACTCCTAATATAGGACGAAGAGGCGGATGCACAGCCACAGCAATCGGCGGGTCCCCTCCAAATGTGGATCGGATCTCGCAAGTCCTGAGCTTTGAGAGTTACTGGTGCAAACAACCATCCAATCTCCAAAGCGGCATCTGGGCCCTAAGGTACACACTTGTCAGGCATCTGAAGGCTCGAACTCAAGTTTGCAGGCAATGCAACGCCAAGAGGCCGTGCAGCCCAGTTCCAAATGCGCATGCTGCTGTCGCCCTTGCAAATCGTGACCTTAGGGCGAAGGGACTCTGAGGCTTGGGACAAGGCACATCACGGAGACTACCCCAAAATACCCTATGCCCCCCATCTCACCGAGGCACCACAAGTGATCGATGCACAGCCATGTCCTTGGCTGAGTTGGCGGGGCTACAGGGGCTTCAGTGTGGTCCCGAACCCCCAAGGGTTATCTGTAAGTGCTTGGGGGATCACCTTCTCGGCGCTTGAAGACATTTCAGGTAAGCTCGTGCCGCGTGCCCTCCCACACACGGTTCGCTCCACCTTTTCCGAACAAGTTTGCCTTGACAAGGGGTCTGATTCATCAAAATGTGTCTCAGGCTGCTTGTCTTTCGCCAAACCCAGAAAAAGTGGGGTTGGAATAGTGTGCCAATTGACAGCGAGTTCCTGCAACCACCCCATGATGAGGCCACAAGCTTGCGAGCTTCGGTGGTAGAATGACTTTGCGAATCATTAGTTGGCAAGGTTAAGCCGAGATCAAGTTGAGGTTCCATGGCAGTGATGGCAGCCGAATGGTTCCCACTGATGTTGATGGGGACCTGCCAAGGCGAAACAAGGCTTTGGCTCTTGCTTGTGGTGGCCCCACGGGCATACGGGAAGACGGTTTGATGGCATGTCTCAGAGACAGGCCACTGCTGCGTCAAGACTGAAGCGAAAGCCCAAGGCCTCAAACCGTACCCTGAACAGCGCGACGGACACCTTTAACAGCATTCCAAAAGCACCCGGCGGACTCCAAGACGACGCACAAGTTGCACCCCAAAGGCCCAAGATGATCCCCCAGCGACTCAACAGTTCTGAAGCGGCTTCTGGCAGCTAACCACGGTGTCCCGCCTGTTCGTCTTCGGTGCCATAGATCGAAGCCATAGGTACAATACCCATGGCCTTGGAATCGCACCGGCTGAGGGAACCATGAAACCATTGCACATTTCTGATGTTGCACCTCGCACCCATCGTCTCAGCAACTACGCCAGAGCTTTGAGATTGTTAACTCACGCCGCAAGCCGCATTCTAGACAAGTTTAGGACAAACCACGTGACCTTTCACCACGGTTGGGACAAGCCAGGCCTTTCGCCATGGCACGACGAGCTTTCACTCACAAATTATGTTTGTCTTGGCAGGCCGGGGCGACTCCCCATAACGCAAATCCACCACTAGACTCACTAGATCCAGCAGAACTACTGGAGCCCTTCCGCCCCCCGCCCCCCCCCCCCCCCTCCCCCGCCCCCCACGACACACCCCGCCACCAAGCGGCAGCATCGCCGAAGCCAAGGAGGAGGTGCTCCTCGCTGGGTGTGACATCCTGACAAGGTGTGTGCGGAGTGCTTTTCTGAGCAGGCTTAGCAGCTTTCGGCTTGCCTACGGCTTATGGCTCACGGCTTTTGAAACTTTGTTGTGCTTGACTACCCTGTCGGGTGAATCGATCGCAGCGCCTGGTCGTATTCGGACATAGATTGCAGATGCGGAACTGCCAACGACTTGGACAACGCTTGAACATGCTTTTAGCAGTATGGAGTGTCTCCGAGTGCCGGAAGCCACACGGCCACACGTCAGTCAAGGCCCGAAGCTCCCCACAAGTCCCCTGACATGAATCTCAGCTAAAGGGTCGATAGAGCACACGGAGTCCGTGTCCGGTCGGACTTTGAGTGCCACAGCCAACCTCATGGAATCGGTTCACCCGCATGTGGCATGCGCTTCTAGAGAGTCTGATTTGGGGGGTTTCAAGTCTGGACTTTTTCAGTGAGGGGCTTGCAAGCGGAGGCCAAAGGTTCTGTTGCTTCATTTCATTTCCTGCTCCTGTGGGTGCAGCACTGCTCGGCTTATGCAGAAACGCCTTCACATTCCACATCTAGTTTGAGCGCGGGTGGAGGCCATTGGCAGCTGGCCGGGGCCCCAAAGTTGCGAAACGGCACCGGAAAGAAAAAAACAAAATTGGAAAAACCAAAGGCTCGAAGAGCCACTCGATGCCCAGCAACTTGTACTCATTCTCCGGTGTACGTCGGGCCCCATCCGAGTCCTCGGACCTATCGACCTGAGGATGCAGCCTGGAAGCTCCGAAATACGGTCGAAGTCTATGACCTCTAACGTATTTTAAGACCCCTGAGCAGCTAGTCTGAGTATGAGAAGATCTTCTGCTGTCACGCACAGAACAACCTACATGCCCCGACGCCCCTCCACGCATCTCTCACACCAACCGGAAATCTCAAGCACAACCACCCCTGCATACCCGTGACAAGCTGCGCTGGTGAAGGCACCATCATCCGATTCCTCCCAGACGGCCAAGTATCCGTAGGAGCCCCCCAGGAGAAAGCCCTGTGTGAAAGAGCGGATGCCTCATTCGTCGGGGCCATTTTGGGGTCGAGAAGGCATCCCTTGGTCTAAAACGGTCGGTAAGACCCGAAAGGGCCCGCTGCCATTTTCATGGATCGCGGGTAGAAGCCAAGTTTGAAGAAAAACCAAAAAAACAAAACGTTGCTGAGCAAGCGGCTTACAAACGGGAAGCACATCTTCGAGGTCGCCCTCTGGGCCAAAGGCACTGTCAATCGTCCGCAAAACGATCAGCTCGTCAGCGCTGAGTATGTGGACAGCACCTTCCTGAACGCACAGGCCGAGAAGGTTTCGACCGGCCTCGAGCCATGTGTGGTCCAAGATCTTCTGCGCCTTCTCCGCGAGGTTCGAGAAGGCTGGCATCAACTTCAAGGTCACCTCGCCTTTGGCATGCCGAATCTGCAAGAGCCGGAGCATGTGTGGGCCAGACACGGTAACATCGGTGCGGTCGTGCTGGAAGGGAAAGGCCAAACGGTCTACATTCCCAGGAAGCTTGCACTTGGCCAAGATCTTCTCCGACTCCCAGTTCATCAGCACCAGTGTGGCCTCTGAGCCGGCAGTCACAGCGCAAAGGTAGCGAGGCGTGCCACCTTCCTTCGAAGCCCCGGCATCTTTGGACGAAACCCCTAAAAACCTGGCCCCGAAAGAAAGCGTGCACCGTCTGCATGCCTCCCATGCAGCCTACGGGCTATATTGGGAGTATGGGAGTAGAAACTTTAGCGCATCACTGCCTTGAAAACGATGAGGCCTCAAAGCCCCTAAGTTTTCTCTCAACCATGGCTCCTGTGGCACCGGAGAGAATCCCACGCCCACCTCAGGAAGAGCACAATCTTCTCTTTGCCTGGTTGACACACCACCCCTCAAACCTGTAATTTGGTTTGATGCTGCGGCACAGAAAGACTTTCGTTGTTGTCTGCCTATGCCCGAGTATATCCCAGCATAGCTGAAGCAGAGACATAAGCGGAAAAATCACGCCGAGGGTACGAAGCGGGTGCTACCCAGCGCGCCACTTAGGGGCTTCATCGTTTTCCTCGGTTGGGCAGGTAGTAACACAGGGAATGACGTGCAGAGTTCAAGGCTTCTATAGTGCAGCATGCGCGCGTCTGAATTCCAGACCCTGCCCTCTACAAGCCGCTGTGGCGACGAACCTAGGAGGACAGTGCACGTTATGCCTTTAAACCCTAGCCCTAGCCCACCTGCACAAGTCTTCTCCTTTTCGTACCTGGCACATGAGGGTTTCAGACTTGTCGATGGTTTGTAAAGACACTTCAAATTTGTGCTTCATCAATGGCGAAGTATCATTGGACTGGTACTGCCTGACTTGAGGTCATAGATCGATATCCTGAGCGTCGGCAGCTCATGATGACTGGTGCTAGCATATAAAACTCGAGCCTCTGCTTTGCACAAAAGACTCGACTGCTGCCCATATTGCCCAGCCCTAGCCTTAGTAAACCCCAAACCTTCCAAGACCTGACTAATTTGGACCCGCGGTCCTTGCGAACACCCTCCCATGCTGCTTACTTAGAGCATTTAGCGGGTTAGGGTATTCATGTCAAAGCTCTGAATACAAAGCCGTGAAGCCCTGAACCCAATCTGGCACTGCGCCTTGCAAATGCAGTGCGCGCACCCTCAAGGTCCCTGACACCCCATCTTTCCAGGCTCAATGTGAATATATGTGATACAAAATATTTCCATGCGAGTATACTGCTCGTGAGCCTGCAGTGAGCAACAGCACGACCCCCAAACCAGCTGTTTGACAGCTCGAAGCCGATAAAGGCTAATGCCCAAATCCATGTGGCTTGCCAAAGCGTATCAGACTGCCGAGGGGACCTATTGCAACATGTTCCAGACTATATGCCCGCTAACGCGCCCGCCTTGCTTCGTTGCTGCACTTCTCTGCCACCACCATCAGGCTTCGATCAGTTGACACCGCACAGGCCGTGATCATGTCTATCCTGAGGCTCTGAAAACAATACAGAACTCAAAGGAGGCAAATGGTTGCTCCAAGCACCCTGGATGGGATCGGAGATACGCCAACAACTTTGAAAACTTTGCAGTCGCTTTTTTACTTTGAGGCGAGGGGCCTTGCGCCGGTCCCAAGGAAGCTGGTCTCGTTGTTTTCAACCTCGGCTGCGAAACCATGGGCCATTTGCCAATTTGACACCTGTTTTGAAGGGCACCTCGATGCACCTCGCTTACTGACTTGTGCCCCAAGCTGTCGGTGCTTAGATGGTAGCTGTTCAGAGATGTCGGGCAAAGGCAGCTGAACTACGTGTCTGTTTAGAATGAAATCAGAGCCACCTAGAAGGAACAGGACCTAAAGCCGGGTTCATGGCTATTGGTTCGGTGAGTCACATGTCGTATTGCCAGCTGCCGTCCCACAGCAAAGGCTATCTGCTGACCGGCGCCATCTGCAAAGACGGCTGCCTCGACTCCAAAGCACACTCGAATCTACAGGATCTTCCTCGGCGCATGTCCTGTTCTTGCTGGGGTGGATCATGACATCTTCCACTTGCACACCCCACATTCAGGCTATAGAGCCCAAAACTCCCCTTGTGGTTCCGATAGGCAAGCACTTGGGCTTCGGGCTCTCAGGTTTGCACGAAAGGGCTACAGTTCATGTGCAAGCAAGGACTAGTTCACAGAGCTGGGAGCGTGGCCTCTCTCAGAGAGGAGCCGCACAGAGAGCCAAAGACGTGCTGAAGCTCCTCGGCATCACGAAGGGTGCAGAGCTTTCTCGCTTGAGGAGGTAATTGACTTGTGACCTTTCCTGTCGGAGCTAACATTTGTCCTTTGTTTGTTTGTTCTTCTCTCTCTCTCTATATATGTATATGTATATAGATGTAAATTTTTGGGGAGGGATGGGTATACTACAGATCAAAGATGACGTGACAATGCTGAAGGTTGCCGGTTACCTGCCCAAGTACTACAGGCACCAAATGGATCATGAGCCGCGCAATGATCCACCCGACCATTGACTAGAAAACAATCGCCGAGGTTGCAGCTGTCGCCAGCAGTTGCACTGCCGCTGCTCCGTGCATCCAAGGCTCCAAGGTCACTTCGGCTTCGTTGGAAGTCATGAGCCATTAACGAGAAGAGGTGGTAAGGGCAAAACAAGTAGTGTCCAGGTCAGTGGGTCGGTGACTGTTGAGTTGGGCTGTGTGGGGTGTCATGCTAAGGGCTCCACTTCATACGGGGCTGACAAGCAAGCCACATGGTTCTTGCTGGAGGGCCACGAATCTGCGTCAACGCAACGCGCATCGCATGAACTGAACTTGGCTTCTGCGCGCATTCTAGGCAGGTCATGTGCTCCCTGCTGGCCACCAACCTGACATGCGCAACACATTCCAAGCCTGAATTATATCTAACAGACTGCAGTGCTCTTGTACAGAAGAAGGTTCCCGGAATCTCTTTAACCAAATGGCCCACAACCACACCAAAAGGGAGACCTGCCAATGTGAAGGCGATCGATTTGACCTGAGCTGCTGAAGCCCGCAGTCCGGCACATGATAGTGGCGCAGCCCAGCCGCAGCCCGTCAGATGTTGTTTTCGCAATCACCATCTCGCAGCTTAGGGCAACCTTTGGCTTGTCTTCAGTGAGCATGCAGACTCCAGGCCTTTCGTCGGGCAGCCTCTGTCTGCTTGAATAAGGCCTGTCGGGTCCCGGCAAGCGAATCAGGTCAGTAACAAAGGCTCTTTGCAAAAGCAACACAGCAAACAGCTCCTCTGAAGAAAAGCGCGTTGGAACCAAAATGAGAACCGAGCTTTGTGACGCACTGCAGAGGCTTCCATTTTCGACGCTTGACAAACTGGCACGATGAAATACTGAACGCTGAGATCGCTGAGACTTCATGAGACTTCCCATTTCTCCAGGGGCATTCCCCCGAGAATCTGAGAAAGCCGGGCCGGCGGAGAGGAGAGAACAAACGGGAGGAGATAGGGGTTTAGGTCCCCGTGCCACCCCCAGTGCTTCTCAACAAGAGCACACTGTAGGGCCGCCAGAAGGCGGCCACTGCAGCTTCTGCAGCCTGAAACCAAACCTCCTGACACAACTGCGGTCTATGGTGTGGAGCAATGCAGGGAAAGTGACACTGATCAGGCCGAGGCCATCAATCGCAGGAGATGCAGAATAACTGATTCGTAGCTTCACTTGCGGATTTCGTTCACCACAATCTTGATGCGCACCAAGGGCTTCCTCAGGCATGCAGGAGGAGTCCTGGTTGGATGCTCGAAAGCAGCTCAGAACTTTAGAACATTCAATTCCAGAAGGCCCGCTAACGATCTGGATACTGACAGCATGATCCCCTTATGTGTGCCACACATGTTGACGATGTCGCATGATGGGCTTGACGTTTGGGTGCCAAGACACTTCTCAAGCATCTCGCAAGAACGATCCTTGGCGCTCAGCTCCTGACATGAGACGTCCGTTCTTGGACGATTAGCATCAGTTAGTCATGTAAGCCTAGCCAAAACGCAGAGATGCAAGCTCAAACCAGCAGCCAGTGGCCAAGTTTCTCGAAGCCAGCAACCTGCCACATCCCAGGTTTGCCGAGCGGGCCTCAAGCTTCTCGATGCAATCGGCGTCTTTAGGGATCCTGGGACTGCGCTCAGTCTTTAGAGGTTAGAGCTCGTCGACTGCATGAAAATAGAGAGATACAAAGATCAAGAGACGGACTTACCTCCATGATGCTGTGCAGCGCCACACTGCCGCGTACTTTGTGCCAAGAGGCCGCTCACCGTCCATGGTCTCGAGGCGAAAATCGCTAGTCGAAACGAGCACGGCTTGTGCGATCTTCTTCCTCGAGTCATCGAAGACGTGGGGAATGGGCATGGGTGTTCAAAATTGCAAGACATGCACCTCCGAAAGTACCTTATGTCTGCAGCCTGCAAGGCACCCTGGCTCAATAGTCGGTCAGAGAACATGTGGGCACCCTCCATGTCTTGTACCATTGGAGGGAAACTTCTTGTTGCACCCCAGGGCAACCAATTGCCGTCTTGACAAGGTTTGTGCTACTTGAATGCAGTTTTTAGCGCGTGACGAGCTCAAGGGGCCCCATGATCTAGTTTCAGCTGGGGGAACGTAGCCAATGCTGGTGCTTGATTCAGTGGTTCTTGTCTTATATGCAGGCCAGCTGCTTGATGCAGTCGAAGTTCTCAGGCCATGTTGACCAAAGAAAGTACTCCTGAGAGCGGAAGTCGCGCTGGAGCAAGATGCAACTCCGAACTTTTGGTGTGTCTTGTGCCCTGTCAGCAGGTCCCTGCAAAATTTCTGCCAGGGCTCAAATGAGTGGATCCGGTCGAAATTGTCCTGTGTCTTGGCTTCCGGCTTCTGCACCGCAAAAGCCCCACAGAATTCCTCCAGCGCACCCCAGAACAACGGCAGTTTGAAGACAAGCATCTCATAGCGGGTTTTGGGCTTCTCTTAACGAAACCCCCAACTTTGAGAAAGCATGCGCACAGGGCCCGCATGCTTGGCGCCCGCCTGCTTCCAGGAAAGCCCATTCTTCGTCCTCACATGCAAGAAGTTTGAAATAGTTTGAAAGTTTGGCCCTCAGCATATCGAGAACACTGGGCATCCCGCTTGAAGTATTTCGCCCGACGGCGCTGCTGGCCGTCAACGCCCAGAATGGCGTCAGTCAAATGGCACATGTAAAGACCTGCACCAAGGAAGCCGCTGGCAGAATGGCTTCTTGCAGATGTCCTACTTTCCGTCAACAACCTCGAGGCGCAACAGACTTGCAACAGCCCAAAGAAGATGTGCATGTACTAATGTACTCTTTAATCCGGCCTTCGGTTGCAGGTGTCTGTGCATGCCCCACGTTGGCCAACGCATCGTCCTTGCCGGCGGCACCTGCTGGACTTGAGCTTCGGGGTTTGGATTTTGGACTTTCATGGACGTTCAATTGTCGAGGGCTGCAACATTGCCATGGGATGCGAAGATCATAATCTTACGCTGCGGTACATGACGCCAGCTGCCAACGCAAGAAGCCACCGCATGAACTCAAGTAAGGAACTGCGAAGCTGCATGGCCGCATCACTGAATCCCTCAGCCTTGTGATGGCTGTGCTTCTTCCGTTGCTTCCGCCATGGCTGCCTGGATCTGCGCCTGCACGCAGCACAGCTACGCAACACGACAACCACTTTGGCACCGGGTCTGGGTAGTATAACTCTTAACAAGACTTCTCTCCTCGATTTCGGCCCGCTTCTGGATCTTTTCTTCTTGCTTCTTGTCCAGAGACCTCGGACAGACAGGAGGGTTTCGGAATCAAATTCACGACTTGATCAGTTTGAGCCGCGGGTACTGTCAGCAACGTCCCTGCAAACCTTGAGCCTTGCAGACTAGCCGTGACTAGCCGCTCGCCGCTGCGCTTCTTCTCTTCCAGGCCTGCTATCTCACGCAGCTTCTTCCTCAGCTCACCAGGGCCAAGTCAAGCACGAAGCAAGGCTACTCCTTGTAGGTCGTAGGTGCATGAAATGCTTCGCAGTTCGTTTTGCTCCTTTATTGGCTTCAAAGCGTCTCCAGCCCCAGTACTTTCTTGGACTTTGCGATCTCTTGGCCTGCCCAGATAATTGGGAGAGCTGTGCGCTCAAAACACGAGACCAGGCAAACATGTCAGTCCTGGGCCACCTGCGAGAAGTTAAAACAGGAGAGTCAGCGCCAATCATGGAAATAGGAGGGCCAGGGAATACTGCAAGCCGCTTGGCACAAGCAACCGGAGCAGGACATGTTTGCCACATCTGATCTCAAAGATGCTCAAGCTGCCTTTTGACGAGTTCGCCGCGCTACAAGTTCCGTCGGCCGCGGCTGCGTCCACAGCGCCGGCTAACAGAGGCAGACCTCACAGCGGTGTCGGCACCACAGTACGTGCCCGCTCTGCTGTCAGAACTCCTGAACTCCTGAACGTGTGTTCTATCCGGCCCAAAGACTAGCCCCAGCAATGCTGCAGGACACCTGTCGGCACATCGCCCTCATAAGGCACCTTGACTTCACTTGCAACCTAAGCTCTCGGTGTCACATCGCGTGCACCGCAATGCGGCAGTCTCGATTGCACATCATCCACCCTCAATGTTCTGACAAGGCTCAGAATACGGAGCCATTGAAGCGGCGGCCTCCGAGGCCTTGAGCTGACTAAGCTCGGCCTGGACACATCTGAGTCTGTGTGAGTTGCACGAGTCATGACGAGTGCACACCTCCACTTCACTTCTCTTTCGCAGCTTTTCTTGTTGCTCTTCGCTCAGAGGCCTCAGTGCTGGTTGTCATCTTGATTCCACTCGCACTTGCCGTGTCTCCCGCGGCCCCGTCCCGCCCATAAAGACAACCTTGAAGACGAGGCACCTCCCATTGCGCTCTTTCGCGTCCAGGTCCATTATTTGCTTCAGCTTCTTCCTCAATCAGTCCATCAAGAACAGTCACAAGAAACAAAGCTCTCGTGAGACAAAACCATTTGACACCCGTGCTGCAAAGCCAGGGCTCTCCAAATTGCGAATCTTTTTCTCAACATCCGCCATCCCGTTGGCTCCAGGTTTGGATTCAGGCACTTTGATTTCACCACGGGAACCTAAACATGGAAACTGGCTCTTCCGGAGCGCACATGCCTAAGCTTTTAGGCTTTACGTAAAGGGGCCACTGAGCACACCGCTCTACTTCAGACGGGTCCTGCTTCTTAGGAGCGCGAAGAAAACCCATCCTGTGAGAGCACATGCTGCCAAAAAAAGTGTATGGCTTAGGAAGGGACTTGAGATTCTTCCACTGTCTAGCTTTATGGCTCTACACGCGCAAGCAGCCATGCCTTTGGTTTGACTTTGTCATTGCTCAAATAATGGGCGTCCCCGTTGTGTCTGCATAAGGTCTCTCGAGGCACTTTTTCCAGATCTTTATCTAAAAATTGGTTTGAGACATGTCGAAGCGCACTGGCGCACTGCATCAAATCATGGACTGCAAGTTTTGAAGTTGCGAGCATGACTTTGTACTGCCTGGCTTCAACATGTGTAAAAACCCTCAGGGCGACCTCAGACCACCCATGTCGGAAACTGTAGGGTTCAAAATCAGCACAACTCCTTCAAACAAAAACTTGCATGTTCAGCTCCGAAACCACATGGAGCAGCTTGCCGCTGAGCTTCACGAAGCAACACTAGTTGCTGCTGCCACATGCCTGTTGCACCGACGGAATGGGGGCCGAAACCCACTGAGCACATAGACACCCTGAACTCTTTGGCAGGCTGCGGAGCATGAACTGTGTCTTGGCATAGATCCATGAAGATTTCAAACGTTGATGCACTGTTCAGTCAGCTACGCTTGGCTTAGCTATGCTGGTTCATCCTGGTGGGCACATCTGAGATGCAGAACTGAGCAATTCTTGAGGCTCCGTACCAAGGCTTGTGCGACGTGCCAGTGATGCCTTCAGCACAGAGCCTTGCGGCGAATTAACTCCTCGCGGAGAAATTGGCATGAGGCATTGGAAAATACGCTGCGCCGTAGACTGCGACTGGGCGACTTGCTTGGACGACTCGGAGGCTGCGTTCAACGAGATCTCTGCTACTCTCATGATGAAGTCTGAAACCGCTCACTATGCACAAAAGTTCGATGAAGCACATACATACCCTCCCTATAACTGAGAGGGGGCGCTGGGGATGCCTTTGCGGACCCTTTGTGGGGTCTTAACAAGGGAACCAATCTCAGACCCCTCGATTCCTTTATTTGGTTGTTCTGTTCCGTTCCGGCCGGTTCTTGTTTCGTCACACAATCTCAGAGAGGACTCCGTTATACGCGTGAGTCCGGCACCTTGTTACGCATGTTTCTTTGTGGGTCGTGGAGGTCTTCTGCTTGAACACAAAAGATCCACTGGATTGAGCTGCTTGGATCGCAACAGATTCGTTCATGATACCTCTGAAGCACCTCTGGGACAGATTTTGGAAGCCACTGGAAGCTTCTGGCGCGTCTTTTTGGGTCGCTGAGGATGCTTGTTCGGGACCGACGAAAAGGCTCTGGATTGTGGATTGGCTGCCATTTCGCCCTAAAATGCTACTTCTTGTGGAGCCGCTGGAGTAAAAACAAGAAGACATGCTTAACCGCCGAGTCTGTGTCCCGCGTGCCCCGAAGCAGCAGCTCATCTGGCTAGGCATCATGTGTGTTCTGGTTGGCGGGGCCCGCATGCTTTTCCTCGAAAAGATGGCCCAAGTACGTTCCTCACATGCTTACAGTCAGGACTTCTATGGCAGAACTTCGCAGAACTTCAGCCTCACGAGCTTGATCCAGGTTACAAGCGCGAATCGGGACGCGTCCATGTCAGGACAGGCCGCAGGTCTGCAACCCTTCCTGACCATAGCAAAGCGCAGCACGGCTTCAGCCGACCTCAAGCCGACCTCGTGCCGCGTGTGGGGCAGGAGAGCATGTCGGATGTAGCATACACAAAAAAAGCAACCTCCTCATAGCAGTAGTTGCATGCACGATCCTGCTGCGAACCCACGCATGCACTTGAGATCTTCCTTGGCATCCACTACCAGGCGAGGCGAAAATACTTTCGATCGGTGTTGCGCTGCTTAGGGCCTCCACCGATCAAACCGTGGGCCAGACAAGGCCCCGGGGCATACACTCAAACATTGCGGCACTAACGGGGAAAGAGGGAGACGGTATACACCGTTCACATACAAAAACACTATGTTAGGCAATACGCCTATATTATATATGTATATATATATATATATGTAGAGATAGATAATTAGATAGATAGGTAGATGGGGAAAACCTTTTGCCTGCTACAGCATCTTGTGATGCATCCACTGCAAATTTCGATGGCGCCGGGGTGAGCCCGGAGACTGGACCAGACGCCCGAGATTCAGAAATGTGAACAAATCTCCCCTTGTTGGATCCTCTCATCCCATCCCCCACAAGTGCCTATGTATCTGCAATAGGTGCCGATCACACGGCCTGCGCGTGGAGTCGGAACATATCCAGAGAACCACCAGGTCTACGCAACCCATACACACGAAACACTAGGAAGTGGGGCATGCTTAGAGTCTCTCTCTCTCTCTGCTGCCCTCCTGCCCCAAACCTTTCAACTGCCATCATGAGTCATGATTTCTGGGTTGTTGAGGCTATTGGGGAGTTCTGGGAGGTTCGACAGACAGAGGGCACTGCTTTATTCTCGCTGGCATCCTTCCGTTCTTGACTTGCAACTTCACACCTTGAACCGGAATTCCCACATCCACTTGCGTCGCAGAAGCGACGGCTTGCTTCCACTCAATGATGCGCAGCAAGGCCGGCTTTATGCACACCTTTGGACCTGCACATCTCTCCGGGTTGCAAGCTCATCTTGTCGCGCTTGCATCCCTTATCCTACTCCTACTCCTTCTCCTCTGCATTGCTGTTCTCATCCTTGCTGTCTGCTCGAACCTAAGCGCCACAGTTGATATCTGTTCTGGGGCTCCTTTCGAAATTCCACATGCTAAGAATCTTAAGCCTTCCGCGTTGTTGTCCACATCGGCTGCATGGATGTCCTCCCGGTTCTCCTCCACCTGCTGGGGAGTGACTCTGGGGAGCCTACTTGGCCTACTTTCACGAAGAAGAGTACTGGATTTTTGCATGATTTGCGAATCGGTCTCGATATGTCTGCCGTCCGGTTGAGCTCTTGACAGCTCTCGTCCAGAGCTTGGGCTTGGCAATTCGAGTTTGCTTTTCCCGCGCTGTCGCGGGAGGCACCTTCGACGCACATCGTAGCTTACCATCAAAACCATGAAACCCGCTCCGGCTCAAGCATCCCAAAACATTCTGAAGGTCGGGGGCAAGATCATCGCGTCAGTTGCTGTTTTTGAAGCGCTGGACGGCTGAAGCGGGCGAAATGATGTCCCCGCCGCTTTCTGGAAGACAGTGATCCATTTCATATGTGAAAATTCCTCGGCTTCAAGTGACACAACCACATGCTGTCCTGAAGGGCAGTGCGTTGACGTACCTCAGCCCTTGTGAGAGAGGGAGCTGGTCTTAGCTGGTTTTCCAGTTGTGTCACGCACGAATGTGGGTTGCTATCGCGCGGGAGTGGGCCAGCTCCTACACTATGGCTGCTCGCACTATTCTCGAGGCGTTTCTTTGAAGACCGGTCCTGCACTTCAGAAATCAAGCCGAACCTCCCCACACCCGACATTACTATACAAACAACTTCAACTTCGGTTTCATCAAATGCGAGTATTCTGTATCTGTACAAACGATTTCTTTGTCCAAGGCACTGTCACTGTAGGCTACATGGCGAAAGCAGAGACCACTCAAGGTCATGCATGTGCTAACCTCCAGGCCTCCATATCGCTGTCGCTGTCGGCGTCTTGAGGTGGTTGCGGAGCGGGCACTGGATGCTGGTTGACGGTGTTGGGTGTAAAAGGACTCAGTATGCAGGAGAGCACAGCAGTGCTGAAGGCTCCATTCCATACGATCCAATACTACCGGAAAGCAACCAGTACTTGTCAAAGGCCAACACCACGCTTTCTGACACCGCTGGTTTCGTAGTATGCAATGTATTGCCAGGTTGGTTTGCTTCTAAGCCAACGGGCGAGGCCTGGGGCCGCAAGTGCCCATGCACGATGCGGCAAGAGCTGCAGGTACTCCTGGGAAAGGGGGGGCAGGGGGGGGGGGGGGGCGGGGGCAGCTGCTGTTTTTTCAGGCTTTCCAGGATCATCCCTGAGTCTGTTGTGGGAGCACGGCAGGCACAAGGCCCCAGGTTTGACCTACCATGGCAACTGGCTTATGAGGAGGTGCTTCTGAAAAGCGGCCAAAAGATCCAAGTATAGGACGTGCGCCAGGATGACATTCAACAGGCTACCACAAGCATCCCATGGAAGCAGCAGTAGCTGCAAGGAAGAAAGGGCGGAGACCCTGGAAGTCAAGTCTAGCGCTGTCCATGGCTTCCCGGCATTGAGCCACTGAAGCCACTGAAGCCACTGAAGCCACTGAAGCCATCTCAAGATAAGTCCGTGGTGTACTGTAAAGCTGGTTGTTCACACGTTGCAGCCGCATGGAGATTTGGAGATTGGTCTCCATCACCAGGCTTCACTGGCTTCACTTTCGGGGCAGCTTCGAAGAGCTCAAGATTAGCGAAGGTCCTGCACGGCACGTTCGTCTTCATGAAAGCGGGGCTCGCAAGGCAAGGGACAGCTGCGACTTCTTCCTGCAATACAGGGCTTACTTTGATAGGGACGTTTCCCCCCACGGGGCGAACCCCTGAGTTTGCTGGGCACTACCAGGCACCGCACGGTTTATGCCAGGTATTGTGCTTTTTTGTACAGAAGTTCTGGTTTTCGCAAATATACACCAGAGGCAACAACCACGCAACTGTCTTTTGCCGGCGCGTTGCAAAATCTGGGCTTTTAATGCATTCCCTTGAACCCCAATCCCGATCGAAACACCGAGGAAGAATCACAAAGAGCATACTCGTGAAGCCAAGAAGCGGGCTGGACCTGCCTCGGGCCACTTAACCACCAGAAAGGTCCTGCGGTAATCGACCTGAGGGATGAACAGGAGCTTTATCAGCTTCTTCCACGATGTCATGAACAAACAACGCAGAAAATCGACTGACACTTGCGTGAACCTCTCCAGACCAGTTCTTGACCCTGTCACAGTAGCTGAGGCGGCCGCCATTGGCTAACAGTGATGTCACGAACGGACAGACCACTGCGATCTTGAGCAAAAATGCACTGCGCCAATGGCAGCTCAGCAGTCTACATGAGGAGGTTAGGACTGGCATGCCGAATGGCCGAATCTATGTTTGAGGCATATCCAACGGAAGCTTCAAGCAGGCGCTTGCCCAGAAAATCTTCAAGGAGTAATTAGCCAGTCTCACCTCCTTGTGCTTGCTATGTAAGACCTCTCTAGACAAACCGAGACGACTCTGCCAGAAGGCACAGAACAGGACCCACAGGGCTGTTTTTAGGAAGGGTTGGGGGGGGTACCTTCGAGAAACCCTGTCCCCAGCGATGTTGCCTGGACGTCCCTCCCCCCCTCTTGCTTTCCTAAAAACCGGGCGCGCGGGACTCTTGCTGGTTTAGCCTGTAGGGTGTGTCACGTGCCCCGCGCCCGCACATGAACCGCGCATGAAAGCGTTAAAGGGCTACAGGAAACAAATTATGCTTTTTGGGAGGCCCGGTGTCGATATATCATGGTCATTCCTTTCCTAATTCTGCCCCCCCCCCCCCCCCCCCCCAATGCGGCGGGTTTTTTCTGAGCCGAACGTTTCGGACTCTTGAAGTCCTCTACACTTGTCTGTATTATCTGACCGACGGCTTTATGAAAGAAAGTGCTCCAGGCAAGTTTCCCCAGCAGCTTATAAGCAAAGCAAGCATATGGCTGCAACATGAACACATCTCCCTATGACACGTATCATGCAAGAACCCGCTGAGGGAGATTACGTAATTAGGGTCAGCGTGAACTTTTCGTCACATAATTATAATTATTCTATATGATGCCCCTTGTGGAGAAGCCCTGCAGCCTTGGCAACTGGCCCAAATCTGGACTCGTAGCCTCCACGTCACGCCTCCGCAATAATCTCAGATGGTCAGACGGTCAAACGCGGAAAAAAAACGCGGAAAAAAAAACTGACTCCCCCGTGCTGTCTCGCCAAACTCAGCAATTTCTCTCGCTCGCTAGCTTGTAATTAGCAGGTTTGGGGAGTGGAAGCACCCACTCCAAAACTGACAGCACGTTGTCTTTCCGTTGCCGATTCACTGATGCTGCATTCACCTTGTGCAAACTTGCAGACACCTTTGTGCGCACAAGCCTTGGTTCCGAGTGGCCTCGCCGAGGCGCACATCAGACTCGGCCAGCAGCGGTCAGCAGGCTCACAGACCTCGGAAGACAAAATAGTAAGAGAGAGCTCAATAACTCAAGAACATGCTTTTCATGGGGGGGGGGGGGGGGGGGGCAATGGAAAGAGTTAGTTCGAAGAAACTGCCGGGTTTGTTGTAACGACATCGCTAATAAAAATCTGGAGAGCCTCAGCAATGACTTAAGCAGATGCCAGCAGAGCGGCAACTCGAGACGAGAGCACATGGGCCCTAGAGTTGATTTCGCTACTTCTAGGGTTTTAAGCACAAGCTAGTGGCAGCTAGCGTGTTTCCATATGCTGCTATAACGACCAGTTCTTTCTGGCGACCCTTGCAGCCACAGCTCGTTCAAAGGAACTGGGGTGCTCAAAAACCGCCCCCTAACCCTCGCCGATGAACGTACGGGTAGTGAACTCAGTAGTGTGCTGGGCTTTCGCAGTTTCCAGTTCCTGCACCTGTGGCAATTACAAACCACTATAAACCCTGTGCGTGTCTTGCTTGGTAGGCTAGGGTGCCGGCAAATCGCAGAGCTCGAAAACGATCCATGGCCTGCCCACGCTGTGTTCAGCAGCATTTACACTTTGCCAAAAAACAAAACAACCGGTGCCGCAAAAATGTTTTTTCGACCCGCAAAGCTTAATTAATAGACGTCAGTTTAACCTCGAGGTATGGGGAAGTCCCCAATCATACACCTGCATCCCTGTCACTGTACCCAAGGCTCGGCTGATATCATGAGATGAAGGCCGCTGCATGAAGTCAAACTGGCATGAGTTGGAGGAACCTTGTTGGCAGTGCTGTGCTAGGCGGACCGAACACTGCGATGAGAATCTCAGGCAGATGACGACTGCACTGAGAAAGGTGGCTAAACTGTTCGAAACAGCTCTGAAACCTCCTCGCCTTTTGCCAAGCTAGTTTAGCATTTGGGCTTGTGCAAGTGCGGCCATGCAAAATGAAAAAGGATGCTTGCTCGGAGCGGTTGCTGGTTGATCCATAAACGCTCGAGCTACATGCAAGTGTGCATGCAACATATGTTGAAGAACAGGGCTGCGTTGTTAATAACGGTTTTTCCCTAAGAGGCTGGTCACCCCACCCTTGTAGCTCCGCAGCGACACAGAAATGCCCACCGCGACCGTTTTTGACTTGACTGGCGTTTTCCAGCACTACCGCGAGTCACAGTTGCATGCCCCAACTTTTGCCGGCAATTGATTCGTAATTCTTGGGTAGGACAATGGCATACACTGCACCCCTTTGCAAGCCCCCAAGATGATGCACCTCGCCCGAAGAAGGTGGACAACAACGCAACTTAAACACCTGACCTCCATCCAAATCATGCCCGCTCCAAAAAAGGAATGCATGGCCTGGGCCCACGAATCTTTCGCGATGCCTCATGGCCATTGAGCCATACAGCCGCAAGGTAGGCAACATGGGCTTCTCAGCGTCAAGGCCCATCGGAGAAGTCTGGCCGGGTCCTATGCGGCAGATGGACATATCACGACAGGCAAACCACTCTGCAGCAGGCCCTGCTTTGCTTCACAAAGCCGAAGGTCGATGCAACCAGGAAGCATGAGCAACATCTGTCGTTACATGGATGCTTTTGGACAGCAGCGTTGAGGCTTTGGACTTTGGCGCTCTCTGGGCAGCAAAAGTACGTTGATGACGAGTCGAACCTTCGGTAGGCACCCCTGCTCCTGCGATTTGTTAAGCATCCATGTGACAGAAGGGTCGGCTTGAAACCCGGAGTGATCAACTGTGAGCACGTATTCTGCCTAGCATGGCGCCCTGCGCGTCGCCCCGGATGCCACTGACATCCTCAAGGGCAGGGTGCATTGAACGAACATTACCCAAAACGCCATGACACTTGCAGTCCCCAACTCCGAGAGCCCCAAAGCTTGGGACCCAAACAGCTTACCAAGGCATTTAGGGCATGGAATGCCCCACACACTCTCTGGGCAAGCCCTTGGTTGGGGAGCGTACAAGACTCGGACTCAACAAATAATTATAGACAGATGGGCGACGGGGGGGCTTCCCCGCTTTTAGGGCTTGAAAGGGGGGGATATGCTTGCCAGCATAATGATTGAGCCCATATTCTGGGAAGCTCTCTAGATGCCCTGGCTTTCCCCTTCCCCGCCTTGACGAGCCAGCAGCCTGTCTTACCAGCACCATCCCTTAGGTTGAAAAGTTCTCGCACAAGACTGGGTTATAGGCTATAGGGCTGAGGGCTTAGGTTGGTATCGTCTGACTGGCTTAAGCCTGTGGTGAAGAGCCCGAGGAACCTCGGACCTTCGACTTGCAATTGGAAATCCTACAAGTTTCGGAAGATGGTGACAGGGCGCCCTACGTAAACAATGGGTAAATGAGGGTTTGAGTTGCCCCTAAAGTCTGCAAACTTAAACGACCTTGACAGGGAAACTCCAAGCTCTTGGTCCCAAGCCGAGCCCTCCTTTGCTTTGAGCGCGAATCATGCATTGCTGCATTGCATCCTGACACCTTTATACTTTTGACCAAATTCACGACAGGACGCTCGAGCCACATCCAGACCTCACAGTCTTGCTCCGCGTAGCCTCAGAAAACTACCGCACTATGAAAAGGAGTTTCGGCTCGGACACTGAAGTTTCAAGGCCCTTTTCGAGAATCAAGGAGCTACTTCGAGGCAAAGCTTCTGTTTCAGCACCCTCTTAGGACATGTTGTCATCCGACGCCCACACTGCGGAGGTGCTTGGCCCATGCTACCATCTAGATATATACATAGTCAGAACGCCGTGCGCATGGCCAAGGATGGGATTTTGCGTCCTGGCCACTGAAGCTGTCGCGCCACAAGTAATGTTGTTAAAAAGCTAGCCGCATCAAGCAAAGCGGCAGAGTGTGCAGCACGCTTCCGGGGAATCGGTCTCCTTTGAAAGTCTGAGGCGGCTCGACTTTGGAAATTTACATGCTCTCTGCAAGATGAAGGTTCTCGTGAAGCCCCTGTCTAGCAGCAAAAGCCCTTCAGCACCACCCCTCTCACGCAAAGGTCCCTCAAGCGCGTCCTTGATGTATGTTTCTCGCAGCGGCATGGCCTCTCTAAGGTTTCGAGGACGCGCCAGATCAGAGCGAACATCAACCAACGCAGCTGGCAGCACCAGAACCATGGGTTAACTCAACTTTACACGTCAACATCTCCTTGCCGTCGCCTCGACATAGCGAGTATCCGCCAGGCCATAGCAAGGCAAAGCCTGGAGCTTTCCAGGTCTGCGGGAGGGTGCTTCGGCTTCAGGGCGTATCTGAGTTTAACCGCGGCATGCCCCTGACTCTCTCGACTCCAGCACGAACTGAACCGAAGTTGCATGAATCCGAAACCACTCATAGATCACACGAGCATTGCTCACAAATCCCCATGTGGCTCGTGAAGCATTCAGCGCCTGGTAGCTGAACGTCAGTTGCGCGAGACTCTCATTCCACCGAACCCTGCAGTCCGGGGCTCTTTGCTGAGAAGGAACTTTAAGGGTTTTGGGTCGAGGGGCTTGCTTCTTCGCTGGGATGCCTCTTGTCTGCACACCTGGTAAGAGCATGCAGACCCATACCCCCACCCACCTACCCACAAACGCTGTAGAGAAGAGTAGAAGCAGACGCAGCCGAAGAGCGCGCAAGACCAATGTACCAAAACAACAACTGCTGAAAGGCATGCATCAACATCTTCGATGAGTTGCTTGCGAGCTCAGGGTTGGGCTGCAGTCTACGAGCGCAGCCCCAAACGCGGCTTCAATGGTGTTTTGGCAAAGGCTCTATGGCATCCCATGACAGTCGACACTGAAGCCACTCGGAAGGCCCCAAGACCGAATGCTTTTCGCTGGCCTCATGTGCTAGGCAGAAGAATGACACCGGGGATCAACAAGTGGCAAGCTGCTGAAAGTCATCGGTGGTCTGCAGAAGATTTTGGGCCCTGTACCAGCCGTCCTGTTAGTAGCGTTTTCTGGAATGTCCACTGTGACATAACAAAAGTTCAATCAGCCAGGGATTCGGATAGTTACCAACCACATCATACCAACGGAAATAAAGAAACAGCAAGGAAATAGCGAACATCGAGCATTGGCCAAACCACCGCGAAAAATCATGTCATACTTTCATTGCAACACCCGTCTGAAGTCGGAAGCCCAAAATGCGAATTCCTTTGTCTTGTCACCTGTGCTGAGAGTGCCTGAACCACGTAATTTTAAATTTTGATTGCGAAGCTGATAGGACCGACAAGCGCTTAACTTCGCCAAAGGAAACTGAGACAATTTCCTCAGGGGTCTTCCATGTCCTGGTCTTCCTCGAAGTGCTGCAACTTCGAGCCTGCCTCTGAGGTAACTTCGGGTTGAAGAGCGACTTAAGGGTCACATGAGCTGTCTCCAGCAATCCCGGTTTCTCTGGTATCGACGGCGTCTCATTTCAGCTGGACTCCTATTTCCTGGTTCCAACAGTACGCAGTTTCTTATGTTTCTTACTGCGGCGCAATATGATTTGCTGTCTCCGGCTCACACTTCTCGGTTATGATGCTGCTTGTCAGAAAACATGGCTGGGCTCCAGTCCAGCGGCCTCTACGAAGGTCTCGGAAGTTGTAAGTGCCAAGGCCCCGAGAATCTTCGACCCTTGTGTGATTCCTGCTTGCTTCCTTCTGTGGCCGGCCACGCGGTCTTGAATGACAAGCCCAAGCTCAAAATACCTGGCCCAAGCTATGCCAACATCGGAGCTGAATCCTTGCAGCAGAGGCACGTCTTTGGGAATCAGCTCCACGCCAAAGGGATGCGTACCCTGAGCAGCGGGAAGTGGTGGGCAGGCCCTGTTCCGTGAATTTAAAGTCAATGCAACGAGCAAGCTCTCAGCAAACGAGACGGCTCTTCATAAAGTAGACGAAACATAGGCAGGGACTGTGAGCTCGATAGTGCCGAGGCTGTGTGGGGTCAGTGCCGCACGGGCCAATATGGCCCAAGAATGCTCCTCGCGCTACCATCTTGCTAGTTGAAGAAGCAAAGGTGCAGGGAAGTATGGCCAGCTAGGTCCTGCTATCGATGCCAGGTCATCTCTCGACATGTGCACAGTGCCGCGGTCCCTGAGCACCCCCCGACTTGACCTATGCGACCTATGCTGTTCTCCCTGCTGAATCCGGGCCTTGGCAAGGAACGTCACCAAGCTGATGGTGTCTTTCGAAGTGAAGCCATGCATCTGGCGACCAATCGGCTTCAGAAACTGGGGCATGTCCGGTTACCTATCATGCACTTAGCCGGAACTTATGCAAATTGCTTGTGAGTCCGCACTTCCAGAAAATAAACCTCAGACACTGGAGCCCAGAAGTCATACGTGAAGATGAGGTGGATGCAAAATCGAGTAGTGGACTATGGCTCAATGACAGCAAGTACATCTGCTAAGCTGCTGCAAAATGGCGCAAAGTTCCAGACACCTTGCCAACCCTCAGCAAAGGTATCCTGTGGAGAGACTCTCTGCAACCGAGTCGGGAGGCCGCATAATTTCCGCGCGCGTAATCGAGGTCGGAGAAGTTGCGAGTCATCCCAAGTCCTGCGATTCGTGAAAGGAACCGTGACTGTAATCTCGTCGAGATGGGGGGATTCTGTCGGCGGCACTGTAGCTCGCTGTAACACCGATGTAGCGGACCACTTGACCACAAGATGCCCAGTGAGTGTAGAGATGCAGCAGAGAATCGCTTCAAGTCCGAATATTCCCAACGTGGCTGCAGTTCGTCGGGGACGTCGCACATCTCCTTACGCAACCCCAAGGTCCCAAACTCGAATGCTGAGAGCCCTCCAAGTTTGACTAGCCTCCATGCTCTGAACCCGAGCCCTTCAGGGGCCGATGTCTTTAGGTTTGCAGCTGGAGCTTCAGGAACATGGAGCAGGGTTTCTCGAGATTTAGGAATCTCCCCATACCTGACGCTTTAGTTTCGATTACGAAGTTCACTGCAAGCAGTTTTTATGTATAAGCCATAGCGTTGCGACCCCCTCCCCCGAATTGCTCCTGGGCATCTCCGGGACAACTGCTGGAATGGCCATCCTGCTGCCAGCACAGGGGACAGACGGCAGTCACTTGCTTGGCACAGCCGTGTGCAAACCGCAGCCCCTCATAGATAGATGTTCCCGGCCAGGGTGTTGTGGCTCCGAAAAGAACCACCACAAGAACATTCAGAAACCCATCACATGCCAAAACAGCCATGAATGGCAACTGACTAGAACAACTGAGGCCTTGTCTGGATCGGCAGCGGTCCATAGTGGCTCCGTGACTGCCAAGAAATGGACCTCAAGCAATTGCAAGTTGGGCCTTCGCGACCTAGATTTGTGGTTGAGATGCATCCAAGAACCACATGGCAAACCACCCAAACCCAAAGCTCAAGGACGCCGGAATCCTGTTGTGCTCTAGATTCTGACCCTCCAACACATTCCACGAACGTTGAGCCTACAATGGCCTACAAGTCAAGGGCTCCATGACTCCACGGCTTGGCAGGGTCATGTAGGGTCTAGCCATGTCCAGCCTCAATCCGTCCTGTTGGTGGGACGACAACCCCGGCACAAGACTTTAAGTTCCAATTCAGTCATTCACTGCATGTAGACCTTGCCCACACATCTTGGCGTCTCTCAAGCTCTCTCGAGAGCCGGCACCTCTGCATTCTTTGTCTAAGTGCAGCGTGCATAATTGCTTTGGCTCCAGCCCACTCCCTAAGACGTCTTCCAGTACAGGTCCAGCAGAGAACTGGGACCTTTCCGATCTTTGCGTGCCAAGGCTCCACACGTGGCAGGTCGACCTCCGCAGTCTCTGGTGGCCACCTGCGCAGGGGCCAGAACTAAGGAAGTCGACATCAGCAAGCCCGAAATTCAGATCTAATGAAAGGGCTCGCTGCTCACGGCTTGACATCCTGGATGCATTCGCCCCAGAAGCATACTCGTCCCAAAGCAGACAACGGATCATGGATGATCATGGATGCAAAGCAAGTCACTTCGCCCACAAGTCTCGAAGCTGCCGCTGCAGCTCCTGCATGTGGGAAGCTTTGAAACGCCATGGTGACCCAGCGACCTTTTGCCCAAAAAAAGTGCCGTAACGTGGCCAAAAGAGATCCGGGATGCGGGTCTGGAAAGATGGCAAGGAACTTTCAACATGGGTCCCGCGGCCTCGAGATCGTGCGAGCGGAGGTTGCACAGCGAGGCCTCGCCTCAAGGCGACGAGACAGCTCAGCCAAATGCCTCTAAAGGCCTAGTGTTCTGGTGGATGAGGGAGCTTCATGCAGGATGCCCCATAGACCCCCAACGAATCCATCCCTTGAACCCTGAATTTTGTTGTTTGCTGCGCTGGGTTTGTGAAGTCCCAGTTGCCCTGAATCTCGGGAACCAGCACGGCAGCCCTGCGAGCCGCACGGGCCACCAAAGCCAAGACCAGGGCCGGCAGCTTCCAGTGCTTTGCCTTAAGAATCGCAAGGGGTTGCTGCTTACAAGTTGTGGATGTTCCCCCTTTTTCTAACAGTCTTTAAAGGGACCAGAATAGGGGTACTAAAATCCCCATTAAGGACCGTTAGTCTACGGGGGAGCATTCCAACTAGCATCTTTACAATGCCTTGGCAAGGTCGTCTTAATTTCCCACTGCACGGCTCTTGCGTTCACACCCGGTATCAGGGACTGTAACCGACGGAGCTGAAGACCGAAGGGACGAGGATCCTATAAAACCACACGTCCTACCAGATTGCGCGGTGCAGGTTGGGCTTTAGGGTTTGCCGGCCCCATCCCCCCCACCAACATAAACCAACATAAACGAACATAAGCCAACATACTATCGCTGCTGACAGCCATCTGGAGCCGAGCTACCCGACTCCAATCCATATCCAGAACCTGGACCGGCTCGGATTTTCTGGTGCGTGGGAAGTGTTCAACATTCTGGGGGACATGGAGCAACTGAGCCCAGAGTCTTCCGGAGAGGCCTCACATGTCTGCAACTGCGAGAACGGAGCTTGAAGGGGGACTGCTGGGTTCTGGAGTTGAAAGTGAATACACGAAAACAGATCCTCATGCCTGCTAGGTCCAACTTCCCTAAATGTCTCTGAACAGAAGGCGCTGTTGTCTGTAAGCTTCAAGCTGATTTCGGAGCGCTCACGTCTTGAGTACACTCCTGAATGGTTGCTGGCCCCATGTTGGATGTAGATCCATTCGCGGCCTGTCTAGCCAAGAATTTGGTCGTTGATTCTCAACAGCCTCCTGCAAATTGTCCACTCAGCTGAGCTGTAAAACTGGAGGAGCTGGCCTAATCTCGATGGCACAAGGAGGTCTGTCAAAGCTGCCTGCACTTCTGAAAGCTCCACGTAATGCCTAGGAGCCCACTGCAACTGTTGCGCTGACGAAAGCGGGTCCGGCTCCCTCCTGCACTTGGGGCTTCGCAGTCTGCAAAGTGGCTCATTCTCTTGCGCTTTGTGATCGCCGTGAAACCTGCTCGCACTCCGTTGAGATGCTGTCCTCAAGCCTAGGCACTAAGCAAACCCAGCTCCAGTCCCCCTTTGCTGGGATCGGGCGTGACAACCACTGTAGGAGTGATCCCCCAAAGAATGTTGTGAGAAACCCGAATGGAGCAATGCTGGTCTTGAACTCTCTGCTGTCTTTCTTTCTCTCTATCTACCTGTCTACCTGTCAAGCAAGAAGGCTGTAGGAGGCCTGGGGGGCTACGTGCTTCTAACCTTAACCTGCATCAACCTCGACCTAGGTTACCGAAACAGGCCTCCCTCGTCGTCCAACGGCCCAGGCCCCTTCAGTGCCCCACAGGGCCACGGCAGCGAAATGGACGGCTACCTTTGTGGGGGTGTATGGGGATTGGATGTTCTTTGGGATTGGCTGTTTGTCTGCCACTTGCTGCCTCTTGTAGATTCGAACGACCGCGAGGACGACCTGTGATGTCGTTCTCGGGGTGCTAGAACTTCGGGGCAGCAGCTGGAAACACAAGCTACGCATTTATCCTGAATTTTGCTTCTCCAACCTAAGCAGCTAGATAACACAAAATGAGTATCATGGAGACATGGAGATTCATGGAGCTCACATTGCCCACAATTCCAAAGCACTAGTCTCTTCCAGGTGATCTGGTGTGAGCAACTCGGTTTGGGGTGCTGTGGGCAACCACTGTGAGTACAGGTGACCGCTTCCAGCATCCAGAGCATCCCCGACTCATCATAAGATGCCGATGTCCGCTCAAGTTCGTACCCGCGCAGTTCCGTGCCACGTCGCTGCGTTGGCATCGCACTCCGTCGAGCGCCGGGTGAAGTCCTAGCAAGGATGCATGTACAAGAAGCATTTCTGACGTCTTTGAAATGCACAGCCTGCCTGCGTGTGTGCCGGCCTGCATGCCTGCATGCCTGCGTGCCTGCGTGCATGGGTGTGGTGTGCGTGTGGGGGGTGCTTGGGTGTGTGTGTGTGTGTACGTGTACGTGTGTGTGTACGTGTGTGTACGTGTGTGTACGTGTGTGTGTGTGTGTACGTGTACGTGTGTGTGTGTACGTGTGTGTGTACGTGTGTGTACGTGTGTGTACGTGTGTGTGTGTGTGTGTGTGTGTGTGTGTGTGTGTGTGTGTGTGTGTGTGTGTGTGTGTGTGTGTTTGTGTGTGTTTGTGTGTGTGTGTGTGTCTCCCCGTGTCTCCCCGTGTCTCCCCGTGTCTCTGTGTGTCTCTGTGTGTCTCTGTGTGTCTCTGTGTGTCTCTGTGTGTCTCTGCGTGTCTCTGTGTGTCTCCGTGTGTCTCCGTGTGTCTCTGTGTGTCTCTGTGTGTCTCTGTGTGTCTCTGTGTGTCTCTGTGTCTGTGTGTCTGTGTGTCTGTGTGTCTCTGTGTGTGTGTGTGTGTGTGTGTGTGTGTGTGTGTCTGTGTGTCTGTGTGTCTGTGTGTCTGTGTGTGTGTGTGTGTCTGCGAGTGTGTGGGTGTGCGTGTGCATGTGCGTGTGCGTGTGCATGTGCGTGTGTGCGTGTGCATGTGCGTGTGTGCGTGTGCGTGTGCGGGTGCGGGTGCGCGTGTGCGTGTGTGCGCGTGTGCGCGTGTGAGTGCGCGTGTGCGCGTGTGAGTGCGCGTGTGCGCGTGTGAGTGCGCGTGTGCGCGTGTGAGTGCGCGTGTGCGCGTGTGAGTGCGCGTGTGCGCGTGAGAGTGCGCGTGTGCGCGTGAGAGTGCGCGTGTGCGCGTGAGAGTGCGCGTGTGCGCGTGAGAGTGCGCGTGTGCGCGTGAGAGTGCGCGTGTGCGCGTGAGAGTGCGCGTGTGCGCGTGAGAGTGCGCGTGTGCGCGTGAGAGTGCGCGTGTGCGCGTGAGAGTGCGCGTGTGCGCGTGAGAGTGCGCGTGTGCGCGTGAGAGTGCGCGTGAGAGTGCGCGTGAGAGTGCGCGTGAGAGTGCAGCGCGTGAGAGTGCAGCGCGTGAGAGTGCAGCGCGTGAGAGTGCGCGTGTGCGCGTGAGAGTGCGCGTGAGAGTGCGCGTGAGAGTGCGCGTGAGAGTGCGCGTGAGAGTGCAGCGCGTGAGAGTGCGCGTGTGCGCGTGAGAGTGCGCGTGTGCGCGTGAGAGTGCGCGTGTGCGCGTGAGAGTGCGCGTGTGCGCGTGAGAGTGCGCGT